ATCGCAAATAGTTGTGGACGGAAAGACACAATTTAATTATTCACATTTATAATAATTTACCTCTAATAACGACGATAACAATTATATATATCAAAATAGACAAAGATTTTATATCGAGTCGTAAACAGTTATTTATAGAAGGCCACATAATTATAAATATAAAGATTTAGGCACTTTTTTGATCAATCTAATAAAGAAATTTGGATTGGATTTTAGTTTCAAATCTCAAAGTTTACATTTAACAATGTTATAATTTGTAATATACACGGTTGAATGCTGTCAGCATAAATTGAGTTGGCGATCAAACTGTTCAGACATGGGTCGAGGTTAAAAAATTAAGTTCTCTATTATATTACAAATAGTATGTCATTCTCGATCCTCGCCTACTCCCGCAGGCCACATAAATTCTCGTACCACCTAAACGTTACACGCGCATAATTATCCTACTTTCTTTATGACAACCGTCAATCGATTAAATGAATATTAAGCACTATATTAAGCACTATATTTCACACATTTCAGTCAAATTCGTCAAATTTTATTTATACCCGAGCCTTCACTCTCTCGAGGCTGCTTTTTTCTCTCGAATCTCTCACACTTCCAGATATATCGTGATACACATCGGGCACGTTTTCTTGGATAACATTGAAAAGAAAACCGACGATATTTCTGAGAAGTATAGCATCACAAAACGTCTCATTACTTGTTAACCACGACGCCAATACTCCCCTCGCCGGACCATGCAAAAGATTAATGGAAAAACGATTTCGACCGGTTCCCATTATATGTATATCACTTTGAATCGATTAGACGGCACACCCTTGAAAAAATTCGTACCGTATAAGTAGCGAGGGCAACGAGGCTATCGAATGCGCTGAGAGTGCTCCGCACCCTGCCCACATAATAATAAGAATAAGATTTCATTCACGATAGCGCCCAGCTTTCGCTACCAGGACCGTAATCACACTTGGACACATTGATGCATGGACCGGTCCCCCTTCCATGCCCAGCATTAATGACAGGTTTACGTTGACGAGGCCGCCTTTGCCCGCTCATTGAAATTTCGATCGATTACCTTACCCACCCTTCGCAGCTCTCCCGCTAGTCGCCACTATAAAAACTTACTGCGTGTGTACGTCAAGAATTTCCGGGAAGATCCCGGTCAACCGAGAGATTTCGTCGCAATTATTCTATTTTAATTCACCGATTTGCCAATAATTGTTTTAAAAAATATTATTATTTTGATCACGTCGGTGAGCGTAGACATGCGTTGGAATTGCGTGCGTGAATGCGAAATTTTTTCCAACGTTTATTCGTAAAAGCATACAGATCTGTATTAATACCATGAGATTAGAATGCTCTCCGCGCCCCGAAGAGAATATGATGTTTCCTTTAGCGGTCATCCCCGCGTGATTACTGTAGTTATACGTAATACGTATGATTGAATACATTCGAAAAGGGTTCAGTCACTAATCACGAGCTGTACGGTACTCGTATAAGGTAGGAGCAAGAGGATGGGAAATGAACTAAAAGTACATTGGCCGTGTCATTAGAGAGTGTTGGGTTCGTGTCAGTCGATAGAAGAGGGATTAATCATCTTATCGCTCCGTCCTGCTCGCATCTTTCCCCCGGAATCGTTCTCCGATTCTCTCAATCGCGACGTATGCATTTGGCATTGATGACTGGCATCGAGACTAAGACGTACGTTTCTCTAGGGCATAGCGGCAGTTCGCTACAGTCATTTAGGCCCCATTGAGCTGCGGATCGATTCACTACGGAAATTACTCCACGCTTAATAATGCCATCATTAACCAATATCTCATGCTTACATATTTTTCTTGGCCATGATCAATCAAAAGTCTGGAAATAAACGTTATGTGTAATCGGAAAACTTTATTACAGTTTATCTTTCGTTTCACCAAAGAAGTAGCAAAAACTATATGAATTTTATATAATTTATTGATAATATAATATTTTATATATTATATAAATTATATAATACTTAATATAATATAATATAAAATAAATATAATATAAAATAAAATATAATATAAATATAATATAATATACAAAATATATAGAATATATAATAAAATATAATGACGAATTTAATTCTGCTTCGTTACCAAATGCAATTACTGAATTACAATTTGTTCTAGGTCGGAACTTCTCTCTTAGAACAATTTATTAGCTTTTCTTCCATATTAATTAAACTGAGATATAAATTTTTCGGTGCAGAATCGGTCGTGCGCGCGTGAAAATATTTATTCCTGCCAAGAAATGATTTAGCGTGAGTATCAACGTTTCTTACTGTCCCGAAAGAAAATGTGAGTACCGCGGCCACTTGTTCCACTCCTCTTCCTCCTTATTCCGGCTCGTCTGCGCTTAATGCAGATAGGAGTGAGGAAACCGCGTGTAAACTGGCCTTTACCTGAATGGGACACGGCTATTGCACCGCGCCACGGCGCGCCGTGCGTCCGAGAGAGTTACCGCTAATCTGTACTTACGCTCGACTGGTGTTGTCTCTGTGCTTACACGAGCGGATCAGCCTACAAACGGGTATCGGCCGACCAAAAATTCAAACAATTACGATTGGCTCATTAACCGACCGCAAGCACGTTTTCTCTACTTGCCAATATCTCATTTTGTACGCTTCATATAATTTCGTTCATTACAATTTAAAAAAAAAAAAAGATTAATTTACGAGATTAGAGGATTATCGTTCGTTGGAGGTTTTTGAATATATAGGGAAGAAGCTCATATATCGCGTTTGTACGAAAGCACGTTACGAAACATGTTACAAAAAAGGAGCACGAGGGAGTTAAACTTGTTTAACACGTTCACACATGCCACAGCGGGCATCGGTGACCTGAACTTTCCGTTTGTGCCATGCGAGACACCGTTGGTGACCGTCAACAGGACCTAACTAAAATAGCGACTCGCGGCCTGTAAAATTTAATCGTAATACACCACGTGTCAAACTACGTTTGATAGAACACAATGCAAAAATTTTATTGCTTAAAACAATTGAGAAATTTTACTCTAAAGGTTCATATGAATATAGCGTTTGGCGGTAAAGGTGATAAACTCGAATTATGCTAATTACATTTAGAGGCAAACTAAGCGTTGACCCTTCAGATATAAATATACGCGGCGATATTGTTCCGATAAAACGACAGTTCCTATCTCGCACTAGTTGAAGGAATTTCCGTTGGTATGCCATCTACGCCACGACGCCGGTAATCGACGTGGTAATCGAGGGTACTGAACGTTGCCCGAAGATTAACAGCTACTGAAAGTTTTCACAATTCTCCTTTTTGACGGAAGCTCAACCTCAATGCCGTCCGATTCTCCTTTTTGGTAATGTTACGTATAGCAATATGGATCGATCATCTCGAATCCGAAATTGCTCCGACCTGCTTAAATGCATTTCAATTCGTTCAAATGAATACTGTTAATATTCGATCGGTCGTGATTAACGATCTTCTCTGCAATTTAAACTTCCACGTACCGTATAACAATTCACGAAAATAATTGTTTGCACATTATATATTCGTAATAACAGCTGTTCGCGCCAATCGCACCGAGGAACCGAAGTGTAAGTACAGGCCGTCTCGTCGAGATAAATCCTTTAGGTGCATAGATGCAATTGATAAAATTGCCGGGCAATTTTCGAATCCCATTCTACGGGAGTCTTATTGCTCTCTTTCTCTCTCTCTCTCTCCCTCCCTCTCTTTCCTCCCGGCTTGGATAACGCTACCGGCGTACGTGACCGCGCACGTACGTCCGAAGCGACAGATTAACGACGAATTATCGTACAATCTTCATTGACGGTCACGCGTGTAATCGCCCTTACTTGCTTTCTCAATTTCTTCTTCATCATTCCGTTTCCTATCCTCCTCCGGACCGTTCTCGCCGCATCGGTCGTCGCGTCCGCGACCGTTCGTCGCGTCTCGTGCCGCATTCTCGTTTCTCGCCACGCCACAGCTTAGGTTTCTACGGTCCCCGTACGGGACGAAGAGAAACGGTGTCTCGTACGTCCGCGTTTCCGAAATCGGCCCGTATTTTCCTACATCGCGACCCGACGATGTTCCACGCGCGCCTACGGCACGTGTAGCCTTCTACCAAGAAGCCTTTTTGTGAATCGTTGAAATTAATTAATGTATAAAAATACACAGATAAATATATTAACATCGAATTGTCGTACAATTTTTATTGACAATCACACGTGTAATCGCCCTTATTCGATTTCTCAATCTCGTTTCCAATATACAATGTATATACTGATTGCGAGAATAATAATAATGGAATATCTTATTGGCGTTCCTCGTTATTACATTTCCTAACTTTTATTTTTTATAATATTATTAGATTGCAGAAGAAACGGTACAACAGCGTAGCGACACATTATCTCCTCGAAGAGAACAGTCGCGAAAAGTCAAACGTGTCACGCGACATGCCGTTCTGAGCTATCTTAGCTATGGTACATGGTGTATCGAGCTGTAGGCCGTAGCTATTATAATAGCGAAAACAATCCCTTTCCCCTCAACGGTGGCATAACGGTAGCAAAGCGGAAGCTGAAAGTAACGTAGAAGCTCTTACTATCCTTCCTCCTTCCAAGTATCGGGTTTTGGCACATTTCGCGATCTCGCAATCTGTGCTTTTCCACCAGCCTCTCATTATCGTCCGAATCCAATCCTCCCTGCGTTTTCACGCGCGTTCGCGGTCGATTTTCACCGGTAACCTTGAGTACGAAGACGGTGTCGCCCCGAAGACGATATCGCCGTGAAAGATACGCATGCTGGAAGAAGGTCGAGTGACGGTGGCGATAATAGTTAGCGGTGGACGGCACGGCGGGAAGAAGAGACGGCGAACACAGCGAGGAGGGAAAGAAAAACAGGAGTAGAGAGAAAGAACGAGAGGGAGAGACCGGTGATGGCTGCGATGATGACGGTCAGTGGTTGTGTATACCGGTTAAGCCGTTCAGTACTAGCCCGGCGTCCGTCACGAGTAAACCTCGCGACCGTTCGGTTTCGACGGTGCCCTCGCTATTCTATTCTAGTATCGCGCGCACGATCGAATTTCCTGTCCTTGTTATTCGCTCGTACTCGTCGATCCGTTGTCACACACGCACGTGTCTCACTTCCCGCCCGATCAAACCTGAATTTTTAAACAGACCACCGCGATTCAACGTCACTTGAAGAACCGAAAATGAAACTGTTTACTTATTTACTCATTTATTAAATTAACGAGTGCGCTGAGAGTAATTTGAAGAAACGTCAGCTGTGAGATAATGCACTTAAGCGGAATTAAATAGCGAACAATGATGGTTTCCTGATGAAGCAACGGATGTTCACGTCGGGATATCGGAGTTAGAGGAGTTCAGTGTTACCGCAGAATCTTTTTTTTTTTACGATTGAATCGTGCGTTTCCAATCTAACACGATGCGGTCAGGCGATCGATGACGGTTCGTTGCGATGCAACGCTGATGACCGAGCATCTCGAGGTCCACTTAACCGACCTAACCGACCCAAGAGTCGAATCCCATTCCCGAGACGTCGTCGGACCATCGCTTGAACCTGCACGATTTCATCTTTGATGACCATTAAATTTTTTAAGTGCTCGGTTCTATGCCAGGATGACGAGCTGAGTCGGGCCCTGGTCCTCGCGCGCCGCCGAAGAATTCGTCCACGCTGATCCACGTCGTGAATCACGGTGTGTGTGAATCACGATGGTGGTTTCCCCGTGCGACCATGCCGTCGGAAACTCGTGGTTGTCGTTGTGCGGGGTACGAGATGAGTCACGTAGATACGTTGATTCGAAGTGAGCGCGGATGAAGTGATTACGAGAGGACTCGTGGACTTCCAAATCCAGCGGACCAGTCCGGTCCGAGAGCGATCCAGGTATCGCTACGGTTTAAAAAAGCATTTTTGATTAGATTAAATATAATTATTTTCATTAAACTAATTACTTATATATGTACTTATATATGTACGTATTTATAATTGTTTATAATTGTTCTCCACTAAACTAACAGGGTGAAATAATTAGCTTAATACTAATGACACGTTTCATAAATGCTACCTTGAAAATAGCTATAACGATTGTTACAATTAATTTGATATCGCAAAGTTACACATACCGCTAATAAATTATATTAGCGAACCATTAAATACGGCATTTAATTACAGTAACATTAAACGATTTTTGGTATTATTTTCAATCGGGTTTCTACAAAATTGATCGAAACTCGCGGCATTATCCCGCGGTGTCCATATCAAGTCTGCCGCGGAAAGTCGTATTACGGGCAGCCGCGGTCGAGAGGCGTTAAAGCGTAAACGGTTGCTGTGATCTCTATGTGCAGCTGCTATGATCTATCTAGTGGTCGTTCAAATACCGTCACGATGTCGAACGTGACTTCGGATGGGACGGTAGCCGAGATATTCTCGGCTATCTCCACGCGAGACCGCGTGTTATAGGTATATATACGTCGTCCGTATAGTGTCGATGGCGCGCGATTTCCAGTTATCCATTACCGTTGTCACACTTCCGGAATACTTGCTCCGCGCGTCCGTCATTCGTTGCCTGAGTTACGATCGTCGCGACGACACCGAGTTTCACCTCTTAGCGCAAACAGAGCTTGTTTACAGATACCTTCCGCATTGCTTACCGAAAGTCTCTTCATCTCCAAAGGCTTTAATGAGGCGGCCGCCTAAGATCAAGCGGATTTACTTGGCTCACTTTAAATACATTCGAACATATCCCAAAGTGGATCATTCATGAATTAATTCGATCTATCTCTCCAACCCAATCTTACACCGAATTCTGAAGTAACCGGAGGCTTCCGGGGCGATCGGTATCGGTCGATATCGATCCCGCAAGATTCTACCTTATTTTCGCGTAAAGTCGGATCGAATCCAACCGGCATCGTCATGGACTTGGACCGGTACCGGCAATATAGCGTGGTGCGGTGCGGTGCGGAGCGGCACGACCGTTCGTCTCCTCCTCGTGCGCTTTTATCAAACTGGCGGTGCTCCCCATTCCATCGTTCCTCGCTCGGCTTCCTCCGTGCAACGGGACGCCTAGACCTTGGATTATGGAAGCGCATCCTGCCGGACTGCGTCCCACCCACGTCCCACGTGGCGCATCGCCGACAGGACGACACCTCATTCCGCTTCTATAGCGTTAACGCGTGTCGCGATGTCGTACCTACTTGTTTCTACATCGTACATCGTTAGGCAAAACATTCGGTTGATGATCGGCGTTCGACGCTCGGCCGCCGCGCCGGTTTGTCGGCCACGCCGCTCGAGTCTCGAGTCTGTTGCCCTAACGTGTGGAGCAAGAGAGACGCGCACGTACGTTTCTCGTCGTTCCGATTTGCTCTAATTCGCGCACCATCATCGCTCCTCGACACATCGGTACGCCGATGCGTTACGACGCCGAACGCCGATCACCGGGCGACGTGCGCGCAGATCGATGGTTGCTCAAGGCGCGGGTAATCGATGCAGATAATTGATGCCCCGCGCGAAAAGCTCGAGACTCTCGAGTGCCGTCTCGAAACTTGTAAAATCTTTCCCATAGCAACACCGGAACAAGGACCGAATTATCCTTACGGCGCGGAGCCGCAAAGCGCGCGCACCGCGTTATGTTACTCCCCCTAATCATCGTCCATTTCCTGCGAGAACTGTTACGCCCGCTCATTAAACTTGCCATCGCCGCTCAAACGTACCAGGAAAGACGTAAATTAAATTACACGAGGATTAAAGCACCGTGTGGAGAACCCAATTCGCGTGGAGGGCGTACGCGCCGCGCTGTTGAGAAGCCGGCGAGATATGTTTTCCTGAATCAGCGCGGCTAGCCGCGCTCGTTGCCGCGATTTTATTTTGTCGCGTTGATGATCATTCACCCGCGACCATTGAAATAAAACAGCTGCGATACGTATATATCGCACCACTGGCACAGAAGGCTGCCTTAATATCAAGAGCGAACAGATACCGTTTCAAGAGAAAATTGTAGGAGATTCTTATAAATTCGGAACAAAGAGAGAAACGAGTTTCTAAGAAATTAGTATAACGTGATTATCTGATATAATACGTATCTGATATATAAACTATACACATTGGTTGTATAAATTTTATGAAATTTTAATTTTAAAATTGAAGGAGTGAAAGTAAAAGATTTTGAATTACTAGTTCTTATCTTTTTTTTTTAATTGTCATAAAATATAAAAGCATTAAACAAAATCGGCAATTTCCATTAGCTTTTCTAGTTGCATTTTAATATTACATTACAAGAAGGTTGGTTTCCGTAATCGTTTTTATTGAAGCAAGTCAACGTTAATGGCGAATTAATTGCAGCGGTTAAAGTGATGCGAACAATTCAATCGTAATTGCAAAATCGATCTGTTTAATTCTCTAGTCTCTTCTTCTAGCGCTATGAAGCGTTCTGTTTAGACATGTTTCTAACGCAATACATGCGGCCAAACGGAACGCGAATAGGTCGCGTGAACTTGTTACGAACGTGAGAATCTTGAAATGCATTTGCTGTCGGATGAGAACGATTAAGCAGAAATGAGAGAAGACGAGTAACTATGATGACCGCTAGTCGTTACGGAATATTTCTTTGGTAGGTGACGTGCGTTGGGAACGCGGCTATCGCCGCGGAATGCTTTTCTCGAGGAACACGTAGACGCGAAATAATCCTAAACAATAAACACGTTCTTGTCTTTTACCGCGAGGGTTCGTGTCGTTTTTACTGCATTCGGCCTCGTTCATCATATGTACCATTACGTTGCAATTTATAGATATGGAACTTGCTCCCATATCTATCGATTATTATTTAATGGATGTTAACTTGCACTTATCGATCGTTGCTCTTGTTGTATTTGTAACATGGCTGCATTGTATCACTGCTAGTCACTGTAATTTGTGCATTATCAATTTGCGACGATTATAGTGAGTCCTATAATGCAATATTAAAAGTGCAAAAAAAAATCCAATCAAGATCATCCGTTTCGCGATGTATATCGATGTGCATAAGGACCGTAAAGAGCATAAAGAGTTACGTTAGACTTATAGGGTATAATACGGCGTCTCTTTCAAATAGTCAAGTACACATATCACGCGTCACGTGGCACGTGCCTGGGAACTGGGAAGTCAGCGGAGGAGAGATCCTGGGGCATTACGAAACCCCGTCACGACCGTGAATGCTAATGGACCCGCACTTGACTGATTCGCCTTTAAATCCGACGTTAGTAAATATATGACTTGTGTATAAAAATCGAGCGATCGAGTATGTTGGACTTGCTCTCGTCTCACATTTCTATAAATATTTTAATTAAACAACGTAGATACGGCTATGTAAATCACGCGTGACTTATTCATATTCATATTCGCGTTTCATTAACGGCGACACATTGACGGTGGAGTGAGAAACATGCTTTACGAGCGGCATAATTTTATAGCCTCAACGTATATTTCGAACAACATTATTCAAATGTCTTTATCCAGGCTCAAAAATGCCTCGCAAATCAGAGATTTGATTATTATAAATATTAATTCACGAATCACACACACGTTTTCCTGTGAAGGAGGGCCCCTTTAACACGCGGTGAACGCTTATTGCAGCTAATGGGTACATCCGCTATCGACAGTTCTCCTATCTGGTGGTCATGAAAAGATCGATAAACGCGATTTGAAATCCGCGATCACTGGGTCAATCCGGCGCGTCTTCTTGCTCGTCCTTGGTACATGTTCTGCCTCAAGTGGCAGCGACCGCAGCTACCGGTGCAGTGAGAGAAGTCGCGACCAGCCAGCGACAGTTCTATATTCTGCTTCTTGACCTTGTCCCAGAGCGCACTGTCTCAAGCACGTGGAAGTAGTCTCTGTAGACCCGATTTTACAGTGGCCGTTTACACGGAGAGGCCGACGATTAATTCCAACATGCGTGCATAGCTCTTTTATTTAGATACAACCAACTTGAAAAAAAAAATGAAAAATTTCACGTAGGTTTAAATTAAGCATCGGTTTGTTCGAATTTTTAATTAAAATTTTTACTTATGATGTAATAAAATTACAAAAAAATATAAAATAAGACTTATAAAATGAAGAAAATATCTCGTAATAATATACATATTAATAGGCAAATAATTTGATAAATACTTATATTGACTGTGTGTGTTTGAATAGAAAAATTTGGTAAAATTTTTATTTTTTATAACTCACTTATATGTATGTAACTTCATACTTGAATGTAAATTCTGGAAAAGGAACATATCCATTTGTCAGAATGTATCCAACTTTTGTGTATCTATTTTCTCTATAGATGTCGAGAAAAGTTACCCAAGACGCACATCCGAGATTTTTATATCCGCAAAAGTTACGCAAGATGCGATGCGTCCGACAGTTTCGCATTCGGAATACAACTCCTATTCGTCATACTCCGATTCGAAGATAGTTACAAAGAATTGAGTTTTATACCAGAGGAAATATTTGTTTGAAAAATAACCGAGAAAAGAAGGTACATAAACGATAAAAATAGCAAATACAAAAATGTGATGTGGAATAATAATATACAAATATGGGAATAGATATCTTGATTTTTCAGACGTTTTTTACGCGTTTGTCAAATATATCTTTGCAAAAATGCAAGAAATATTCAGAACGCGTAGCGTCGGTGAAGATAATTCCAATGATGATGACGAGACAGTTCCAAGACGATGGTATCCTCGATCGAGCATTCGAAAGCGAGCGACGCTGCGTCGATGACCTGGAATGCTGGGCCAGAATTCGGTGACAAGTCGGTCCAGGGTACCTTTTTTGTTCCTGCCGACGCGTCTTAGCGCGCGTCCGATGCACCTGTCGCGTCGTCGAGATACCATCGTCGATCTCGAATCGTTGCCAGCAAAACGATAGACTAGAAATCAAGAATTCTTCGGACCCTCGGAATGTCCTGATGTTTTATAATTTATAGAATGCACGTGCCGATATATTCGCCGGATCCATTTTACAATTTTAATGTTGCTTTTTAAATTAAAGAAAAAGATTTACGCGAAAGCTATATATAACTGCGAAAACCGTTCGATAAAAATGATGTTACATCATGAAATGAGAATGGAATAAATTCAAAGCTTGTCGGATCTATTTTAAATTTATCTATTTATGTCAGATCTATGTTGAATCTAAAATCTAAAGTGGAATTTACTAAATATAAATTTCCATTCTTACTCTGAACCTCTCAATTTAAATATAAATCAGGTGAAAAGTATCGAACTTTAAACAAACTTTGATCAAGTATTTTGTTAATATTGAACAAATTCTATTTTATCCTGTTGTTTTTATCTTTTTCGCCTTATCGCCCTCAAAAAGGTATTGAAAGCAAACACATATTGCCGGAATTTAAAGCACGCAGTTAGTATTGAATTTCTTTCTCGTAAGTAATTATATTATATTAAAGCCACTTGCAGAAGATATGTAAGAAATTGCGATATTTAATTGCGTGATTTGTACGCCCGCAACGATTTGCCTATTCGTAATTTCACTGAGAGAAAAAAAAAGCGCACGCGGCTGTGGGATTAGATACGTCTCTGAAAGGGTTAATACGAGAAGCATGCAACGGGAAAGTGAACTAGAAAGGAGCGCACAGACGTGGCAGACAATAGACAATAGACGCGACGAAAGAGTGAGCGTAGATGCTCGCATGCTGCTGACAAGCTCTTAATATATAGAATTACAAAATTTATACTATGCCTGTCTGCTGCAATCGACGTAGTAGAGCGCGGCTGTTAACAGCAGCACACCGTGCAGCTCGCGTGACTCCCCGAGATTTACACGTTTCCTCGGGAGGGAAGCAAGCAAGAAGCTCTCCTGCTCTAAATTGACACGTGACGATGACGATATAAGTAGCTACCGGACGATAGGTCGGCCGGCGAGTAACGATGACGTTCTTGTTTTCAGGGATCAGGATGCGGTGGATCGGTTACGTGGCCACGATTCTCTGGTGGTCGGGCATCGCCAGGTCTCTCAGTACGCTGAATCGAGGTCACAGTCAGTAATATTTCTTTTGGTGATTTAAACGCGCCGTTTTTCGGCGGATACTCCCTATAGCATGTGTCTTTCTCGATCGCGGACACCCACCCCGTCTCTTCCTCGCGCGTCGCCCTCTTCCGTACGCACTTTCGAGAGAGCGATGCAGCTGCCGTACCTCCTCTCTTACCTTTCTTCTCCCTGTCTCTCCACGTCTTTTTCTCGCGCTCGTCCTCCCTTTGCGCGGCATCCTTCTCCCGCTTGGAAGGTTCTCCTTAAATGTATAACGCTTAATTGGAAGGAGAACTCGGTCAAGGTGCAGTCGGTCGTGCACGAGCGTGAGAAAAGAAAAGCGAAAGAAGACGCTACTTTCTTTTTGTTTCGACGAATCTCCGCGACCGAAGGGAGAAGCTTTTTTTCTTTATCTATTATTTCTTTCTCGCTCCCAGGTAATTGTCCCGCACAGTCAGCTGTAAGCTTTGCCGGAAAAAACACGGCTCTAAAGTCTAGACATCCGTAAGAGAAGGAAATATTGTTCAAATAAAATTGTGTACACGCTCTGTACAACAAAAAATTGGAACATATATAGCGATGTGCAATGTTAACGTTAAGTTGCACAGTTTATAATTTTTGCAGCGAGATCCGTCGATCTGATCGACGAACGTCAAATGTTCGATTTTTTAATATTCGAGCCCGTGGTACAAAAGTGCGCTCCGCAATAAAAAAAATTTTTTTTCTTAATATGAAAGCTTCCCTTTTATAACGTAACACAGGTCGCGACGCAGGCTGACACGATCGTGTTTCTAGCGGTGAAAGCGACTGCGTGAAGCTCCTACATCGCCGCGGTCGTAATTTACGTTACCCGAGTCTTACCCATGACTCGGTTAATGACTCGGCCCAGGTCTACGTATACTCCTTCCAGTTATTAAGTTTCATTTTTTTTTACACGATCTCTCACGCGTGCTTCGACAAGTGGTACACTTTCACCGAACTTGACGGCGCGAGGTGGATCTCATGTGTAACATGTGAGACAGTCTAATTGTCGAGCACGATATATGACCTATCGTGCGGTACCGTGCGACACGGTGTCGTGCACGCGACGTCGTTCTTTGGTACGCCCGTCAGATTTAATGCGTGTAATCTCGTTACCCGGGGCGCGTTTCGTTCGATTTTTCGGAGGGCGTACGTAGAGAAACACGGGTTTCCTGCGAAATTATAAGTTGTTAAATTCGTCGAGACAGTATGATCGACGTTAGCGCGCTTTCATCACGCATTTAACGTTACACGCGCCTGTCTGGCTTCTCGGACTCTGACGCGAGAAATGTATGTAATGGAGACGTGAGATTAAAGTCAGTTGCGTTTAACGGAGAACGCTGCACGTGGGGACGTAAATGAGATATTCGTCATTTGTCGGCACGGGACTTTTAACTTTTAAACATCGACGTAGCCCAAGGTCCCATGCAGGCTTCGCCGATCGTCGAAAGATGGAACACGCCTGAAATAGCCGATTTCTTTTTTCCATTTCACGCAGGTTACAAAATTACTCCGAAGCCCTGCAAGGTGCCCGGTTCGGAGAGCAAAGAAGGCACGTGCATGTTCGTGTGGGAGTGCATCAAGTCCGAGGGGACGCACGTGGGTGTGTGCGTGGATACCTTCATGTTCGGCAGTTGTTGCGTTCACAACACGACGGTGAACACGATAGGCGCGTCTCACCGCCCTCATCATCATCATCATCAGCAGCAGCAGCAGCAGCACGAGACGACGAGTACACTCAGGCCAGGTCTACTTCTGGCAGAGCCAACCGCAAACGAGACCATCAGATTGACGTCAACTTCCCTCTCGGGCTTCTCCTCGACGGCATTAAGCACCGCGAAGCCGAATCTCCATTACTACACTGGATCTCACGGCTCCGGCACAGGCTCGACCAGACCGATGAAACCGTCCTCGCATGGCGTCGGGAGGCCCTTACAGAAGAGGCCGCACGCCAAACCAACGTCCGAGCACGACGTCGAGGTACTGCAGACCCCCGCGGTGTCCTCCGCGTCTACGAACACGTGGGCGGAAGGAAGGCCGCAAGAAACGAAGAGACCGGGTCATCACGCGGGTCATTCTCATCACCACAAGACTAGGCCGGACGATGGAGCACTGAGCGAGAAACCGTCGTCCGTTCAAAGCCAACCGGGCTTCAAGGACAAGCTGGAGACGCACAACACTTTGATAGTACGCTTGCCGGGGAAGGAGCACGCCGACGACGAGGTCGTTGGTTCGAGTGGCCCGAGCAAGCCGAACAAGCAGGGCAAACCGGGTAAACCGGGCAATCAAAGGCCCTTTGAGTCGAGACCGGACGACGGGAAGACCGAAGATGCCGATCTCAGCGTGCAGGAAACGATAAATCGGCCGAATGTCAATTCCGTCATTGAAAGCGTAAGGAAGGAAACTTTGTTATTATAACTCGTGATGACTCTATGATTATGACTCGTGATTCAGCGAGATGACTTTAGAAGGATTTCTTGTGTAACGTTCTCTCCGTCGAGGGCATTCACTTTTCTTCAATCAGTCAGACTAATTTTCATAGTTCATTAAAATATTATGTCAACTTAAAAAAAAATTCTTTATTTATTTCGATAGACAATTATAATAAAATTATATGTAAAAATTAGAGTAATTGAAACTCATTTTACATGTCTTGTCTAATTTTCGTGTTAGCGAATGTTTCTTTCTTTTATCTATTGTATTTATTAACGAATTTGAAATGCTGAGACGAATATTTGATCGAAGTTTACTAAAAAAATTCCTTTAACTATAAAATATGGGGTTAAGAAAGTATTTACATCGCCAGCTAGCAGAGTTATTTTTGGCGCGATACAAGCAGTGAGTTTAATGGAATATCGATTTTCGGCCAGGAAACGGGGAAAGAGCCACATCCAGGTTCAAATTTCGTGCATACCGAACGACCGCACTGGGCAACCAAGCCAGCACAGTCGAAACCATCGTCGACAGACTTCTCCAAACCGTATTTTTCAATGAAAACTACGACTTACCGGCCAATAAGCCAGCCAGATCATAGACCGAATTTTATCTCGAGACCCAACTGGGTGCTGTCCACGAAGACGTCGACGACAACGACTGTCAGACCGACATATGCCAGGCAGCCTTCCACCAGGTATGCAACTCGTTTTTAAGTCATACTGGTTTAAGCCTCAATATATATGTAAATATCGTATATCGCTTCTCTCTTCCAATAGTAAACCTCTTATACGTATATTATCACGCAAAAAATTTACAGCTATATTATATACAGTTATATTATTATTATCACGTAAAGTATAATAATACATGTCATATTATATTGTGTACCGAGCCCAACTTAAAATTTATCTTTCATTCTAGCGCAGCCGGATCCGTGCCACAAACCTCTCACTGGCAAGTGACCACGGAACCGGCCTTCGTCACAAAACAGAAACCGTCATCGGCGTCGTCCTCATTCTCGTCGTCCTTGTCAACATCGTTCTCTTCATCTCTGTCGTCATCGTCGTCGTCGTCGTCTTCGTCAACCAAACCGATAACCGCGATTACCGTGCCGGAGACCGTACGAATACCGTCTTTAGGTACGAGTTCTCATTTCTGGTCGAACAGCTGGACACCACCTAGGCCGTCCTTAAAACCACATTGGACCGACAGTCCCAGCCTCCTTCAGAATGGCCCGGAAAACTTTCCACGACCGAGCCTAAAGCCGACCGAGTCACATGTACGCCCATATTTTCTCTTCTTAATTATTGGTATTGATTGTAATGTTGTTTGCTGTGGCGATTTTTTACGTCACGTTCTCGCGTGTTTGAATTACAAACACATAAAAGGCAAATTCACAAGTATAAAATTCACAAGAATTATTGTCAGGCATAAGATTTCACCTGATGACCGAAAATGTTAATACTCATTTATTTTTGTTCATATATCAGTCGATGTATATTTATTAAAGTGTTTATAAATATCTTCGCTAAAATTTTGGAAAAAACGATTGGACCTTATCTATAACATTGTGCGATGTTAACGTTTTGCAGAGCACCGAATATCAGAAGCCCTTGGGCTCGGCGCACTACATAACGACGTCCCACTTGGAGACTTCAACTAGGCCGCGGCCCACGAAGAAAACCACAATGCAGAGCACGACGCCGTCCACATTGATGTCCTCCGTCAGCGATACAACCAGTCTAACGACCGCAACAATGACAACTACTAGCAGCACGACCAGCGCGAGCAGCACGAGTGCCACGAGCGTCGCTGCGACGCAAGGATCGTCGACCACCGAGGTGGCGAGCGAGAAGGCGACGGGTTCGGTGATGACGGTCGCGGCCGCTGACGAGAGCAAGAACATGCAGTGCGGCGTGCCGCCGCTATTCCCGCGGCCGGAAACGAGGATCGTCGGCGGCAAGGACGCGTCGTTCGGCCGGTGGCCCTGGCAGGTATCCGTACGTAGGACCTCCTTCTTCGGCTTCTCGAGTACTCACCGCTGCGGCGGGGCGGTACTCAACGAGAATTGGATCGCCACCGCGGGCCATTGCGTCGACGAGTGAGTACCCTATCCCCGTATCCTGTCTCTCTCGTCTTTCGAAGGTGCACCGTTATACTCTGTTCCGTTTCAGTTTGCTGACGTCGCAAATCCGGATACGAGTCGGCGAGTACGACTTCTCGTCGGTACAAGAGCGGCTGCCCTACGTGGAGCGCGGCGTCGCCAAGAAAGTTGTGCATCCCAAGTACAACTTCTTCACGTACGAGTACGACCTCGCGCTGGTGCGACTCGAGAGTTCCTTGACGTTCGCCGCGCACATCTCGCCCATCTGCCTGCCGGCCACGGACGACCTCCTGATAGGAGAGAACGCGACGGTCACCGGCTGGGGAAGGTTGAGCGAGGGTGGAACGTTGCCCTCGGTGTTGCAGGAAGTAATTATCGTTTTGACGATCAAACCCTCGAGGGGTACGTTCAACCTCCTCCGACTTTCATTAATCTCGCTTTCAAGGTATCCGTGCCGATAATCAGCAATGACATGTGCAAGTCGATGTTCCTGAAGGCCGGTAGACACGAGTTCATACCGGATATTTTCCTATGTGCCGGTTACGAGACCGGCGGGCAGGATTCGTGTCAGGTATGTACGTGCGTGCCTATAATCGAACTACTCGCTGTTCACGTTTCAAAGTTTCCGTTGAGAGACTTTTACGTTCTTGCGTTACACAGGGCGATTCCGGGGGGCCTCTCCAGGTTCGCGGAAAGGACGGCAGGTACTTCCTCGCTGGTATCATATCCTGGGGCATCGGTTGCGCGGAAGCCAATTTGCCGGGCGTCTGCACGCGGATATCCAAGTTCGTACCATGGATCTTGAAGAATGTTGCCTGATTGACTTGACGAACACGCGAGGGGACGACACGAGGCAACTCTCGAATTCGGACGAAGTTCATCTCGCGAATAAGCGATTCGCGGTGTCGTCTCGTGCGATATCAAAAGACATTATCCTAGATTTTTCACGCGAATGAAAATACGCCTTTTATATCGTTTACATTTATTTATTTGCATTTACACTGCCACTCACGGAGTAAGCATCCTGGTTGCTATATATACGAAGAAATATACCCCGCACTAGAAGAGGTGAAATAAGATCATCGCCGAAAGTTATTGAATATATATATATATATATATACATATATGTATATATATATGTATGACGTGTGTAAAATCTCGTGCGTTATAGCAGCACACTGAACTGTATTTATAAAAGTAAGTAAGGAAATAATATATTTGCTAGATTAAGGCTATAGCTAAATAAACAAGGGAAGTCTGAGTTGTGTAATAAAAAGATCGAAGGAGTAGTCCGATAGATTTCGAAGATACATCGTTATCATTCTTGCCACAACGCTCCGAATATGAGATATGACACACACACTCACACACACATACATACTGAAACAAAAATTAAGAAAGAATCGTTAATTACATAAACACCGCTTAGAGTTGTAAAACCAGTTTGAAAACCAGACTGTCGATCCTACAACTTAGAAAAATTCAACTCGAATTAAAGAAAACCGGTGAAAAATGTAAATTTTTATAACTATCGCGATTTCGATTCTCGTAGTTTTTCGCAACAAACGCACGATGAGTATCTGCTTTTATTGATTAGCGAGATGTATAGAAAGTTTGCCCTTCGCCCTACGGCGTGAGATAGCTTGGAATATTCTTCCAAATGCTCAATTTCGCACATTTCAAGTTACGCTCACTGCCACTTTCTTATTTTTTATATTTCTTTATTTACAAATAGGAATTTGTACAGAGCACAATATTAATTGCGTGTACTTGATAATAATTGTGTGCGAGCTAATAGGAGAAGTTCACATTATAGAATTATTTATAAGTATCGTCAAATAAATGAGTGTTTATTTAAATCTTAGCGATCGTAAATTATGTCCCTACAATATTCTCGAATTAAGCGGATCGTCCACTCGACCGGCAATTAGACTCACTGAAGTCTCGGTGTCGACGATGAAATAAAGGAAGGGATGTAAAGCTGTAAAGGGTTCGGGTCCAGCTCTCTCGAACAGACCATTGCCTAAAAAAAAAAAAAATCATAACTATTTTGCAAACTTTTGCAGAGAATTATTTTAATTACAGAAAATATTATTCAAGATATTTTTAATTTCTAGCTATAATGTGCAGGTTACATATTATAAAAGATAAAATAAAAAATCACTTGATTTCCAGAGTGACGTCAATACTTAAACAAATTTGCAAACAAAGTATTTACAGATAAATCTATGTGAATTTATAGAGCTCTGCGCATAATACAAAGCTAGTAGTTTGTCTTATTCTACGTATAGTGCAGAGGAATTAGGAAAATGTATAAATTGTGAAAGACATGGATAGCTAATGTATCTAGCGAATTTACAAGAGATCAAGACTATATAAATATATTTTTTTAATGCATCAAAGGAAAAACTATATATTATATATTATATTATAATAATTCTTTTTATAAAACTTTTTAAAGCAATTGCAGAGTTCCTATGGAGTTTTAGATTAAAAATAATAAAATGAGAACTTGGAATTTTATATATTTTGTTTTAAAAGCAAATAAAAATTGTTGATAAGCGTTTCGCGTTTGAAAAATTAACATTTTAATTTAAGCAGCGTTTCAATTTCTTGGCTCTCGAAGCGACTGGCAGATGTGATGCATTGCGGGTCAAATCTTTAGATTTCTAGATGTTCGGTTCATTGACTTCCAATGCACGCGTCCTTCCTTTCACTGAGTTGACAAAACTTCTTGCTCTCATATTTTTACGACGGCAAGTTAGTTTTTATACGAAAGAAAAGAATGTAATGTCATAAACAACAGGGAAGTCTAGTGCAGTAAAAATGATATTCTAATTTTTTAAACGACTACTATTATGAGTTTTTATTTAACTGTTAATTTAACTATATGTCAAGCCAAGAATTCCGTTATATGTATCATTTTAAAGCATAGTTAAATGATATTATATAGAAAATTGTAAATAACAATCTGTAGTAGTAAATCGTAATTTCTTATCTTCTAAATGTTCTACTATTCTATGATATAATTTGTATTTAAAGTGACAAAAATAGCCGAAAGAATAATTTCACAGAAATAGTTGCAACGCCGCGCCGCGCGCCGCAGCGATTCAGGAATCCTCGGTGAATGTAAAAAGAGATGGCGCAAGGTCTTTTTATTGACTTCCTTTACGGACTCGAGCAGGATATCAGCAATTAAATTCAGCGAACTGCACAACAATACTGAGAATATTTCCAGCGGTAATCGATAGTTTTGTTTGAAGGTTCGCCTAGTGGCGTGAAAACAGATATTGCCAGCTGATCGACCTCGAAAATCACGTTCTCGCAGATGAGGTCCACTCGCATCTCGCAATACATTTTGCGTCATACGTTTTCAGGATTAAATCCTATAATTTACATAGAACTTGTAGAAACAGATGCGTTTTTAGAAAAGCGTTTAGCGGAATTATCTGCGAAAATGACCTGTAATTTACGACGCATCAAGGAGATAACGATTAACACTCGGCATAATTATCGTAAAGATGTAATTAGCGGCTAGACATTCGTCTCCGACAGTTTCTCAATCTTAAACGAGGACCGAAAGCGTTCGCGTGTAAATTCCGGAAACGCGCGACGGTAACTTTGACAGCGTTCCGAAGCGCGCGGAAGCGGCCGTCATCGTTAACGACAGTCCCGGCATTAAGTAATGAAGATACAGCGGAACGTGAGAAAGAGCAATGACGGATTAGGCGGAAGCGAAAAAACGAGAGAGAGAGAGAAAAGATAGTAAAGAAACGAGTAAGCGGCGGAACAGTAGTAACGACCGGCCGTCGTCAGACGCGTGTTCACGACGCGTAGAGGGGCACATTGTCGCCGCCGTCGTCGTTTACAAAATTATATGCGCAAATTATGTTTCTGGAGAGTACAAGAGCCACGCGCGCGTGAAACTTTGCAATTTCACCCGTTAATACCGGACATTGCGTCAACGTAATTATTTCTTCGAACATTATCTCCGACGCGGCCTGCCTGGGAGTCGTGGCATCGCTACTCCGCCGCGCCGCGCCGCCTCGCTGTTTGTTATCTCCTTCTCCACGACAAATTAAATCACCTGTACGCGTTCAGTGCCGGTTAACATCCGGTTAGCCGAGCGTCCGAGACGTATCGAGACGCTCGTTAATTTCGGATGCTACTCAAAGTGATTTAATTCTAACGTATCGTGATTACTCGTATCGGGTTGCCGGGGAAATAATATAATCGCGTGACACATAGCATCAGAACGTGACGCAACGTGACGAAGTAATGAATAATAATAACGAGTAATGTGTAAAATATATTATATATGATAATGTCAAGTATATGAAAAGTTGATTAAAATAAACCCGTGCGCTTGATCGATGAACGGATACTCGGACGCGCGGGTCGCACTGACAGCGCTATATTATTACACTTACAGGCAGGAGGAAGCAATTTACAAGCGGCGAGAGAAGCGAAAAAAATAAAGAAGTAAAATATATAATTGAGAGATAAAGGAATACTGCAAATGCTAAGGATTATACACGTAGCCGCGTAAAATTATATAAATTGGACTCTTAAATTCAGGACGTCCGCATTAAGGAGCGAGGGATGCAATTACACGCGTGGAAACGCGTTACCGTTACGGAGTAATTGAAAGGGGAGTGCGATAGTGCATGAAAAGCGATAAGAGAGTAAAAAGGACCTGGCGGTAGATATCGGTAATAATCCCTTCGAGGTGGAACGACATTAGGCGACTCACGAGAATGGGTCCGGTCGGGTTTCATATAATTCCTTATATTGACTCCTATACTCTGTTGCACGTCCCGGGCGTATACACCGAGATCGGATGTCATGGGCGATAAATCGGCCACTCTCGGCTCGAACACATCCAGGATTCCCAGCTGCGGAAGAAACAGATAAAAAAAAAAAAGGAAGACCTCTTAGAGAGATTATGTAAACTACGACGCAAATGTCGACGCAAATATGCACCAGTCACGCATACGTCGATAATAATCTTGATTCTTCCTTCCTCAATCTCAATCCTTCTGTACATCGCAAAACGTTAAGAAAATGTTACTTTTTGTTACATACGATGCCTTAGAAAAATAATTTAAGAGCAAACAAACAGAGACAAAGTAAGATGTAATTTATAATTACGTTTAATTGATATTTAACAATTCAAATCTGTATTCTTCTCATTCTCAGTGGATGATCCTTGAGATAAAAGTCTTTGAAAATGAAAAAGTGTAGAAACTATGGAAAACTGTACGATACTTTTATGCGCGATTAGTTATTGGCTGTACATCTAGAATATATTTTTTCTACCTTGGCGCCCATTTGGCATTCGTAAGATATTGACGTGAAAGAGGACGACGTGTTATCCCCTTACCCTTTGCAGAAATGACGTCAGTGTGACGAAACCACGCAGCATGAACGAAGGTATAGTGGCCCTGACCCAAGTAGGCTGTAATCGCTTCCTCAACAATCTCAATGACTTTCCGCTGAGATCCCTCGCCAGCCGGTGCGTGTCCGTTTTATCCGTGGGCATGAAAAGTATAATGTTGTATCGGGGATCCTTGAATGTTAAGGAGATAACAGAAATTCCTTGTATTGTTAAGAAAATAATTGAGATTTTTTTTGTACTGTGCAGTTATACTTGAAATTGTACTAAGAATAATTTATGTAATTTCTAAACATCAACTGTACATTGATTACAAGGCTATTTATTTAAATATTATTTAAATATATATTCTGTCCTTGCTTGTACACCGCATAATATTTTAATTTAAGAAAAAGATAGTCAAGGCTAGGCTATTTGAAATAAATTGTAGACTGTGACTAGAACTGCGCAATATTCTCAAATTTTTAAGAATCAAGAAAATTTTAAATTAAAAATTAATAAATCAAGCTTAAATTAAATCCTTCAAGTTCTGAGAAAGAGAAAGGTAAACTAGATCACGTTAAATTTTCACGTAGACTTACGTCTAAAGGAAATTCGAGCGCGACAGCCTGCAGCGATGGGAAGTACGCGAAGGGCAACACAGCGATGTATCTCGAAGCCGATACCGAGGAAACGTCGCAACCGTTCACTAAAAACGACATCTCTGCTGATGAATCTCCGATGGAGGACTCACCCGGATTTACCGTGTTATACGATTTCCAAATCTCTAAATCTTGCATCCAGATACCTTCGTCTGAAAAATAGGAAATCGAATCCCATCAATCATTTAACATTTTCTGTTTAAAGAAAAATTCGTTCTTATATTCTCGTATAAATGCAATAGAAACGATAATTTCTGTCGTAAAATTTCATAATTCTCTCCGCTAAAACATAATTTGATATTCATGACTGCATAATTTACATAGGAATTGCAAATAATTTAGTATTGGAATTTTCCTGCAGGACAAATTAGGGAGATTGAACCTGTTTGCGCGTGTTGTAATTCTCAATTTGATACAAGCGACATATAATCGAAGAAGATATTCGTTAACTGAACCTGACCTGGGTAGCTAGAAAAGTATCCACGCGGGCTTCTTGCTTCGCGTTTATGAAGATTCGGCGATCCGTCCGTTGACTCGTCTTTAACGGTATCGTTGTTAATTATATCCGTCAGATCTTTCTTCTTTCGATTCATCGAAATGGTATTTTCATCCACGAGAGACGCGACCGTTCGATTATCCACGGAACTCATCGTAGAATTCGCGACTGTGAAGTTATTCCCAGCAAGATTGCCCGACGTCGCGTTTGTTCCCGGAATAGGCGATACCACGGTCGTCGCAGAATTGACCGCACCGTCAATATTGGTCATCGTCGTCGTTGCGAGGTCATTCGCAGCGGTCATTCCTGGATTATTCCCGGCCGGAGTGTCTGTCGACGTCTCGGTATTCGATTGTGAAACAACGCCGTTCACTATCATCGTTTCGGTAACGGGACTCGGGATAGTCACGTTTGCGCTATCCAAGATTGCTGGTACCACAGTAGTTAACGAATTCACAGTAACGGTACTCAAGGTCGCGTTGGGTGCGGACGTATTAGCGGGCATCATGTTAACGACGATTGTGCTCGCAGCCGCCGATGCGTCAGTACTCGACGCATCCAAACTCGACATACTTGTTGTCGTTGGTACCTCGGTGTTCGCAGTGAAAGTTAAAGGTACTTGAACATCAGTACTCATCGATCCCATCATGTTAGTATCGGTCGCAGTTGCCATACTCGCGCTAGTCGATACTTGAACACTCTCGTTAGGAACGCTAGCACTTGTTACAGTATCGTTGGCTGCAACCGTCGAGGAAGTCTGCGGACCCTGATTGCCCTCGACTATGGTTGTTGTAGTAGGAATCGTTTGGTTGTCTGTGTTTACCATCGGCGTAATCGTATTCGGCGAACCCGCGTCAGTTTCCGTACCAGTGGACGGAGTCAGCTGGACACTTTCGCCGGAAGTAATTGTCGTTGAGAAATTTGCCGATTGCGTCGGCGACGTGTCTTGGACAACTGTTCCGGCGCTGGTGACCGGAGTCAATGTCGATTGTACATCGGTTGCACCCGTTGGTGCCATCGTGACAGTTTGCTGAGTAACGTCTGCCGCGGTCGATGGAACGACTGTTGTTTCCGCACCAGCCGGAGGAAGAGTCGTGATAGCACCCGTTAACATCGTCGTTGTCATGTCCGACACATTCCCAGTGTCTACCATCCCTGCTGGGAGCGTGGTTAAGCCGACTGTGGACGTCGGAAGTTCGGTTATACCTGACGAGTCTCCCATGCTAACGGTAACGTTCGCTTCTTGCCCAATACTCGACAGATCGAAGCCGTAAAACTTCAGAATGTCTTCATACTCGGGACGGAGTCTGGTGTTCTCTCTGCTTAGCGTCAGCCCGCCCAGGAAGCCATCGGCGTTAAGGTAGCTCTTGAAATCAACATCGGTGTAATTCAGTATGCATGTACATAAAACTGATTATATGTTCTAATTCTAATATTATTTATAACGATTATCAATTTTGTTTCTCGAAGATAAATACATTTAATGATAAAAAATCAACAAAAGTATGTCAAATAATGCAATTGGAGTAAATATCAAATCGGATTTGTATGAAACATGATAGAAAAAATCCAAAAAGTGTCTAATCCTTTGAGTGTTTTTATCACCTAGATATTCACATTACGCAGAATCTTACTCGTAATCGTCGGTGAATGTCCCTGAAACCGATCCTGGTAACATCTCGGTTGGCTGGTAGGCCTAAGGCTTCGGCGATTTGTTGACTTCCTCTACCCGCGGATCCTTCGTAGAGCGCCGCCAGCACGAAGGCGACCCCCGTGGGTGAGAACGCGACGTTTCCCCGCGTCGAATATTGCTGAAGGATCCTCACCCCGAGCTCGTTGACGACGTCGGTGATCACGTCGACCGGACGCTGCGTATCCGCGCGACCATACCAAGGATCGTACCTATAAGCGAACGCGGACGATACTGCTGCAACATAGTGCCGCATCAGTGGGAAACTTTAAAATGCATTACATTGCCTAATTCGACGCATTATGTACACATCATTTATTTCGCTAAATTCAAGTTTTCCCACGAATATAACGCTGCCAGTTTCTTCACGAGCCGCAATCATATTTTAACATGGTTCTTCTGGAAATTCACAAGACAATTCTTACACTCTCTCCGTTACAATTTATACCGAAAGAAAATTGACATTACATTTATTTGTTGCGCTTTCGTTACGCGAAGGAGAGGCTTCAACTTTCAAGCTCATATCTAAAGACACGGTCGCTTCGGCGGATTAATCCAAAACGCGAAAGTAATAAAAAAAAATCAAGGTAATCAGCCTTACGTACGTTGCAATATTATAATCAGGTGCAATGGCTTTCCCATATCGTTTCCGGGACGATGCCTTCCTTCTCGATATCTCCGATCCGATTGCGCCGAGCCGGAGACGGAGTCCGCGACGCGATCCCAGCCGGTTCTAGTCTCAGGATTAGCCTTAGTCGTCCGCGCTCTACGTCGGGACTGGCTCAGGCGGATCAGGTACGCCAGGCTGGCCGCCTCTAGCTCGTGGTTCGATTAAGACCCGCTTAAGGGGCCCGTCCAAGGCGCGAGCGAGGCCCGCTCGAGGCCCGGCTCTTGAGGGGGCCCGTTCGAAGACCGCCGATTACTACCGCGACTTCTTAAGTGGCTAAGGTCGTAATCCCCGTTAAATTGCGCACATAGCTTCCCTGCCAGCCGCCAGTTTCTTTTCTTGCCGCTCTTCTTCTTTATTCTTTCAGAGGCCTCTATCTCCCAGCGTTTCGACAGGAAGGGGATCCTAAGTATGCCGCTGTGCATCGCCGCGCTCATCTGTGCCCACGTTTATGATCTCGAGTACCATTGCGGAACGTGAAATATGTGCGTGTATGTGTGTGTGTGTGCTTTATTCCCTCTTTATAATCCAATGACAAAGTTATTACGATTTCACGATTGAAGTATACCAGTGAATGACCGAACCGAAGGATATTGTTACGTAATTGAACTTCTTTCAGGAGATATTATATTTGGTCACATTTTTACATTTTCGGCATCACGTAAAATTATAAATGTAATTTATTAAAACCAAGGAAAGCGTTTACTTGTGGTGAATTAATTGCTTCGATTAAATAAAAATTGATTATAATTAATCAAAGGTGGATATATCACACTTTCGTACGCAGCGAGCCTTTTTTTTACGTTATTTCGCATGCCACTCGTTGGTGCACCGACCTCATTCGCGATTTAATCGAGCGAGCCGAAAATTCCTCTCTCCTTCGTCGATCGGTGGCGATCGTACGTCTATCCGCGCGCCGGCCACAAATCTTCGAAAATATGCGGATATTATCGCGCACGCGATAACGGTAGACGCGGTGGTCGGCGCGGCCGCGCACGTGAGACGCAGTGAAGGCGAGGCGAGAATCTTCTTTCGACTGATCCAAGTGGGAGGATTGCCGCGAATGAGGCATTACGTAATGTCGCGATGACTTTTACCGCGCCGCGAACGGCTGCTGAATGCGCAATCCAGAATCCAGGATCTGAACGCGCGAACCCATCAACAATGGGACGCCGCGAGCGCGATCATGCCTTCGCGTGCGTTCCTCCTCATCCTGTTCCGTTCCATTGCTAACGAAACCGATTATTATCGAATGAGAGGCGGCCGATCGACGCGCGGTCGCGTACTCTTCTGTTCCTGCCCACAATGTTCACCATTCGTTCCTAAGATGATAAACTTGACGATGATTGATGCGCGATTCGCTCAAGTCGATCTCAAATTGTCCATTTGCGATCGATAAGAGATGGACCGTATCAATTTCGACCGTACAATAAGGAACCATCTGTCATTTTTAGGATTTTATTTCTTTGGATCGCAGAATGTGTTCGAGAGATATGAAATTGAAACCAACGCTTACCCGATATTTATGATTATAATTACTTTTAATATAATGATAAAGAATAGTCTTATTTGTAACTAAAAAATCTATCATAAAAAGTTTTTTTTTTCAATAGATTCTATACTACATAATTACGTCTAAATGATCGGTTCTGCCTCAAAGATAAAATTTGTACAATTTTATTGAGCATAAAATCGCTTTACAAACAGCTTTCTAAAGCTTGCTTTTTACGAAATACATGACCGCTGTAAAGGAATCTGTGCCAAAAAATCATGTCGTCTAAATTCATAATTACAATATAAGCGGCTTGTTTCACGTAGCTCGAGAAGTCACTGTACTCATGCGAGAATGGTCCCTGTAATTAACACTAGATATAATCAACGATAAAATCTAATTGCGCATGCAGATGTTCTAGCCGACGCGACGGTGAAGCTATTTCGTGAGAAGTAAAGAAGCGTTTAATCTGTAATCTATCCACTGCTGTATCCAATTCAAGAAACAAAAGGCTGAATCAGCTTGCGTCGCCTCGACACTTGGCGCTTGTGCCAGCAACACTCGCAGCACAAAAGAAATATCGATCCGGTTATGCCTGAAAGGAGCACAATGACGAGTTGCTTTTACTCCCACGAGATGCTTTATTGCACCTCCCCTCCCTCCCTCCCTCCCATATGGCGGTACCGCAAACGAAAAACACGTTACCCATGAAAAGCACGAAAAATATGCCCTGCATATCTGCGACGTTTACTTTGCGCTCCACTACGACCTGGTTGGCGAAGCTGTCCGAGCATTTGTCTTTCATCGGTATTTGCTCCGCTATCCACTTGTTCATTAATCCAGATTCGTGCATGCGGTGTAACCTGAATAACGAGGCTTATTCACTTAATAATGGGCTCTGACAAAAGCAGACACGGATAGAAATGATCACCGATTTGAGACAGTTACGAAGTGACGACTTATCAATATCAAAGATTTACAGAATTAAAAATTCGCATGCAATTTACGTACCATTAAGAAAAAAAATTAATAAAAATTGCATTAAAAAAATTAGAAATATTATGAACCACTACACTGGCCACTTTACCGCCGTGAGATTGATTATTGTACAATAAAACGGAAATTAGCTTACTCAGCGTTGATGATTTTTATATAAGGACTATCTTTCGCAATAATCATCGCTATGGGCTCGTCCATGAATTCATCAGTGCTCAAAGAAAAGGCGCATCCCGCAGTTAATAACAGGTCGTTCCTCATCGCGAATCTGCTCGGGCAATACATCATTATCGTCATTCCTATCGGGTGGACTAATTCGTTTGGTATGCAGGATGAAATATTTAAACGACGGTGTTTCCATTTATGGCGAGAGAAAATAATGTTCAATGAGCAAAAAAATATAGAAACATTTACTTCGTCAGACTTTGCGCAACTTTTTCTCGAGAAAGTTTTTCGTAAATTTATAAACAGCGGGGACGTTTTTTCATTTAAAAATATCCATTCTGTATATGAGATTACCTCAACGTACTTCTCCAGTCGATCAACACGTGCTTGCCCGCCTTTACCTGCTCAATCATTTCCGCTTCTTGCGTCGCGTTATGAATTATGGATCGCTCCAGAAGAGTATGATACTTTTCCTCCTCGGCATTCTTCAGATACTCCTCTAAAAAGCTGCCATTAGGAAAGCCCCAGGTTAATCTGTTTTTATGAGCAATAAGATCATCCACGGTCAGGACGGCAACGTCCATGTTCGGGAATGTCAGGAACGCGACCAAGCTTCCGGAGTAGGTCGCTACCACGACCATCACGATCAACCACCAGACAGCGATCAGCAGACGGGCGCTGTCAGAATGGGGTAAGTACATTCCTCCTAAAATCATTCGTACGCACCTTTGCACTTCTTCGAAAAAGAAAATATAATTTCTTTTATTTTTATTTAAAAATGAGCATAAAAACAAAACGACTTTTCTAATAAGAAATTAGTAATTAAAAGAGTAAAATGATTCATAAAAACGAAGAAACGCAATAATGAATACGGCGAATACGTAAAAAAAATGATTTGGAAAGTCCGGGACATCTCGTATGTAAAATAAAAGAAGCGAGCGGATACTACCTTGCTGAAGAAGAGCCCCGTAGACGTACCATACGCATTGCCAGGGGGAATTCAGTCCCGACGTCCTCGTGCTGTTTGGATTACACTTGTGAACCAAGTACAAGATCGGGCCCATTATAATAATCGATGCTGCCAGGCAGGCCCATGTCTGCAAGAAAAATTAGTCCGCTTGAAGGCATGCGTGTATACGCGCGTGAAAATAGATCGGAGGTAACCGAACTAACTGGGAAAACTGTCAATACGCTTCTTGACAGGCTCAATATTAAGTAATAAACTTCCGGCCTCGTGTCGCGCGATCGTTACATAAATAAATTTCCACCTTCACACGTTGTTACACGTGAGAGTTAAGCTTCATAAAAGTTTATATTTTTATATGATTCTCACTTTACGAAATAAAATAATTATTTGTCTTCTATAGTCTATACGAACTTTAATTGCTTGGAAACGTACGCATGATTTACCTCTTTGGTGAAGGGCGCGGTGAACAACAACGCTCTCGAAAGTTGACCCGGTTTTGCAGTCAGAAAGCTATACGTCTGTATAAAAATCGGCAAGGTAAAATTGATTTTTCCTTTTCCCTGATCGTTCACGGTGTGCGCGCAGGCTGCGAGGAGAACCCTCTTGTCCACAATCATATCTATTATCTCCTGCGGTATTTCTCTCGTTGTCGACGTTAACACCTAACACATAAGACACACATCACGCAGTTAGATTTACGCCATACATCGATCGAATGAGCTAAGTTTGGATCTTTACATGGAGATCGTAAAATAAAATTATAAGTAATTTATTTAAACACTTTAGGTTCTTTTTATTATCTAGCGAGGAAAGAAATGCTCAGTGTTCATGTTATGGAAAAATCGTTCGGTGTAATCTAAACTTTATTATACAAATTATTATAGCTTTACCACATCAGTCGTCTCGTTACGAGTGGACTTGATGGTCCGATTGCTCGCCGGGCTGAGCACGGTGAAGGTGAAGTTCAATTTTCTCCCTAGATATTTCATGACGTCGAAAACCAGCCCGCCGTATTCCTTTTCGCCGGAGTTGCTCAACGAGATGACCTGCCACGGCGGATTCTGAAAAAACGAAATTCACGTCCGGACGAGTGCGATCACGCGAGGAAGAGAAGGAGGCAAGGAAGAGATCTTTACACACATGATACGTGGCGACCGGTACGCTGATCCCTCGGAAACCGTGCGCGACATGCGGAAATAGAGCGTCCGTCAGATTCGCACCTAAAACGGGCATCCATATTCCCGAATCGATCAAATGTGCGACGTTTTTGCCGTGAGCGAAAAAATTGCCCCACGTTATGGCCGAGGCGAATCGCCAAAACAGGCATTTACCGCAGACGCCGCCCGTAGCGAAAATATCGTCCATAAGCTTTATCTGCAGGAAATAGAACTGTGAAGCTTCCGTCGAAGAGAATCTCCGCGCGCGATGGCATAGATACGATTTCTCGTGAATATTCGGAAAGGATAAAAATGTCTTAAACATGACAAGAACACTACAAGTGTAGTCTAAAAAAAACATAGAAATTTAATATGCATATTCTTAAGATCTCAGAAATTTAATTAACTTAATTTGCGTGTATGCGAAATCATGCGCAGGTTTATCGGAAAAGCTGCAGTCACGAGGAATCACTTCTATAGAAATCATTAATCCAAATCGAACATAGTATCAAAGATACGAACTTTGATATTTTTGAGAATTTCCTGACGTCTTTCGAGCTTATTTAATCGGATGAGTTCGAACTCCTCATCGGTCATATGACTGTACAATTCTATTTCGGTCAACAACGATAGCCTCAAAGCATTAGCCAAAGCCGCAACTAACTCCTGGATATAACACTTTAAATTGACCTAAAAATTTTTTTTCAAAGTACATAGTAAAAGAGAGAGATAGAAAAACAGAACATAAATTGTTTTTAAAAAGTCAGTAAAATCTTCTATTGCAAAAGAATTATCAAAAAATAACTTTTTTATAAATAAAATCATATTCTAGTTAAACTTATTTGATTATTTAAATTGTAAACTTTTAAGTAGTTAAAATCTGCACACATAAGAGAGAATAATTAATGAATTACATTGCAATATGTGTCGTTGTTCGTCGCATTATAAATGATAGCCACGTTACTGCCTTCCAATAATAAATCGGTGAAACTGGTAATGTTCGTGAAGTTTCGTGCTACATCAGTGATGACATATAACCACTGGCTGTCCGGTTGGGCCATATTTAAAGTTTTTGTCTAAATATACCAAATTCGAAGTTAAAGAGAGATTCAAAAGTAACAGAAGTAAATTTGTGTCCATAATTTGTGAGATTCTCTACAAATAGCATCCCGTATTTGACGTGAAGCACGTTAATTTTCAAGATCTATATTATAGAAAGATAATTTTACTGCCAAAATAAACCTCATAAATTATGGACTATTACTCGCTCTGAATTGATGCAAATATAAACGAAACCAAGAAGCTTTCTATTCATCTTACAGCTTCCATAACGTCAGCCGCTGCGTCTATCGTTACGATTACGAGAAAGCATCTTCCCAATTGATCCACGTTCAAATTCTCAAGCACGTCACTTATGTAATCTCTTCTGTTACGTTCGGAATTGGCGTGCTTAAAAGCGAACAACGATCTAGAAATTAAGTGAAATTTCTTGTTTGGCAACGAGGTCGATATGGCTTCTGTGACACTGCTGATCGTGTCTCTATCTACAAACCATCACGAAATAAAACGCGTTTTTAACGGAGATGCCAAGAGGTAGGAAAGAACGAGAAACGTAACGGGATAGAGAGAAAGATGAAGGATTAATGCTTAAATTGCGTCACCGAAGGTATCGTCGTGCAATATGTTGACATTGTTCCAAGTCAAAGCGTCGACCGCCCTCATGTCCAAAAAAATCTGGGCCAATTCTTTTCCAGGCGATATTAAGGGAATGCTCACACCCTCCGAATCAGGAAGCCGTGGACAATCCTGGTCTTTAAACAAATAAAATAAAACGTACGATACTTTATAACTTTGTCAGTGTTAGTTGTTTTATAAAGTTTAACGATTTAATTAAGTATACATTAAGATCTCTACGGATGTGTATATCTAGCTTGTATGAGGCAAAACGTATTACGTTGATGTAACACGATGCAATTCGTTTGGTGACGGTAGATAACAAAATTGAAAAGAGCACGATAACGATATCTGCAAATACCTAACATATTATGTCACCCACTGCAATCGCGCGATTCAGCGCCTAATTTTATATCCGTCTCAACGAGCAAATAAAAGAGGAATTTTCACGTACAATTTACTGAAAGTCTTTTTATATTATACGTACCTGTTATCGCTAAATGCACAAGCTCTTCTTTACGCGCTGCATCGTGAAGCTCCCACATCTGATGACACGTTGTCACGGATAAAAGCGCCGTGTAATCTTCATACATATATTAAATAAAAAAAAAAATTATTATGTAACTAAATCGTTCTAGCTTCGTGGACGAGGAATTCATTTAATTGCTTAATATACTTCCACGTGATAATCGTATGCTATTTACATTGTACTCTTGTAAAACGTACACATGCAATCTTATTATACCTATTCCGAAACATTTTGGATGTATAACCCGTGGTATAAGTGAATAAAGATGAAACAGACAAACGTTACAATTGCAACGATATTTGCGTTTGCTCTTACCTCGAAGACTATTTATTTTCATCCCGCGAAAGACACGCACATCAATGTCATTTGGATACATTTCTTTGCTCGTAACTGCCGCGATGAGCTTATAAATATTGTTTACCATGTCCTGATACTCGACCTTGTCATTGAAGAAACTTTTTTCGATGACGACCGCTGAGAGATTCAATGAAGAACAGTTTATTGTAACATTAATAAAATAGAAAAAAGCGGAGGAAGAAGAGTCAGGCGTGTATACCCATTGAGGCGTTGGTGGATACCAGCGACGGAAAGTCATTGAAAGCGTCAGCCGAATTAAGGAGCCACGCGAGGAAGAAGACGGAAATCATGTCCATCGACAGATCGTATTGGTGCCTGTCGCGTCAACCGGTCGATATATAAGCGAGGACATTGTTCAATAGTATATGAGTTCATTACTTTCCCGATTCATTATTATCGCATTAATCGGAACTTCATCAAGCTCGACCGGAACGCAATCGTGGACTAAGCCGTGCTCCGTCGCTCCGTGGTTTGTGGTTTGTATCACGAAACAAAGGAAAAAGGTCGATCCCTTTAATAACTTATCAAGAAACGATCGAATCTCATCACAGCTCGAACGAAGTGCATCATTGACCTACACGAGCGGAACTAGATTGAATTGAAAAAAATCATCGCGGGAAAGTAAAATGCGTCGAATGTTATATATTCAATCGATTCTCCCTTGGCCCGGATACCAGGAGAAAAGCCGTCCGCAAAAAGTTCGTCCTCTCTGTAGTTGTTTCTCTCTGCAGATCAATGAGATAGAATAACTTTTGCGATCACTGAACATTGTTTTATTTAACAATATATTGTGATTTAATTATAGTAATTGTTGTAGATTCCAGATGCTATTGCGTTGTGCTATTTTATCTGTAAAGAATAACTGCTTCAATACTGCTTGTGGTAGAGAGATGATGATGTTCCGCCAGTGATTAATATTTTTCTTGTAATAATAATCAATGCTCTTATTAAGAATTAATTTTTAATCTGCTCGAAAGAAGTTTTATTTACTATAGATCCTATGATATTTAGATAATTAAAAACGCACTTTAAGATGTTTTTATTTTTATAAAAATATATTTTTAGTAGAAATATACAATTGTATGTGTTTCTTTTTGTTATATATCTGCACATAATAATGTTATCACGCAAGAATGTAATCGCAAGAAGAGACTGTTTTTACAGAAAATAATTTTGCAAGAGAGTAAAAACCATATGAAAATAAAGTATTTTGATCATTTAATATTAAATTGAGAAATTTTTGATGCTTTTTCTTAAGATTTTTATAACAAATTAAAGACTCCAGGAGGTTTCACTAAATAAATTATTATTTATAATATTTATCTGCTTTTCGTAAACTGTTTTTTTTTCTAAGCATAATAGAACTTTTTACATAATAAGAAACACACTAGAATTTACATTACGTCTAAGATATTTCCATAATGTAGAGAGATTTAACATAAAAAAGTAACATCCATGGAAGAAGTAGTATATATTACTTATAGAATACTCATAAAGCAATCTTGAATTTTTAAAAACTTGAAGATTGCATCACTCTCTTGCAGATGTTAAATGCAGCAACCAGTACGTGAAAAGTAGAATATTATGAACAAAAAGTCAGGCAGGATAAAATGAGTTTTTTTTTTATCACTTAGTTTTATTACATGCTATCTGTAATTACTCGATATCTCTTGGCGGAAGGCAAAAGGCGAGACGGAAAAGTTATAAATGCGTTGCGGTCTACCACTTTTCTCCGTCCGAAGTTAGCACGTGATAAGAACGCTATCCATTGTCTGCGTTCTATTGTAAATGCCTACGCAGGAATAAAGAACCGAAGTGGAAATCGAAAACTTCATTTTGTATAGGTACTTTAAATACTGGCTATTTATTTGCGAGTGAAATTCTTTGTGCATTTATTCAATAGAAAAAAATGAAAATTTTTGTATTTTAGTTTAATACCTAATGGTCTACTAAAAATATGTATAAACGGCAGTGGCTAATTTATTTTCTCCTTTTTCTTTGTTTTGAATTTCCGCGATCACTGAAATTGCTCAAATTGCAATATCAGTTTAAAGGTGTTAGATATATTGATTTTTCATTAACCATATGCGAGAAATGACATAAACAAAGCACACATATCCGAGTTTTCGAACAGGAATTCCCGCTTTCGAATTTTGAATGCAAAAGTGTTACAGTCGAGTGAAGTTAGCTCCTATAGTTTATGCCAGCAAAGCAAGCATATTTATTCATTTAAATTCGAATCTTCACGTATCTTTACACTAGAAAACTAAGAAAATATAGAGCATTAATTTTTCATTCTGAATGTAATTCTTTAATGTAATTTTTTCGTAATTACATTTTTAATGTAATTTTTAAAACTGACGCGTTAAACTTTGACACTCGACAGTAACAAATTACGATCAACGTGTAGTTAGCAAACATGGAATGCGGCGTGTATATCTTCATTCAAAATTTACATTCGCCCTATTCGCAGTAATTTCTTCTCGAAATCCCACGAACATGGATTCAATTCTAGCGAATTTATCGAGAAAAAAAACGAGAGACATCGGGATTTCCACAGTGAAACTCTCTCGAAGTCGAAGAGGAAGAGGGAAGAGTGCCGACGCAAATACCGCGCGGAGTCGCGGAGCGGCGCCGGCGATTCGAACGACATCGTGCGTGCGCGCGTGCAGTTCCGGTGCGCGCTATCCGGCGCGCTGGCGCTGAGCGCACGCAGCGGAGAGCAGGCGGTGTGCGGGACAGTACGGGATCCGGGATACGGTCGGTCGCGCGGACGACGAACGTGTCGGTGTTGGTCTCGGTGTCGCGCACGGCGCGGTGCGTAGCGCGTGTGTCGCATTGTGCGTTATTACGTATACGGCGTGCGGTATCGGCATACGGCGTACTGGAGCCCGTTCCGAGTTCTGATCAGTTCTGATTCTCCCGTTCGCGCTCGACGGTGGTCGTCGCACACGCTGGCGGAGTGTTACACTATCTCCTCTCCTCTCTCCTCTTCCCCCTCGCTCTAGGTGAAATGTCAAGCGTCCCGCGTTACCATGGGCTGAATCTCGGCGTGCCGTAAACTGTCAAATCGCGCGCACGACGAGGCGAGAGGACCGCGTGCCCGGGGGAGGTACCCAGGCGAGCGACCTGCGACAAGCGCGGAGACGCGAAGGCCGGAGTGAAAGTGAACGCGCCAAGTCGCTCTCGCGATTCTGCCTATCTTTCCCTCTTCTTTTCCCGGAGGGCCGCGTAAGCGTTTTTCCCCGCGACGGGGACAAAGGGTGAGACCACGAGGAGGCGACCACCCACCGTCGTGCGACCCGCGTCGATGTTCGATCGTCCGCGATGGAGCCCGAGGAGCCTCTCATGCAGGGGATACTGCTGTTACCGCCGCAGGGAATGCTAGGCCAGCTCAAGGTTGGTTTCTCGCGGCGGAGATAACTCGCGGGATGCGCACCACGTTCGCGCGATACGCGATATCGCGTGCACGCGCGCGCGCGCGCGAACACCAGCGCGACGCATCATCCGCGAACGGCTGTTCGTTCCCCCTCTCCCGCTGTTCCCCCATTTTTTTCCACCCTCCTCTTCCGGCTCGACCTGCAACAGGTACACGCGCACGCCAGCACGTTTTTTAAACGATCATTCAAAAGGTGTATTGAGAGAACGAATTTTATTTTTACATTCTGACTGCTCCCCTCGCATCATACAGCCTCTTTCTCTTTTTTACATAACGGGAAGATCTCATATGCCCATTTGTTCCCAGAAATCGTGGCACAAGAGATTCTGCCAGCTCTTCAGGACGAGCAACTATGGGATCAAACGTGTCGAAATCTACGACAGTCAGGAAGAAGCGATACTGCAGTCTCATTCCCCGCGCATTGTCACCCTGGACGCCTGTATAAAAATTGCACCCAGCAATCAGTCACACGTCTTCAAGGTGCGTATTTTTCTACTCTCCATTTGTTTCCAGCATCGCTCTGCATCTAACAGTTTTTTTTTACTGTTTGCTGTCTCGAGAATGACCGCTATTTAATGTGTTCGTATTGCATACAGGTGGTGACTAAGTCGGGAATACACTATTTCGGCTGTTACTCGGAAATTGAGATGACCCATTGGATCACGGCGTTCCAGTTAGTCGCGTTCAAGGACAGTGCGTCGAATCAAATAGAAGAAAACAACGATCTGTATTGCACTAGTGGGGAAGGTGTATTCTCTGTGAAAGTTGTAGAAACGGACGCGTCCAAGCGGTGTGGACTGGAAGCGAGAAACTATACCTTGGTAATCGCCGCGGTGGACATGAAGCTGATGGACGGTGACATTGTTCTATTCACATGGCCGTACAGGTACATCAGGAGATACGGATATAGAGATGGGAAGTTCATCTTCGAGGCTGGAAGAAAATGCGTATCCGGCGAGGGCTCCTTTCGCCTGGAGCACGGTAGCCAACAGGAGATCTTCCGGTGCATGTACGCTAAAATGAAGTCTATGAAAAAACTATTGGACGAGGAAAATAATTCAAGCATAGAATGCAACGACACTCAATTCCAGGCAGCCTTGTCCATGGAGCCTGGCTCTAGAGCGGCTCTACCTCCCTCTTCAAACAATTCCTCGAGCAATTTGATCGACATAGAGTTTTCTACCACGCAGAATTCTCAGAAGCCCTTGTCGGTCTCGTCGACGAGCATGGATTCTGCGATCTCGTCGAGCAGATCGATAAACAAATCCAAGCCCGCCAAACCACCACGGAAATACGTCTTCGGTAATCTGCTGGAGAAAAGAAGTCCTGACTCGGAATTCCTAGATTTGCCCACGTGCGGGGAATATAGAACTATAAGCCAAGGAAATTCGCCGGAATTATCTCACAAGACCATCGGCGGGGTTATGCGCGAGGACGAGGAGAAGCACCCGTACGATTTAGTGGAAATTAGGAACGACGCTTGGAAGACGCACGGTATCGATAGCGTGCATCATACGGAAAGAGTGAACTCGAATCTACCCGATGAGAGAGATAAGGAGAACGACAACGACGATATGCAATACGAGATTATGCTGCCGATACGGAATCATGATTCATTCCAAAATTCGTTTAAAAGCAAATGCGGCGACAACGCAATTGTCACGCCGTCGACGATGCAAAGTGTCGCCAAGACAGACGAATCGGATTACGATAAATTGGAACACTTTGGATCCGCGACGAAACTTAGTCAGAAGTCTGCGTATAAGTATACGAATTCCTCGCAAAGCGTACATTCCAACGTTTCTCACGGAGAAAGTTCTAATCTTCCAGCGTGGTCTAGTTACACTATCGTCGAGGATATGTCCGCTATCAGGCTGGCCGACGACAGTCATCTCGGTTATGGGATTATCCGAAAGAAGCAGGATCTCCCTGAGACAGCTTCCATTGGCAATACCACGGTCGGTCCGCAGCATAAAGTTTTCAACGACAGCGAATACGCAATTGTATCGAAACCAAAAAGGGTGTAAAGTACCCGTACATTCGAGTATCCTTTTAAAATATGATGATCATGCCATAAATTCGCTTTTATAAAATTCTTATCTTTTTTTTTTTAATTATTTGTAAGGATATGAAGAATATGCTAGTCTATATCGCGTTAGAATAAAAGTATTGCTCTTGTTTTACAAATTGATTGGCACGTTACAAAACGATAAAAATAATATCGTTACTTTCGCATTATCACATTTGTCCAACATTTTTATTCGCTTTCTATATCATTTTTTTAGAAACTAGTCTTTTAATCGCTGTCATATATAAATAGGATATCTAAAAAAATGTAAACTTTCAAAAATTCTATAGATTTGTGCCTTCTTATGAAAGATATTCTAGTATTGATTAGGAAAGCTCAAAGTGATTAGTATTTTATCTAACTTCATTCGACTGATTTATCAAAATACCTGTATAGTGCCTTATAGAAATGAAAATATTTTAATTGATACCAAAATAATACTAAATCGTTGTAAACGTGCATGCGCGTTGGTCTTGATATTTGAATATATATATTGGTGTACTTAGAAATTTATTATTACATATTATTACAGTCATAATTTTCTATTACTAATTTACTTCTACTATGATTATACCCCTGTTATCGCTCTTACTCTATAATTATCTATTAGTTATTATATTTTTAAATTACAATGCGAAAACACGTTCTATGCAGGATTATAAACTTGATTCATTTAAACAGCGCGAAACTATCTATATAAATATGTACATAATTTAATATAAGTGCTTTCATAAAAAAAATAACAAATAGATCACAATTGGATAAATTTATAGATATTTAACAATTATATGCTGCCGCAATTTTATATATACATATGCATAATGAATATTAGTGCTTTCATATTAGTGCTTTCGGTGATCGAGTTGATCAACCGTCTTAATATAGACACTAATCGTATGAAAATTATCACATTGGATTTTCTAAATCCAGAATATTAAAAGTACAAAAAAATTTATTAGGATGTTGCATATCTAGTATATATCTAGTATATATATTACAAATATGTATTACATGTCTACAGTGAAGAAACAGATAGGCTAACTATTCGTATCATAGAAATCACTATTATTCATTATGTTCAAATTAATGACTACAGGTCACATGCAATACTGATATATATATTAGAAGAATAAATATTATCTTTTATACATATTTTTTATTTACAGTCTTTTTACAAAATTGTATAAAGTACCATAATAATTTTAAGAATTTATTGAGAAGCCATTTTGTAACAATATGTCCTTTGTGCCAAACAAATGGTCTACCATTGATTGAAATATCAATTTATACATAGATAATTATTGATAAGAACTCTGCGCAAATCAATAAATTCCGGAATATATTGAACAGAAGGCGAAAACTATTTTTTAGAACAAGTATTGTTAGTTTTAGCAGATATATTAGGAATATAAAAATAATGATATACATGCGTAAGGTTGATTCTTACTGACGTGTAATTCTTTTACATATACTTTTTTTTTTGTCAATATTAACAATATCCGCAGATAAATTTTGTTTTAAAATAATGTTCCAGTCAACGTGACGATACTTTCACCTAAATGTAAATTAATGATTTTCTTTCAGCGCCGTCTGTATCTTTTAAAGCGACTTGCATACCTTTTACGGCTGCATTTATCAGTTTTATATATTATAAACACAAATTACGCAATAAATTTGTAACAAAACATCTTGCATTTGCCTACACTCATTACTGTACTTTTGTTTATGATACAGACTAGTCTTTGAAGGAAATTTCAACTCCCCTTTGATTCTCCTATCACTTTAATTTCGTCAGGGTGTTCGTCGCCCACTTTTATCTCGCTGGCGTCCTTCTGGTTCTGCAACTTGAACTCCTCCTTCAAAACGGCCTCGTAGTAACCGTCCGTGTCGTTCATTACCTTTCGTACGGTTTCCCCCTTCAGTGCCATGAGCTTCTCGATGTTTATTTTCCTATCTATTTGCGAAAACCATCCTAAATTGTCAGCAATAAGGTGATTGTTCTTGCAACCGTCGCATCTCACTATCACCACTCCCTTATCATACGCCAGCTTCGATATCAGCTTGCTGGTTCTCGTGTTGCATTTCGTGCACGTGAACATCAGTCTCATCTTTCCCTCCAGCTTGCCCAATTCTCCGCGATTGCTGCCGTCCTCGTGGGCGAGTCGCACGTGACGGAGCGCCCGGATGCCGGTCGGCTCGCTTAAAGCCGGAGCGTAACAACATGCTGCGTGCCGAGCGCAAGCCACACGTGCACCAAGACGCAGCGCCTGTCGAATGGAAAACATCTCGATCTAGCGTTCGCGGCGACGTCGCACTCCTCGGGTCCTGTCTCGCACCTTTCGCAGGGGTAAAAAACGAGCTAAACAAGCTCTGCGCTTAAAGACGCGCGTCTACGCGCACAGATCTGCGTACGATCGTCCAAGAAATGTCGAGAATCCGGGAACGGGGATGATTCTGATTGATCCTGCGACCTGCGACAAACATTTAGATACGTCATACGTTCCTCTCGACTCCCAGAAACTTTGTTTTCAGACGACGTGACGATCACGCCGGTCAGAAGTCGTTTTTTAGGTTATATCTCCGCTTTTATAACCTAAATTTCTTTTTTTAGGATCTAGATTGAACTTGCCTAAATTCGACCACTTGTATCGATTATTCGATACGATTCAAAATTACGTTTCAGACACAGAGGACGACCGAAAATCCAGTAAAATCATACGTGACAGGTGACGAGAGCCATGCGAATTGCGAAGAATGCGAAGTCCTTTGGAGCTGCACTACGTTACACTTCTTGCACTTAAAATGAAACGGATTCTCTGCGAATAAATTACAATTATAGGGATAATCAATGAATTGTATGGTCAGAAATTTTGCAGCAAGCAATTCTTCTGCATTTATTTATTTTTTCTTTTCTTCTTGGTGACAGTGGTGCGTCCGTAAAACCATTATCTTCCATCCGTGCCGATTGAGCGCGGGAAAGCGGGAAGTCTGGGGATGCGTTCCAAAACTCATTCATGAACGGCACTGCGCACGATCCGCGTAGATGTATGTATGTAAACAAGAATTTGATTTAAACAGTTTACGTTGTAACGTAAATAATCGTAACTGCAATCGTTTGAGGTAACGTTGCGGTGCGTAGCGGAGCGGACGTACCAAGCGGATATCTCATCGCGAAGAGACACGCGAGTTGCTGATTACTACGGACCGTTTTTCCGACGTGAATATTCGAGGCGCGAAGTGACGCGCACATTCTAACCTACGAGCCTTGTCGTTGACGACAACAGACAACAGACGCTAAAAGCGATCATGAGCATCGAGGCAGGATAGGTATGTCCGGCTTCGTTCTTCGCGCACGCCAAGCAGCGAGGTGAGCGAAGGGATTCATTGAACGGCCGGACCGACGCGCGACTGAAAATCGCGGTATGAAAGGCCGCGGGTGCGGAAGAATGCATCGTGGACAGCTAGTATGGAATACGATTCGGAATCCAGCTGCGAGGGCCGTTGTCTGAGAGACTTCGAGAATTCGGACGAGCCGGCGGCGCGTGAAAAATGCGACCGACGCGAGAACGCCCCGCGCCACTCGCCACCACCACCGTCGATCGAGCCGTCGGCGTCGGGGTTCAGGTCGAGCGTCGGCAAGAGGAGTCTCTCCGCCCAGGTGATGGAATATTATCGCAAGTACTCCCGAGACGCCAATCTCGATCAGTATTTCTCGTTACCCGTGTCGAATGCTCCGCAGGAGGCGATTAAATACTATTACAGCGTGTACGAGTTGAGCGCCCAGGTAGGCTCGTCCAGCAGGCAGGACTGCGTCGGCGAGGAGTACAATCTAAAGTCCTATGTGCCGAGAGAGAGGCGTAGGTGGGTAAGACCCCCGTTGATCGGGCAGTCCTCGAATACAGACGCCTCATCCAGGTATATTCAACCGTTGACAGATATCCAGACGCCGTCGCCCGATCTCAAGCGCGTCACGCCTGAAACGATACACGAGGAGAGGAGTGACAGTCAGGAGAAGTTTCCGGAGGTGAACGAGAGAAAACTGTCCTCGCCGACTTCCAGCGTCGCGTCCTACAAGCCGCTGGAGTGGGACAGCGGCGCGGACGTCGGTTACTTCAACTCCATCGCTCACAATAAGCAAAACGACAAGAAGTTGAGCACCATAGAACGTATGGCTCTGGCGCGAGGATGCTCCGCTGCCCTACGCCTAGATCCGGAGGGCACCACCGAATCGGGGATGCAATCCGGGAAGAACGCGGCGACGCAAGGCGGCTCGAAAGCCGCGTCGACCGCTCCCGACGCGAACTCCACACCGTTGATCGGAAATGTCTCCGGATCGGAAAGCGAGATAGAGATAACGCCGATCGTGAAGAATCATTTGCCGGGAATTATAACGGGAGATGACATAAAGTCGCAGGAGAGATGCGTCCCGAGCGAGATCGCGCAACCGAAAGCCGCGGTGAGGCCTACCAGACTCGAGATACACGACACCCCCACGTCGTCGTTCGTGTTTAAAGTGCCACCGGCGAAATATTCGACGGTGGAGAGAAGGATCGTGAGTAAACGCAGGGAAGTCTCGCGTCCGTCGAGTTCGCCATTGAAGAAGAGCATCTCGATGAACGTCATACCCCCGTTGTCGTCGAAATTCTCGTTGAAGAGAAGCCAGAGCGAAGTGAACTTACACGCTAAAGAGAGGAAGACTGTGCTTCCCCTGATCTTCGACTCCACGTCCTCTATCGCTACCGTGGTGAATAAACCCGCCACTTGCGACAAGGTGATACAAACGAGTCCCGATGTGTGCGCTCAGGAATCCGTTGGCGTGCAGGTTTCCGATCTCGAGGAGAACAAATCGCCAACAGCGGAGAAGGATCCTAATCTACAAACGGCGATACATTCTATTTTGAAAAGGTCTAAAGGTACATATAAGGTTAAAAATCCACGAAAATCGGACGCTTCGCGTTCGGTGGGCGGCGACGCCGAGGACGGCGCAGACGCGAAGGAGAGCCAGAGACGACCGAACAGCTCGGACATCTCGCAGAACGCGTCGACCTCGGCGACGCCGCAGCCCGACGAGACGGAGAACGTGTCCGGGAGAGCCAATAGTTTCGAATACTTCCCGGGGCATACCTACGCGAACGTCCCGAACGAGAGGGACAGCCACGTTTCCTCGGACACCGGGAGATCGAACTCGACGTTACCGAACAGCAGTTCCAGCGTCAACGACAAGCTCTGGGGAGATTCGGACAGCCTGGTGCGAGATCTGGAGAGAAGCGTCAACATCCTGAAGAGTCTCGTCGACGCTAATAAATGCGACAAGCAGATCAAGAAGAGGCTGATACAGCACGTGATCAAGCGGCTCGTAACCGCCAAGTACACGGACGACAAAATTGAGCACAACTTGGAGGATAACGTTCCCTGGAATCCGGACGATGCCAGGAACAAGGTTTACCGAGCCGAGCTGCTTCAGGCCCTGGCGAATAAGCACAGCACCACCGAGTCCTCGGACGAGTGGAACCTGCGGAAGAAGGACGCGTCCATGCAGAAGTCCATGGGAACCGCTAGCGACGTGATAAAGGAAGTCGCGTTGGAGAGCAGTAACAGCGACAAGTTCGACCGACATACGGATAGGACGGAGATGGACGGTAGGAAGGCGCGACTGGGACTGAGAACGGACGATTGTCAGCAGACGAGCAACACGCCGACGGATCCCGACAAGAGCGAGAGCTCCGAATGCTTCGTGCCCCAGCGCAATCATAAGAATGCTAAGGTAAACGACATATTTTGCTTCAAGGAGAACTGCAAGTTGCCGCACAGAGAGTCGACCACGACGAACAGCATACCTCCGGATCGCAACAGAATCTTGTTGGACGCCGTCGTGAATAACAGAAGAACGCCGGTCGAGTCCAACAATAACACGGATAACAACACCGACTGGAGATTACCGACGACGTCGTCCGAAAGACAATTTGAATTGAAGAAGTGCAGCATGTCCGAATCCGGCGACTCCAAGCTGGTTAATTACGCCGAGATGGAGAAGAGAAATCAACTGATTTGGATTACAAACGAGATTAGCCATCTTTGTAACTTGAAAAAGTATGTTTTACACTGTTTTCCTAACTTTTTCTGTTTCAGCAAGCTTCTTTTAAATGCTGTGTCTTTCAATTTGGGTTTTACTTTATTTGCTAGATTGCTCGAACAACCCAGGCGATTAGAAAGACCGAAATCTTCGCCGAGAAAATCCAAATCGGCGAATCTCAAATCGAAGCAAGCAGCGGTACTTACAAGACGGGAACAACACGGAGACGTCATACACAGGTAATTCGTGTTTGTTTGTAGTGTATATATATATAACTCGTGCGATCTAATGCCATTTAATTTCGCGTTTTCAGGAGCGTGTCCGACCTGCGAGAGGATTCCGTTAACGAGCCATGGTCGTCTCACTGCAACTTGGCTGCGTGCGAAGCTGCCGACAATATGGTCCAGAGGATCATGAAACGTAACAGTTGCACGCAAACGGCCACAGGCGTGGCGAGTGCTTACTCGAAAACCGGCGGAGAGATCGTATCTGCCGGCAGAACGCGAAGATCTGCGAAGCATGTCGCTGTTGGAGTGCAGACGCTACCTCGGGAAGCCTCTTCGACACCGGTGACTGCGGCGGAGTCGGACGTATACGACGCGAAATACGCGAATCAGCAAAAACCGTGCGCGCATTATCAAAATGGCACCAAGTGCAGAGATCAATCGTGCCAAACGCACACCGCCCCGATTGTGCAGCGCACGTGCGCGCGATGCAAACAGAGCCCATCCGAGACAGCCTTGATCAAATCGCTAAAGGACCATCAAGGGGACGTGCCGGCTGTCTCGCAGCAGACGCAGACAAATTACGCGAGCGACAACAGCGTGACCGAGCCTGCTCATCGCCGTATATCGCAAAGTAACAACGTCCAGCCGAAACAGAAGGAGGCTAAAAATCAAATCAACGCGTCCAAATCCAAATGCAGTTGTACACGTGGCGTTTGTTCATCCGGATCTGACAGCAAGGGCTCCTCGGGCACCGTTAAAGCCAAGCGGACTGAATATTACAAACAATCATTTACGACATGTCCGTTGTGTTTTAAACAAAAACCTGCTGTTAGTAATACCCTCTGTGGGATGTGTCAAAAGAATCCCTCCTGCACGCACGATAACATCTCGGGGATCGAACCAACCTGTGGGAATGCGTGCGAGTGTGACAACCTTCCTGTTAACGACGCGGATAGAAGGATTATTATTGGGAAATCTCGACAAAACTACAACGCAGAAAGCCAGAGCAGAATACGCGCGCTGAACTACGGCGAACAGAGTGACACGGAGAAGATTTGTGATTGCGCGAACGATTGTGCTGCGTGCCATAATTCGGGAACCACCGCAGGAACGTTGCGCGAATGTTGTTCGAACGGTAAAATCGACAATAACGGCTCGTGCCGTTTTGAGTGTCACCTAAAGATAGCGGAGCATCAACCGCAGACGCGAATTTACTCTGACAGTTCGCAGGACAGCGACGTGAATCAACACCTTAAAGTACAAAGTAGCGTAAAATGCAATTGTGATGAGGCTTGCTCCTGTAGTAATAATCAAGCGAAAGACATTGTCAAAGGGAAAGCGCGCAAGAGTTACGCGTCAAAACCAAATTACGTAGACAATACTAGTATTAATAAGACCGAGAGAAATTACAAACATTGCCGGGCGTGTGGTGCCATGTATCAGAATACCAGGAAATGCGGTTGTCGTCAAACGTATCCCAAAGCTGTCGCGTATGAATTATCGTTTACAAAAGAGAATGTCTCGAAGAATGAGATCTCGGATATCGCGACGCCGAAAGTCCCCAAGCAGCCGTTGAACGCGGCAAAATCTGATGCCTGTCCTTGCGATATTATAAAAAAGAATAATTCCAACAAAAATCTTCATCAAATGAGTACATTGCAGGTAAAAATTTGATTTAGTTTAATAAATAAAATATTCAACTTGAATCTGATTGACTTGAAATAATTTTTATTTGTAACGGCAATATCCTGAAGATTGTTTAATTTCACAGAAGATAAGATAATATTGCATTACAGTCTTTTCGGATTAATGGCATTTCAATTAAATCAATTTCAGGATTATTTATCTAGAAATAATCCCGAATTTGTGGGCAATGCGGAAACACGCCGGCAGTATTTGTCGGAAATATGCCAGTTGCGAGAATTGAGGAAAGAAAAGCGAATACAGTTATTAGCGATGGCCAGTATGTCGAGCGTTATTAAATCCGCACCAATACGAAAGCCAACAGGTGAGATTACTTATGTTATAAATCTGTCAAATTAATAATATAATCTATGTTTTGTTACACTTTGAGAAAAATGTGCAAATTATAGCACATACATCTTAGATTTCTGTTTAATACTTGATTACAGTTTGCATACAGCGAAAAATTACCGACGAGGAGATGAAGGAGAGATCACGTAAACGATATCTCCGGTTGAATGAAGTGCGATTCAAACGACGGCAACAAGAACGGCAAGAGGAAGCACGTCGAAATAAGCTTATGGCCAAAATCTTTTGCAAGAGATTGCAGCAAAAAGTATTAAGGGGCCAAGTAGATTTATCGCAAAGCGTAAGCGTTATATCTAATTTGTAGAATTATTAGCGCCTACTTACGTCGAGTGCCGTTCCATTTTTGCAAATATTTATGACAAGAGCTATCTCGCGTATTTTTATTAAAATTTTGTTACTGCAAGGTTATAAATTTGCATATTAAAAAAGGTATGTTTCATGCACAAAAATTTGATCATCTTAATAAAAGAATATTGTCAAAATTTATTTCGAGGATTGATGAAAAACTAATATTATTTATTTTAGAAATTTTTAATAAACATAAACACTTGCATTTAATATAAACATATTGTATGTCTTTACTGCAAAATTGTCTAAGTTAAGTGAAACGGTGCAATTCTTATATCAAATCCATTATATTATTTTTTAAATATAGTAAACGTGTTATTTTCCTGTTACGTATTTAACCAGCTTTGTCAAAATCGTTAAATATAATAACATTGACGTATAAAAATGAATTACAAATCTCGATTTTGTGCGATTTGAATGAATACAAAATAAGCAAATTTTAACCAAATCTAACAATAAGAGATAGTTCTCAATGTCATACTTGCCTTAATTTCTATCATTAAGTGAAAAAGTTCTAAGATATTATATTTCTTGAAAAAAGAGAAAGATATATACGTTTTACATTTTCATTGTATTATCTCAGGTAGTTACGTTAAAATTTGTATTACGATGTGTGTCGTTTTTAGTAAAATTGCACAATATGACTTGGATTTATGATCTATTTATGATTATATATATATATATATCGAACATGTACTACAGATAGTGGAGGATCTAATCTGTTTCAACATGTAGAAGTTATTCGCATGACTTTATCATTAAGTCTATCTTTACGAGTGTAGACGACATGACTAAATAGTACAAAAGAATATCAAATCTTTTTATATGCGTTTTATATACTTTACACACGTTAGAGATACAAGAACATATTCTTTAGGACAATGATCTGTATGTTTCACTTTTTATTTCTTATACAGATATGGAAATCAGATTAATGACGGTATAATTTCGCTGACGTCATATTTAAATACAAATGCATATTATATATAATTATGGTTCTGAATAAGAATCCATGTTCATCAATAAATAAAACGCTGTGCTAAAGTTCTTTACATGCTGGTGACATCAGAAATTGAATTCGGCGAAATTATATCCGTATTAATTCTCGATACAAATATAACGGCAACAATTCGTTTTTATTCGGTAGTAAAACACGTGTAGTAACAAAATTATTTTCACGTAGTAAAACATATCATTGAAACATACCATCGATCATAAAAACTGAATGCTTTAAAATAAGAGAAACATAATTATAAATATATAGTACCTGAATCTTGTAGTATAGAATTTTTTTATTACATATACGAAATAAAACTTGATGAATTATTAAAATATGTGTATACTTTCAAGAGAGAGAATTCGTCGCTTTATCTGTCCTCTTAAATTTCGTTACAATAACATTATCTATGAAACTTTGTGAATTTAATATTTAACTGATATATTAATAATTTTTTAATATTAAAACAACGCAATATTAAAGAAAGGAGAGGCTTGAAAAATTAAAACACCCGAGAAACATTTTTATTCTTAGACTTTTTTAATCTGTTGCGTTCTCGATTAATAATTATCATTTTCTTGAATTACTTTCCACTCTGTTATAGTTGTACTTCTTGCATCTTTCAGATTTAATTTTTCTACCGCATTTTCCCTGCTCCCTTGCAACTTTTCACACATGCCGCTCTGTTTTGCTCCAAAAGCTCCGAGTAAACGTTCATCTTATGACTTATTCTAACAAGTGTGGAAAGCGCAACGTAACGCAGTTAAAAGAAATGCTCTCCGCTCTCTTGATTTCGGATATTTCATTTCGGACGAAAATTGAAAGACTCGCGTATTTCGAATATTGTCGAGGGCACCTCAGAAAGATGGACGATTGCATTAATTGGTGTGTCTGGTATTTTTATTCATCTGGAAAAAATCCGAAGCGCAATTAACGATTGTTTTGTCGAAGGGCCCCGTTTGTGGTCCAACGTCCTCGCGAACTGGATTCCGGCGGATAACGCGACAATGACCGCGACCGAATGAATTCGTTCTCCCATCGTCGATTGGTCCCCCACGGGCGAGCGCGTACTTTCTCCCGGGGAATGTGTGCTGTGCGGCCGTTAGCGGTTGTGCGTGGAGTCGCGTCCCACGAAGGCCGCGATTCGGCTTTCTAGTCGCGTTTCCGCTCGTTTCCGCCGCGAGACCAGACCACGGGGAATCGGCGTGGCGTCCAACGGAGTTCACCGTGACACACACGCGGAGTTCAACCCCCCCATATTATTATCCGCGTTAGTTTGTTATCGCGCGCGTAGCACATCAGATCGCTCGGGATTACTCACCCGCGGATTTAACCCGACTCGCCTGATTATGAACAATGGATCGCCACAGTTGCACGTAGCTTCCCGATTATCCGTCCGTTCCGGATAACAGCTTCTCGCTCTCTCTGTTCGACGATCTCACAGCGGTCTCCTAAAAGTCAGTCGACACACTTTGGAGCACTTGGGAGGAAAATGAAGCGATGGCAGGTGTCGTGAGAAAGAAGGGAACGAGTGCCTTCGTGACGTTTCTAGGATACTTGCTATTTTCCTGCGGTAATTATCAGTCAGAAATCTGTGCTTATTGCAGAAAAATACGCATTAGTGAAAAAGGAAAGGAGATCGAAATCTCTGGGGGGCCCTGGAGAGAAAGCCGAAATCAAACCGAATATCGAAGACATCGCTTTATCGGGCATCGATGTCTCTGACACATACGAGTCTCCATACGCGCGGCAGGAAATCAGTGGAGCTTGGAATCGTGAATTCGGAGCAAATTTATTTTAAAAACCTTTCTTAGACAATTGTTTTATATTTATATTATATTGGGAAATATATTTATATATTTTTTCATAATTATTTATATTTTACGACATAATGACACTTATTGTTAGCTTAAATATGTATTACCTCGATTGCGCTAAGAACTTGTAGATGTTGAAAATATCTGCAAACAAATATTCTCAATTTATTTATGAAGGTATGAATATTTAAATTTGTGAAAGAACGTGCCGTAAAGTTAAACAATCACCATATTTTATGCTATCATATTTAAGAGGTTCTTTCATTAGGTAAAATAAATATTTCCAATTTAATGCCGGCAGCTTATGGACAAGAGGATAATGGAGAAAAGTACAAGGGAAAATATCTGGGAAAATTAAATCCGTATCACCACCAAGTTTCTGGCGATGTTTGGGCCGTAGACCAGTACACCTTGCTGCTGACGTCCTTCAATTACGATGGCAATGGAGCCGACACGTTTTTCTGGGCAGGCGCATCAAATAGACCGGGCCCGCAAGGATTTATCGTCCCCGACGAGTGGGGCAAGTAAGATATATTTCTTTTCGTTAATTTAAAAAGAAAACCTAAGGGGATAAAGTGGAAAAATCGTATCTCGAGTGTATGCGTGTTCTTTCAGAACAAACATATTGGACCGGTACTTCAACAAGGATTTTACATTGACTCTGCCGGATAATAAGAAAATAACGGACATCAAGTGGTTCGCAGTGTACGATTTAGCGAGTCAGGTATTATAAATTTTAGAAGAACAAGAATTAATTAAGTCTGTAATTCACATAAGATCTATTTAAAACATGCGAAGCGTCTTAGAAGTTGTAGACTCGTTTTATTCTTGCTTGGAAGTCTTATATTATCGTTTTCGTAACATTTGTAGTTAATACTACATTGTACAAAGCAATCTCGACACCTTTTCTACGACGATCAACGTGGAATCTGTTTGAATGGTTGCTTGAAAAATGAATTCTTCAACCGTAGAACACCTTCGGCGATGTCTACATTCCGGAGGAGTTTGACCCACCCGTCCCCCAGAAGATATCACAGCTGTCGAAAAGATCTCACAATATTTCGTCGGAACCCATCGTGATCCTGGACTCGAAAACTATCAGAATCCCGCAATTTACGTACGACGGGCAAGGTGCTGACACGTACTTCTGGGTCGGCCTTGGCCCGCAACCGTCCAGCAAGGGCCAGAAAGTACCAGATGAATACGGATAGTAAGAGGAATAAGATAAAATTACAGAATTCTATCGATGCGAATAAATTAATTCGCTTATAAATAATCGTAAAAAATCTCACGGTGCTATAAAGTTATCTGGAAATATATATAAAAGAGTTTGCATTTTTCTCTTTCTAGCATGGATTCTCTTAGGTCATACAATAATGAGGATATCGTGCTGGAGCTGCCAGGTGATAAGACAATCTTCAACATAGACTGGCTGAGTGTTTACGACATGAAGACTAAATCCAATTACGGTTCTGTCATTATACCGGACGGACTCAATGTGCCGCCGTCATTGATAAAAATTATCAAGCAAACCCAGTCTCTCCCGAATTGCGTTCAGCTGCACAAACGATATCAGGTCGCCTGGGAGATCTTTGGTCCGCAGATCACCATTCAATTAACAGGTCAAGTCGGTATGTGTTAACAAGCTCGTAGATTCTCAATTATTGTTTCTTAAAAATCGAGGCTTGAAAAAGAGATCACTCGTGTGTTTTTATTTTTCCAGCCGAAGACGAATACATGGCGTTTGGTTTATCCGGTTCCGAGACCTCCAGCCGAATGGAAGGCGCGGATGTGGCCGTCGCGTATATGGACGACACACGAGGATACGCTACGGACTACAATATTACGGCAAAGGCGCCAGTGTGTAAAGTTATTTAAGTAATCTAATAATTTCGTGAATATAAATGGAAGAAAAAGAGAGAGAGAAACGAAAGACGACGCATTAATGAGAATTTTAATGATTGTGGCGACAGTGTGGGAAAGTTCTCGGTCAGTACAAAGGAGTCTGCAGAGACGAACTTCTTGGTGGTTTAGACAGCAACCAGCTCTACACCGCGGTGAGAGAGGACGGCATCAATACCATCACGTACAGGCGTACACTTATTTCATGTGAGTCACGTAGCTAAGCGCGCTTTTTTTCTTTATAAACGCTCGTCGCACGACGCAGATCATAAAAATGTATTTTCTTTTTGCGCAGCCGACGTCGGAGACAAAGAATTTCCCACGGATAAACCGGTGTACGTGGTTTGGGCCTTGGGCAGGCTCGATAAAACTAATAACGAACCGAGCTTCCACGATGTGTATCCGAGAAGCGATGTGGTGCTTGAGTTGAATCGTAAGGAGCCGGAGAACACCTGCATCGATTTCACGGAGCATAATAAGAAAATATTTTCGAGGTGCGAAGAACGAATATGCGATGGTCACATATAATACTTATACATCAAATTATTTTTCACATTGCATAGAACATATCAATTATATATTTTTCGGGGGATTTTTTGATGTAACTGCTGAGATAATTCTTGCAGAGAACCTTGGCAGAAAACGGAAATATTCGACAGAAGTGTTAGAACGTTCAAAGCAACCATCGGACCCTCCGGAGGAAAACGGGGATACGAGGGAATCACAGGTACAAACTTAATTAATCTTGGCTATTGCTTATCGCTTTTACGATGCGGAGGACTCCATGAAATGTGTTCGCAGGTAAACCGTCGGTGGGTCTTGCCTGGTACATCGAAGGCGCGTTGATACCCGAGTTATACCTACGTCGAGGTTTGACGTACAGCTTTCGCGTTCATGGCGGAAACAATCCGCACAGCGCGGAACTCTATCATCCGTTAATAATAACCGACGAGCCTCATGGGGGATACGACACGCTCAGCGATCTCGCGCAAAGCAAGATCAGGGTGTTGGCTGGCGTTGAACTGACTAGACGAGGTCGACCGCGACCGACCGCAGGTTTGTATAGATTTCCCTTATTCAAATCAACGTTTATACAAATTTAAATTTATTCGCATTCTTTATTCGATTTATCTTCTAGTTGGGCCGCTTTGCTTAAGCAAGCACAATGGTCGAGACAGAAGACTGGATGATAACTTCCCATCGTTTAAGAAATTCAACCGGACCCTCGTGCAAGTCTGCGAGCCAGGTAAAACCTCTTTCAATCTTAAATTCTTAAAGTTTTCAAGTGGACGTTGATTGAAGTTCAGACGTTCACGTTTTCGAGTTACGATTATCAAGAACGATTCTCTCTCACATCTTCCTATTTCTCGTGTGCAGGAGAAGGCGGCAACTTGGTAATAAGTCCAAACTCGAGCTGGCCCGACCTGGTCTATTATCACTCGTTCACGCACGCAAATATGGGATGGAAGATTCACGTTGTCGATTCTTACACACCGAAGAACGATGCAATCGCGCATAAACTATCATTATTCATTGTAATCGCGACTGTACTTCTCGGTCTATTATAAAAATTGAGTGCATAAATTCATAGAAAAATATTTCTTACCAAATATTTTTCAGTTCACATAAGGATGCATTAAGTTATTTTTAATGAATGACTCATTCTTGCGCTTCAACGTGTACATATCGATGATACAACATAAAGACGTTACATTATTGTACGGTTTTATTGAATTAAGAAATTAATACAATAGTTCCTATAATAAACTCTGTATTTACAGATTTAATAACAAGATCAATTTTATATGTGCATTTTTTCTCGTTTTCATCACAGTGAAAGAAACATTAATTTGTAATCATAAAAACAAGAGCAGTTGGATAAAATAAAAGAATGTTAAACGTCCTCAAGTTGTCGCAATAACTTTTATTTTGTATACCGTTAATTAACATTACATATGCGATACGTCTCATGTTTGGTATTGAACAGTGAGAAAATCGATGTGAGTATACTTTTAATATTTACGTACTTGACTTTAAATGAAGTGCCAATTGTAATAATTCAAAAATTTTTTTGAAAACCGCATTACAAAAGTTTCGCAGATGCAAATCGTATTGGGCCATACAAGAACATATCATTTATTTCAATTGTTTATTTATTTATATACACAATACGCATTTGTTCTCAATTTCATATCAATTAATATTCTCGCTTATATATTGTGTAATTAATGTACAATAAGTTGTAATATCTTACCATTTGTTTACAACAAACATTTGTGATAGCTTTACGTGTGAGACATGTGGTCGGTAGTGTAGTTTATAGATTCTTATGCAAAAAGTATCGATAAATCTCGCTGTTTACTTTTATTGACATCTCATGTGGCATATCCTTATAATTCCAAATAAAACGCTTAAATACACGAAAAGCAAGTCCATTTTTTGTTACAATTTAGACTAAATTTTTAAGGCTGGTTGCAAATATTACATGTTACATTATTGTTTCTGTGTTACGATATCGCTATCAGTGTACAATTTTTATAATTGTGTATTAACTTCAACATTGCACGTCTCAAAATCAACGTTGTGTGATCGTTAGTTTTTCAGCCCTTCAAATATATATTATTATTTTTATAATCTTCACGTTGCAGGTAATAACAAATTTAAATACATGAAAAAATAAATTAGTAAGTAAAACCGAAAAGCCTTAGTAACTAGGACTCGAATGTTGATAAATAAACCTGAATAACAGCTAGCAATATAATGTAATTACAAATTTAATTAAAAAATGTGATATATTTTGATCGAACACGATGAATTCAATTTTAATGATTCTTTAGAACCGCTCGATATCATCAAAATTTGAAGATATATTTACTCTTATATGTATATAATCTTGATGTGACAAAAACAATAATTAGAAATATAATTTATACAGCGGTAGAAAAGGGAAATATACATTTGGATGGAAAGAAAGGATAGAAAAAGCGCGAGAAGCTTGATACAATCAAACTTTTTAAGTATAAAATCTAAATTGTAGCAACTTCCATAGCCCGATGAAAAAAGGGGATGAAAGACGTGCCGTAAACCGGTGCTATACTTGTATTCGCGGCTGATATTTAGACGTTATCAATAGACGTTTCATCAACATCCGAATCACAAAAAGAACATTTAGTAGAATTAATATAAAATATAAAGGCACTCTATTACAGTTCCTATATCAATGGTTTAAAAAATGAAACCATTGGATAATATTCTGAAAATCCATGGAAAAATCAATCTTTCCATTAGACAAATATGTATATATAAAAAAGCACCATACGTAATGACAGTTTATTTTCGAAAATCTTTTTAATGTAGCTCTTTTTCTAAGATGAGTAATTTATCAATAGAGTAAAATTATTGCAGATAGTGTTCTTTCTTATTTCTATGTAGCTATTGTTCGTAAGAAAACAAGATTGAGGATTTCAGAGGATCTAAAAATCTAAACTTTAATGTGCCTGACAATTCATCATATTGGTGTCGATGTTCATATTTTTCACTGCGCAGAGAGTATTTTTTTATCAGTATAATGTGCATAATAATTTTTGAGTGCAGATTTCTCTTAAGCGATAACTTGCAATACCTAAATATAGCTGTCTAAGATTGCAAGAGCTCTTAATATTTAATTAGATTACGAGAGTCGCTGTACAGAAGTATTAAAAACGATATTTTACATATTGCAAAGTACCTAATCGAGAAAATTAGTTTTTATAGAAGCATTCTCTTCTCACTCAGTCTTTTCATTTTAACGTCTTAAGTTGCGCGCGATCGTATTTACAATTTAGATCATACTTAATAGAAGTTAGGATTCTAAAAATAGTACTTTCTTTATAATTAAAATTTCGATATTGATGTTACATTTCGCAATTTTATAACATCACGTTACGTTTCATCTATAATTTACTTATAATTTGCGTTAACTAATTACAAGTAATATACATCACTGTTCATTTGTTATATGTGAATCCTTTGATATTGTCGGACTTTTCGGAATTATAACAAAATACATTGCACGGTTGTTCTTAATAAACGTCCAATAATTATTTCAAAATATTGTAATCATTATCAATTTCTCTATGAAGTTCCAGGAAATAACGTAACGTAACAGGCAACTCCATACTACGGATTCCATATTTACAAACAGCCTGTGCAGCTAAACATTGAAGGCTAGTATAATTAAGGAGGTTCACGCTATTTAGTGGGTTAGAGGATATCAGTCGCGCTGGTGTATCACCCGCTCTATTTGGCGTATCTAAGTGCGCGCCATAATCCAACAACAATTTTATCAGCTGTTACAAACAGAAGTTCTTAATGTAAGTCGTAAAGTTCGATTTATAAAATTAAGAGAAATATATATGTTTAAAAAATACTTACAGGGTTGTGGAAGTTATATGCGTTACTTGCTATATGTAAAGGCGTTGACCGCAATATATTTCTGGCATCAACGTACGCCCCGCAGTCCAAGAGTAATTTAACAACATCCAAACGTGGAAAGATTGCCTGAAAATTATATACCATATACATATATTATTTTATACATATATTTCCTTCACATATATTTAGTTTATGGTTGATTTTTTCATAAAAAAAGAGCATCAAAGGAACACAAATTTTTTAATTACAGATTACAGAATATTAATTAGTACGTAAGAGGTTCATGCTTACGTGCATATCGTCGGCAGACGTAAAATAACTAGAATTAATCGTATTTAAACTAGAAACGCAGAAATGGAGAAGCGTGTCCTCTGTATAAACCGATCTTGGATTTTGTTTCACTAAACCACGGACTAGTTGATACATTAAAGCTTTCTCCTCGTCAGAACTCGCAGTTTCTACTAATAGGTAAATAAGATGCGTCACGCATTTCAGAATACGTTCATAACTATCTCTTTGTCTCTTATGCACGGGACGCTTCTGTAATATTTAAATTTGTATAATTGTCAACAAATATATCAATGTGCAACACATATAATTAATTCTCTATATTATAGATATATAATATACGCAAATATAACATATACCTCTAGCAACTCTCTAGCCTCCGTTAGTTGGCTGGAAAGTAATTTAAATATCGCTACTACATCGAAAAATCGTGGTTCCTGCTTTTCCCGATTACGATCCATCACTTCCAACGTTTTCTCATTCAGATCTACCATAAGCCTTACCAGAGCTTGTGCGGTAAAGCAAGTATCTGCGTACAAGATCTGCAAAAAGCGTTAATAGAATTTAATTAATTTTTCTCCATACATATAATTATATACAAGATGTTAATATGTTTTACGTACCGAATCCTTTTCTACCCTAATTTCTAACGCGCGACGCCACAGATCTATACAATGCTGATATCTAGAAAAGAAAACCGACGTAATAAAATATAAAATATTATACAATAATATTTTAAAAAGCTAAAATATTTACCTTAACGCGTCTGCATACGATGCACCTCTGAACATCAGCCGGAAGAGGGTATCCTTGTGATGCGGACCTAATATCCTCTCGCATATCAGCAGGCTTTGTATTCTTATTGCATCCAAGTCAAGCGAGATAGCGCTTAACTCATCCAAATTCGTAAACTCCGTGGCGTTTTTATAAGCTTCCCGTTTTGATAACACAGGTCTCTTTGGCAAAGGCACTCCGTCATCCGAGTTGACCATTCTGAGAATCATCGCCGTCCTCCAATATTGCAACGCCATGTGCGTGTCGTTGTGATCGTCGAAAAATGTAGATCCCATCAGCTCGTTTGCGTCTGCCAATCTTTCCGCAGAATACGATACGCTTTCCACTAAAATCACACATGCCCATATATCATAAGACAATGCAACAGCGTAATTTTCTTATTGTATGAATGAAACTTAACTATGTTCCAATATTACATTGAATAAATTATCTCACCTAAATAATCAAATATTTGAATGGCTCCTTTAAGGCAAGCAGTCTGGAGGGCATCATCGTTATAACGAGATCGAAGATGAGGGTCTGCATTATGTTCTAAGAGCAGTTTGGTAGTTTGAAGTCTGTGCTCTTGAATAGCATAATGCAAGGCAGTTTTGTTCTGAATGTCAGTGGCATTCACATCCGCGCCGTGTTCCAACAGAAAAGTACATAACTCCACGCTTTGTACAGAATTTATTAAACATGTTCCGCCATTATAATTCGCTTTTAATATGTCGGCGCCGTTTTCCACTAAATAAGAGACAATGTCTGAAAAATATGTTACCTACATTCATTCTATTGATCCCTTTGAGATTAATCCAGATAACTTATATTATCTAAGTGTAAACAACTGTGCTTGCTACACCTAAGATTAAATTATGTTATACGGAGAAAAATGTATTTAGTAATAAGCAAATGTTTCTTTAGCATTAGCAAATTACATTAATAATTATCAAATTTTGTACAAATACAAAAATTGAGTGAAGTATACACTCGATTATAATATGTACTTGATTCCTTTAATAATAATTTCACGGAGTAATTAGCACATGTTGCGGCACTTGCAAACAATCTAAAAGTAGATCCGACCTAGACCTACTTACTGTAATATTCTCATATTCTTAGATCATATTCTAATTTAATTTAATTGCAGATATATATTGCTGACTGCTCTGATTGTAAAATATTTACTTAATACTTTGAGAGTAATTATCACTGCGTTGTATTATTTTAATTGACAAGTGGAAGAGGACAAGTGGATAAAGAACCAGACGTGTCATTGTTACAAAAGTAGAATAAATTATATTCCAATTATCATTTCTCTGTTTGAAACTTCTCTCCTTTTCATTAGTCTAATTATTTAGAGAAATATAATTTACATATACAGAAACATATATCCGTTTCAACAAAAATGTTTCTCAAGAAATATACGATACATTATTTTTATCCACTTATTTTCTCTTCTTTCTCAATTATATTCTACAAATACAAATTATATTGTAATGCGTTACCCATGTGTGTCATGAAACACGCAGATCTAACAGGAGTGGATCCAGAATCGGAGACTGCATTGACGTCAGCTCCATGAGCTATAAGGCATTTTATAACTTCCAAGTTTCCGGACACCGCGGCGCACCACAGCGGAGTGACACAGTGAACCGACCTGTCGTCCGGCACTTCGTACTTTCCTCTTTGTTCGATGTCCGCGTCACACTTCTTTATGAGGTACTCGACGATCTCCACGTGGCCCCGCTTGCAGGCGATGAACAACGGGGCGCAGCCATCCTTCACGCGAGACACAATTTCCTTCCGCACCTCTTTCTTGTTCTTCTCCAACGCGTTCCTCAACGCGTAAGTGAGTTGCGCCCCCGGTGCCACGTATTTACATTCGTGAATAAGATCGTGAAATAACTGATCCATGGAAAAGTTCCAGCGATGGCTGTTGCCAATCCACATTGCCCACTTGCCGAAGCGGTTCAATCGCAGCACCGCTCCTTCCGATTCATAGACCTGAAAGAAATCTCAGGATAAAACACACTCCAAATTGACACTGGAATAATTGCAGGCCAACAATTACAAATATAATTAGGTCTATTATTTACAAGCTGTACAATGTTAATTCTTCCTATTCTTAAAATGGACATAGTCAGACGTTAAATAAAAAGGAAGAACAAATGCAAAGTACAAGAAGCTCAGCTACAAAGAACAAGCTTATTATTTACTGAAACTAAAGTGACACTTGTCGAAAGAATACTGAACGTCGCAAGTCCTTTGTTCCAACTCCTAACAATGCATTCGCCTTCGAACCGATAAATACAACGGCAGTTAAACGTAATCTTGATAGAATTTAATTTGATTAAAAAAAAATGTAAAAAAACTGATACAACTGATCAAATCTCGAGGGTAAGATAATACGCGAGGAAAGTATCCTACGTGAGAGTAAAAAAACGAATGGGAAGTCGCACGGGTTCTCCATTCCTTCAAGGTTGCTCGTCGTAAAAGGACAACGGTCGTGCGTTTCCTTGATCTTTCTCTCTCTCAATACGCACGTTCGCGAACGTTTACAAGAACTGAAGAACACGGAATTGCGAGCACGCACATACACACAGACACACATACACGTGCGCATACATATATGGGCACTCGTAAATGCACACGTCAACGAGACACGCACAAACGAAACATAACCTCCAAGAGGTGGGCGACGCACCGAAAGCGCGCGATCGTCGCGTTCAGACAGTCGCGGCGAATCTCCGGGACGGATCTCACGATGATCGGCGGGGACTCACCCGTGACATGAACGGTCATTCGTCGGCGAACGGGCGCATCCGATTCGAATGCATCGGCGATATACCTATCTCGATAGCGCACACGTAAATCACAGACGGCAATCAATAAACCACGTGATCGTCGCGGGCGGGGTGGGAGTGTCACGTGACGCGCCCGCGCGCATGCTTCCGCGCGCGCTCGCGCGATTTCTCGAGTTTCCGCGCACCTTGCATCTTCGATTTTTAACAATGCAAATATTTGTCTATTTTTCTCTTTTTAACTTTTGATCGACTCTTTTCTTTTTTGAAAAAAAAAACGATATAAAGTTTTCTAAACCTCTACTTTGTCGTTATTGCAGCTGTACAACAAAACGCGCGTTAAAGCTATATTTTTTTATTTTTGCGCGTACACTTTCGGCCTCCTGTCCTTCTTTAGTTTTTTTTTAACAGTTTTCTCGCTATTAGTAAAAAAAATTTTTTTTTAACCATGACTCGAATGTGGAATCTCTCGATTTTTACTCTATATTGTTTTCCGGTTGAAGCTAATCAGTTTTCCAATCGGCAATCGCCTCTCTATTCTCATGATGATATGATAATAAAAACGCTTCTTATCGCGAAAATAATAAAGGCAAAAATGGAGACGAGACGCCTCTGCTTCGCAGCTCTCTTAAATTCGCTACAAGCAAATTCGCTAACGCATAACGCATTGCATTACTGTCTATAAAAATAATCTTTTGTTGTCGAAAAAAAAACGATGTTTTCGATCACGCGGAATGCACAGGAATAATGCACTCGATGTGCAATCAGCTCCCGATAAGAATAATGCAGCCGGTTGACTTTCTCTGAAAGTGAAATCTTCGCTCGACAGAGAAAGTTAATAACTTCGCAAATAATTCAAACATGCTTAAATATCGCTCGCGCTTTACATTTCCTGCCGCGTAATCTTTCGACGACGGCTTACGTTTGATGAAGAGTTATCTCAGCGGGATATAAAAAAAATGAAGATATCGCTTGTGCCAGATTTCAATTCATGATTGTATTTCTGGTTCTTCAAATATTTTTCGTATTTTGTATTAGATAATTGGATGATAAGCTTATATTATAAATCAAATTCTATTCTGAATTCTAGCGTGAATTATAAATCGTCTAAATAAGTGTGCTCGATATATTTGTTCTCGCATATTTCTATTAAGAGAATGTTCTCCCTTCTCTTTTTTCTAAACTTGATATAAAAATGTCGATAATAAGATACAAATGTCAACACGGTGAAATAAATGTTTGAATAGTATCAGAATAGTATTAGAATATATCTATTTGCTTTCCATTTGCACTCAAAGTGATCTGAGTCACCACTGAGTTATGTGAGTATTTTATACTCAGGTAAGATATGTCATTTTGTAATATTTAGCTGCTTATTTTGGTGACAAAGCTATCGCATAATGTAATACAGGTCTCGATTGTGGATAAAAACTCGGTTGAATCTCATTTGCCAGCATGCAAAAAGAACGTGCATTTAACTGAGTTATGACGTCACAAATGAGAATTATCTGAGTTTTGATGTAAATGGAAAGCAACCAATATCGTTTTTCTTAGCATATATGCAAATCCATTGAATAATGAATACTGCAAGAAGTTATAAATCATACATTATTTACGCTGAATATAATTCTACATCACACGTGCGTGGAAAGTGGCACATTACGCGCGTAATGATAGGCCCTCCTATCGCCTCCGGCTCGTGCGTCCACTCCGCACGTCCAATTTCCAACTTACAGCACTTGTTACACAAATAACTATTCTATTTCTGTTTTTAATTTTGCAGTCTATAATCTGTTAATTGAATTTAAAACTCCCTATGAATAAAATTATTTATAAACTGAGAGTTGTTGAAATCCTAGCACATCTAACTCCGTAACTTATGATGATATATAATTCTTAATTATTTCAGGAAGCAAATTAGGAAACGGCGAGGTCGCACACACACATACACACAGTGGATTCAAATAGAAAAAAATCAATAGTTATATAAACAAAAAATAACAAATGAATTTGTTGTAAATATATTTGCAATGTAAATGTACTCGCGATAAAGAATCACGTGATATATTTACGCATATTGCTACATGCTCTTGTTCAATGCAAATAATGAGCAGAATTGACGACGTTATTTACGTTGCAAATATAAAAGTAAGAAAGTCATCGTAAACAGGAAATAGGAGAAGGACCGGTAAAAAGTATCCCAGCCCCGATAGTGCATATGGGTCATCGGATTCAAACGGCCGGGTACATTCGTTTCTCTGCGAGTCGCGTGTGTAACAGCATCCGAGTGTGTGCAGTCTGTACTTGAGGTCACGTTAGATTTGCGCATCTTCATATCTGCATAATATAAAAATCGAAGAACAAGTGAGTATCAGATATAAAATTGTCAGTCGAGTGCCTTTTTTTTTTAAACCATCACTGCTTTGACTTTGTATTGCATTTTTTTTTTGCAGTGAGTAAAAGGTCGATCGTGTTCTCGACTAGGGACGATGAGACGGGAGAAAAGTCAGACGAGATATTCGGGGGGAGGAAGCCCAGTCTTGTGAAGGTACAACCTAGTGGTTGCTTGTTACCGGCGAGATTTATTTTCTACGCGCAGAACATACGTGACATGCCGGTGTACGAGGATGACATTTGGATGATCTCGTCTCCTCGAACTGGTGAATATCTCACAATCAGTAACGCGCGTAATTTTAAGTAAACGTGGTTGCACAATTATTAAAAAAAGGAAGAAAAAATCGAAACGCGACATTCTGGATCACGAGCGATACAAAAAACTGAGATAAATTGCAATTAATTCCACATAATAACGTAATTAGGGTGACTTGGATCAAATGCCAATTAACTTAATTGGCAATTAATTGATCCATTAATATCTGAGGTATTTTGTTAATGCGAACCCCACACAGCACAGGATATTTTGAGGGACATTTGTGCATCCGCTGGATATCCACCGGATATTAAATATCCACTGGATATCCACCGGTTATTGAGATATCCCACTTTATCTGTAGGACGACCCTCAGATAAAGTGTGCTGTGTGGGACAGAGTACTAACTCCTTTACTATTTAACACATAGAAAAAATAACTGAATTGGAGAATCAATTTTGCCGGTTAAATTAGTCACTGATTAAGTTAATCGGGATTTGATCGAAGTGTTACCTTTGTTTTCTTAAATGTAGCTTCTTGATACGAATAAATTTTAGGAAGTCACTGGGCAATGGAAATGACGTGGTGTATCGACAACGATTTTGATTACGAAAAAGCCCGCACAATCATATTAAAGCGGAGTCCTCTTCTCGAGTAAGTCGATTTGATTTAATATTTTGTACACTTGTAACTCTAAAATTATGTTATCCTAATCGTTATCCTATCGTTCTCCTATTTTTTCTCTCTGTAGAACTTCGGTTCTGTACATCAATGGAAAATTTGATGATTGGTTCGAAACTCTAATAGGCGACTCCGTCAAAAATGTAATTAAGATGCCAAGACCACGATATATAAAAACTCACCTGCCATGGGACTTATTGCCAAGGCAACTTCACGAGAAAAAGCCAAAGGTGATGACGCAACGTACAAATGTAAAATCGTGATTATTCCCTTTATAACATGTCGATTTTCCACTTTCGCAGATAATTTATTTGACGAGAAATCCAAAAGACGTCTGTGTCAGTTGTTACCATTATTACCGACTATTCCACGGCCTGAATGGAAACTTTGACGATTATGCAGAATTGATGCTGCGTGATGGTGGTACGTTAAGCACGCATTATTGAATTAGAAAATGACGCCATTTCTAGAATGTAAACAAAAATATATCAAAATTAGCATTAAAATTAAGAAAGTTGTAAGGAAAATTAGAAATGTTAAAAAGTCAACATTTTTTATTCTCCTTACAATTACCTCCTTAAAATTAAATTTAAGAAATAATGTTTGTTTAGTGCCGTACGCCCCATTTTGGGATCATGTTCTGCCCTTCTGGAAGATGCGAAATCAAGATAACATGCTGTTTCTGACGTATGAAGAAATGAAACGGGTAAAGCACGCATTTGTTTTGGTTTTTTTTTTTTAATCTTCGCGGATTTCTCTTACTAAAACGCGCGTTGCTCTTCGCAGGATCTAGTGGCGGCGATTAAGAAGACAGCGAAATATTTAGGCAAAACCGTAACGGACGAACAAGTTATCGGGCTGCGCGAGCACCTGAAATTTTCCAAAATGGTGGAAAATCCATCGGTGAACATAAAACTGCTGCTAGGTGACAAGGATGAACCGAACGATGATCCGAATCTCAATTTCATCAGAAAGGGCAAAGTCGGCGATTGGACGAATCACATGTCGAAGGATCTCGCTCGACGATTCGATAAATGGACGGAGAAGCATCTCAACGGGACCGGCCTAAAGTTCGACGTGGACGTTATGTCCGACGAAGAACAATAGCTTCGTATTATCCCCACCTGAAAGAATTATGAGAATTTTTATTTTTGATTGTAAACCTAATAATTATTGTATTATAATCGATTTGTCATGGGAATTTATCATATATTCAAAAACACCGTAAAATTGCATATAAGATCCCGATTTGTAAGTGTAACAGAATCGCACACAAGACGGATTTATAATTCGCACCAGATTATTTGAGAATATAATTTTATTTGCAATTTTACATTCTGTGATTTTGATTTACATGTATATGTTTAATTTAATACATGTATACATTGTTTTTCTTATTCTTCAAATTCTTTTTCGGTTACATGATAATAAACTTATGAATAAAAATATTATCTTGAAATCCAATGCTAGGTACAACCAAAGAAAGAATATTAAAAAGAAATTATATATAAGGATAAAAGAAAAAGATAGAAGCGGAGATGAGAAAAGATGGGTGAGAGCGGTAGTGAGAAAATAATAACGAGTTTTAGCGTGAGGAAGATCCTGTCAAAATTTTGTTAGTTCTGGTGTGGTTGACTGGCGATGTGCGAATGGATGAATATATTAAGGAACCTATTGTAAACCAAGTTTACTTCTTGGCAGTAGCCGAAGTTAAATAAATATTATTATCTTGAAATCTAATGCACATTATAATTGCAAAATGGAATCAATACGTTAATTTGTTCTCGGATACTTCTACTAAGATATACATGTGTAACTTTCCCTTTTCCTTAAGCTTCCTGGCTTAAACAATAGTAAATAATAATAATAGTGATAAGAAATAAATGTATCCGCGCGAATCGCGCCGCCATGACTCTACCTTGGCCTTTTCGCGGTTTACGGACGGACACGAGCCGATCGGGAAATCGCGGCTAATCATCCAGTCCGCAAGCCTACACAATGCGACACTCGCCGTTGTTGTCGTGCGCCTTCCCGACGTTCCATTGTACCCACGACGTGGTGATAAGATGAGCGAATAATCGTGAAACGCAAGGCTCGTTCGGCGCCGACAAAGTTCGTGGGTGGTGGATGCGCCGCAGTAGTGCCATGGATGGGCGAGATTCAAATGAATTGGTAACTTCACCCCACGAGCGGATGCGCTGAATATCGATAGATTGCGCATTGAAGATCATCTGGAAGTTCTATTGACATATGGCGAATTGGGGCACAGTAGAGAATAATTCCGATGATATATGTTGTATTATTAAAAGCGATTACTGTGTAAGGGCTAAATAAATAATTTTCTATTCTCAATTTTGCAGTCTACAATCTATTTAATCCATAAAATTCATGTTACTTTTTGTTAAATGAAAATTGCGGAAATAATTCTAATCGCGCTTCTATAATAAAGTATAATAAATATTTATAACGTTAAGTAAGAATCAGTGACTGCACATACATATTAATAAATAAAAAAAGAGAAATAAAGATAAATTGAGAGGAAAAACGCGCGCATAAGAATTAAGACTTCACACACACATACACACACACGTTAAATATTCTCTCTTTCTCTTCCTTGTTTCAGAATTCACTGAAGAACGTTGCTCTTTTTTACTTTTTAATCGCGTGACGCGCTCATCGCGATTCGCGACGGTGATGTCGGAGTCGTCGGAGTCATAGAGATATAAGAATAGAGTGCGCGAGTCATATGCTAGCACGTAAGAGGCTGCGATATAGGAATAGAAAAAGAACGCTGCATATAGGCCCTTTCTGTCTTTGTCTACGCGTGCATGCGAAACAAAGACAGAAGGGGCCCATGCGCAGCTTTCTCTTTTTATTCTGCGCAGCTTTCTCTTTCTATTCCTATATCGCTTTTTCAGCTCGCTCGCGCACTCTATTCTTATATCTCTATGGTCGGAGTCGATGCCAGCGATGACAGGCAGAGGCGCAGAGAGGCAGAGCGATCAGCAGTGATCAGCAGCAAAGATGGCGCTGGTCTGTGTTATGTCAGATTTTTAAAATTGATTTGAACTCCGTCGGGCACCTTTTTCCGTCGGACACGACGACGACGGGCTATTGGATCGTTCCCGTAGCCGTTCTCGCGCCACGCCGCGCATCACGTTGCGACCCGCGAGCGAAACGCCGGACAGCGATGACCGCGGTGAGTCACGTGTAACAGTCGCGCCGTTAGAATTTTCGCATCCTAACCTAGCTCCCCGCGGCTCGTTGAACCTTGAACCGTTTTGTCGGAGTTCTCGATTTTCCCCATGGGACACCGCGAGTCCGCGACGAGGCACGGGGAAGGTGCCGACTGAGCGCGTCAACCGCGAAAAGGAGAAAGGTCGGAAAAGAGAGGAGGATCGGTGGGTCGTCCGGCTGCCGAAGGACAGGATCGTTCGAAGCTCCGGTCTCGCGAGGCCCTTCACTGGTCCCCGGAGGACTTGCGTCCTCGCTCCAGACGCTCACCTCGCCTCGCCAGACGCGCTTCGATTGGATGCGGCTGAGATCAACACCTGGCTGAGAGATGCCGAAGATAAGGATCAAGCAGACGCCGAACAGTCTCTGGTTAAGGCAACGCGAGCTGGGTGTCAAGTTTCCACTGGGCCACAGCGACGACTTCCACAAGACCCTCTACTCCTCCATCCAGCCCATCACCTCGTGGGACCATGGGGATAATCTAACCGCCGCGAGGCACGGCGGAGTATTCAACTTGGAGTACTCGCCAGACGGGTCAGTAGCAAGTAGCGACTATAGCAACTGTAGCAACAAACACTAAATCTGTTTCACGTTGCGATCGTTGATCGTCACGCTGATCGAGACCTCTGATCAATGTTGCAGGTCCCTCTTGCTGGCGGCATGCGAGAAGAAGAGTATTTTAATGTTTGACCCATTATGTAGGAAATTGATACACGCGATAGATAATGCTCACAATGACTGCGTCAACTGCGTAAGGTCTGTAAGATGATCTCTATCATCTGTAGTTGCGGGAAAGGAAGACGGCACGGTAAAGATGTGAAATATTGTGTCGATTAGGTTTCTGGATCAGCGTATGTTCGCGACTTGTTCGGACGACAGTACGGTTGCTCTGTGGGACGCCAGGAACTTGAAGCAAAGGATAAGAACTCTTCAGGGGCATTCTAATTGGGTTAAAAACATAGAATACAGTCCGAGCGATAGCTTGTTATTGACCAGTGGATTTGACGGTAGCATATATACTTGGGATATTAATAGGTAAGACATTTAATTACACGTAACTTTTTTTCTCGTATCTCATATTGTATGGCTCTAATAATGTATTTTGCAAATGTGTCTTACAGTTTTACAGAAAATAGCTTTGTGTACAATCGTGTGTTTCATACAAATGGATTAATGCGAACAAGACTTACTCCTGACACTAGCAAAATGTTAATATGCACTACATCAGGATATCTCATCATAATACATAATCTTAAACTTAGCACGCTAAGTCAGGATCTGGCAGGATTCAAGGTACTTGTTATTTCTCCAATTACACTTTGATAATTGTAAACCTGATGACTTCAGGTCGCTCTTATTGTACTGTCTTGTTCTTGCAGCCAAATATGTACAGGCTAATGCAGTTATCTCAAACTACCATACCGGTCGCAGCGAGTTACACACATCTCTTTGCTCACACTCGTACCCATAATAGAGTAGAATTTCTTACCGATTTTCCTATAGGCGACGACGCTGAGGTGATATCCAGCTTGCAAGTTCATCCGCAGGGATGGTGCGCCCTGTCCCGAAATGTCAGCAGTGGAGAAAAATCGGAGGTTTGTTTCCGCGTGTTAAATCACGCGCACTGCGTTTATTAACTTTATTATCTGCTGATAAATCTCATCGACGTTTTACCCTGCAGTGGACTTGTGTTCACGACATACAAGAACGTGAGGCGTCCAGCAATGTGGAACAAGTCAATGAGGGAGAGGAGGGCCGCCTAACGAGTCTAAATATGGAAGAGTTCGAGGACTTCCCTCAGTCGCAATCGTCGCGCTCGGGAATGACGTCTTCCTTCGTGATAGAGAATGGGAATCGTGCCCGGATAGTACACGACGTGTCGGACGTAAGATCGAATTCCTTCGATTCGCCTATCCGCGTGTCCGCGGACGCCGCGCCGTCATCGATCAGATCGTCGCGAAATAGCTGGCAGGTAACGGCGCGCAGAAATCTGCGGTCCCAGTCGAGGAGCCCGCGCCCGGATAGAAACGCGGTGAGAACGAATTTCGACATGGTCGAGGTAAGCTCGAGCACGAGCGCCGCCGCCGATTCGAGGGTAAACGCGATTCACGACGACGACGACAGACCGGAGGACCAACACGTAGACGATAACGACAATTCGGCGTACGATGCGTCAGCCGATGACAGGATCTATAGATCTCCCAGGCCACGTTCTCAGCTCAATGAATTACGGCGACGTAATATGATCGACAATTTCACTAGTGGTAACGTAGAATTGCATGTGAGCACGTCTGACGTGTGGGAGGCACTCGTGGCAATCAGGGAGGCTAGACTTCGCAGGGAACGGGAGAGTCAGTTTTATCCCGGTACCGAGAGAAGAGACTGGCTGCCTAGGTCGAATAACGGCGTGAGCGTGAATCTTCCTCGGTCGTCCCACACGGTTGTGATAATCGGCGACCGTACGCGGGTACAAAATCTGCAAAACCGCCAAAATTTGCAGACCATGTACGCGATACCGAGGAATCACAAGATCCACCAGAACACGCCCAGGTTGACGCATTACATCGAGGAACCCAATGTCGGTTCCGGTTATATCAAGGAACTGTGCTTCTCGGCCGACGGTAGATTGATATGCTCGCCGTTCGGTTACGGGGTACGATTACTGGCGTTCTCGAATAACTGCTCCGAGCTGTCTAATTGCGTTCCACCCGCCAACGAGTCTGTGCAGCTTCATGAGTTAGCGACGCACATTGGCCATTCCGATATTGTTGTTAGCACGAAATTCTCACCTAAGCACTATCTGCTCGTGTCCGGCTGCCTCAGTGGCAAGATCGTCTGGCACCAGCCGGTGGTTTAGCTAAATGGATAATTGCTTTAGCCACTTTGTTATTTTTCATTAATAGGTCTCTTGGTAGATAGATATATATTTTGTCGCTTTGTACACAAGATCATGCTGATTACGCAACGTGTGTGAGAATCTTTTTGTTAATATTATATAATTTATATGATTATATATATGAAATTACATATAATTATATTTTTACTTGATATATATATATGCCTTTTTAATGAATGTTATATATTTAATATATATTATATCAATATGGTAATACATGTATAGATATGTATACGGTTCCACATTTTCTACTACTTAATTACACTTTCTATCTTGAGAAAAGGTGAAGTTTTGCGATATTTATTTTATATTTAGGTTTCAAAAGAAGGAAAAGTTGCCGCTATGTTTTAGTTGCACGTATGCCATATATGTAATTCGTGATAGTGTGATTCACGCGTGCACACGATAGAACATATTAAATAAACAATTATTACATCTCTCATCGCTATCTATTAAATTTATAGATAGCGATGATGATACGAATGATAATAATAATGGACAAAAAAACATTAACGTTCTTATACGATCGTGTTGGTAACGTAATCAATTTCTTGATATTATTTCTTATATCAAGTTAACTGTTTTTATAATTTATTTTTGGTCGATAAGTCGAGTAATAGATAAAAATACTGGACACAATGGAATATATTTACTAATCCTGCAAACTCATCTGACTCGCAAAATTTTAAGCATTTTTGTTTGAAAACTTGAACGTTCATCACGAGCTACAGATATAAAGCGTAAGACATCAAAAGTTTTATTTACAAAGGCATCAAGTATATCATTCATATTATATATTTATATGTACATATAATACATATATAAATCGTGGTTTGAATAATTAAGTTCGTACATCGCTAACGTGTCAATATAGATCATTTTTATATTGAAAAATAAAATAATTATTGATAGAAATTATCTCGGAGAAAATCATTCTCTGGATCAGTGAGCTTTAATTTTTTGTTTGTTTTAAATTACGTAAATTCTTTAAATATGTTTTCATATTTCCGTAAAAATATATATATATCTAGCTTTATTTTTAATTTCATCGCGGTAGAGACTGTGCAGAAACTCGTACGGAAGTGTATCGAACATGAGAGTGTATATCGATTTAAAAAAATCTTTATTTAAGAGCTACTATTCTTATTTATTAGCATTAACTATTGCAGGGAAAGCTGTAATGTGATGCACGGTAAAGACAAAGGATATAAGTGTTCATATAATGAACATTTATATCACCTATCTCTGATTGATAAAAAAAACCATGGGAAATCAAGAATTAAATGTATTCTTGATTTGTTATGTGATATATTGCTTCACGGAGAAGCCGAATGTTCTTGATTCTAACTAAAGATTGTTACAAATAAGTTGAAGATTTTACTTATCTTAAAATTTTCTTAACGAAAGAAATTTATGATTTCTATTTCTACGTCATTAATTGTAATGGCAAGTTCTTTGATTAAGTCTTTTTTTTCCCGTGAAAAAGGACTTTCTTCACAAGAAAGGATAAAATAAAATTCCATCGTTTACTCACATCTCTGACGCACTGTTCGCCAGTAATTCATGTATTACTTTGAGAACAAATTTTTGATCAAAGAATTGTCACTTGTGCAAAAAAATGCACATATATATGTATGCTGTATCGATATATAAAAAATACGGCCAGTGACTGATTGTGTTGTAAACTTATACATTATACTTCGCGCGATGTCCAAACATGTAACAAATCTTTTCGATCACATTTTTAGTTGTCCAATTCAGGATTGGCGTTGCATTAAAGTTTGTATAGCTTCGTCAGATCGTTAGAATTTTCGTTTATGTCCAATAAAATTGTCGCTAATGGTAGAAAATGCGGAACATCCTTCATTTCTTATTTCTTCTTTGCGCGTAACACACCTGTCCAATGTTGCTTTCTCTCATAAACATGTATTAATAGATTATAAGAAATAAAAATTGGCAGCTATATTATGTATGTTACATTTGGCGTATGTGATATAATAGCGCTATAATAACGTTGCATTTTTTTTTTTTTTAAAGAATTCGTAAACGGTTATCAAGTCGAATTCAGAGCTATATTGTAACTCTTTGCAAGCATGATATATTTAAGAAAATCAATTTTTTTTCTAATTAATTTGCAACTGCGTATAACATACGTTACTTATGTTCAACTTTTCATCTGTGAGAGTGATGAAAATGACATTGCAATATCATGAAACGTCTTAGTATCTTTTATAGTATTTTTGTAAATAAAAATTTAAGCACACCAAAGTTATAGACCGGTATTCATAGTCAGATCTTAAATTTAAGATCGTCTCAAGTTTAGATGCTGTACGACTAGTTTCCATGTTCTTTCGTTGACTACGGAGAATCTAAAGATGAACTTAAGACGTGTGCATATAAGATTTGACAATGAATACCGACCATAATGCCCATTAATCAGAAAGACATATTCTGTCGCTTTGTGTCGAGAATGTCTGCAAAACATATTATAAACGTGTCTAACACGATAAAAGAGGAGTATAATCGGATTACTTACAGTGTACGCGGGATGAAATTAATCGACCGTCGCACGTATGCAATAATGCAATAATGCAGTAGTTAGTTTGCAATATTACCTGATAGGAAAAGCTATCGATCATTTATAAGGATAAATTTTATCATTGAGATAAACATGACTGGGTGTATAAAAATATGTATATTATCTAAAATCGTAGAAAGATAATTATAACCGAGTGTTCAAACCTGTCATTATATAGACTTGTATAATTAAGAAGGATGAGAGAGAAGAGAGAAGGATGGCATATCCTGTAATATATATACATGTGTAAATACGTTGACGATCATAATTTCCGCGTTTGAGCTGTTCGAACAAATTACATCCATGTATACATACCTCCAAGTTTTGGATCAGTCATCGACGTTATGTACCAGATAAGCATTCGAGAAATCGCATTGATTATTTTTGTGTGCTTTTTTTGCAAATAGAAGAGCTTTTACACGCCATTATCCTGTTTGAAAAGATAGGTTTATGAAACATATGCTCTAAAATATTTGGAATTATATTATGATGCAATTTAAAGCTGTTTTCTTTTATATCTTGTACGTTTTCTATGAAAATATCTGTTCCTTTATGACTACGTGTTAATTAGAACGACCACGATCATTTTGACCGTAAAATCTTTTTTAACGACGCAGGAAATTACAGAAAATGTTTAATACAATGATCGACCGCGGAGCGGAGGTCTGCATTGTCACACCTATGTATATCTGGCATCGTGTCATTGTCTTGATTTCCGATAATACGATATTCTAACGGTAACTGATCCGAAACTTTAGTTGACGAAGATCGGTAATTTAAAATTATTCTCTTGCGCAATATCGACGCAAAAGTCGCATATAAAATTACGGAATGTACATTTTGTGCTCATGAACGCTAAACGTGCAGCGGCAGATGACATGGATTATGAGTGTGTTTTACGCTTATATTTCTCTTGCGAACAAATTGACGAAACTTGGGAAAATAATTTTTATATACGTAGGATTTTCTATTGCTTCTTCTCATAGATATTTAGGGAAGTTATAAGGAGGTATATTCAGAAATATTAAAAATTGCATGAAATTTAAAACACAAGCTCTTGTATAAATGGAGAGGTAAAAGCCATAGTGGTGTAAGTCAAAGTTTTTAAAATATTGACTCGTGCGCATAGATGCAATTTATGTACTGTATAGATTGCATCTATGCACACGAGTCAATATCTTAAAAATTTGACTTGCCAGATAATGTCAGCATAAAAATTTTTGTAGATTTTTTCGCCGATTAGTTCCTGACAATATTTATAACAAAGTTCAAGCGCTTATTGACGATCATTAAGGATAATATATTCCGCGTGTTAAATTTTATGTAATTCTTAACATTTCTGATTCTCCTTACAAATTCCTTAAATTAAATCCCTACGTGGGCATTTCGTAAAAATACGATTTATTGTAAATTTACGTACAATAGATAACGGATGAAGATGAGCGATCGTTCATTAGAATATCTTTTCTTTTATTACAACTAGGGACAAGTGGTTTCTATCGGTTCTTCTCGTATAATGTTAACGTTGTGTAGTTGCGTGTTGATCATTTTGTAAGACTTGTTTTTTTATTGTATACAATAAAACATTGCTTAATATCGTATTTGCGCATGATTCATCTTAAACAGATATTCCCAAATTCGCGTTCAAAGATACCATAATAAAAAATTCCGTGACAGTTATTTAAGTTGACGAAAATGACATTTTATTGTACATCCTTCAAATTAATTTTATTTAGAGAAATGAGTGTATATATGTTATATATGTATATCAGTATTCAGTTTATACTCTTTTAATATTCAATTCTTCATTATTTGTGTCTTCATTAATTTGTGTAGCTAAACCAATCGCAAATTTTATTAAAATATAAATAAAACAAGGAAAAAAAAGTTAGCCAGGAGTTTTTTCTATCATTTTGAAGAATCCAGGTCGAGCTTTCCTCGATTCTGCTTAGGACAGTGCACACAACAACTTGGAGACAACTGTATCAAGATTACCTTTATTAACAAATATTTTAACTTATTTACAAAAATATGCCAGCAAAACTCAACAAGTGCCTGTTGCTGCAAACGCCTCCTGCGCCAGCTGTAAACCGGCGTTTTTGAAACTCGATCGGGTTTTCACGCGTCTGTTTTTCTAGTTTAATCACCAATTCTTTATTGTGCATCGTAATATCGCGGTACCAGAAAATATAGATTTATTGCGATTATAAACTTGCACTTCCAGGTCATTGCTATTATACGACTTCTTGTTTAATGGATTGCAACGGACACGTTCACGCACCGCACGAATAATATCTCCCTTACTTACTTATCGCAAATGCTTTCCTCGAGATCTAAAAAGTTTTAATCTTAAAGGTTACTACCATATATTTTATATGTTACTTATTTTTTAAAATAATAACAATCAATATCTTATTGCATATAATTATAATTCTAATATCCAACACGTAAATTGCACAATTCTTCTACTTATCGCGATAGGAAAATAAACGCGCGCACAGATATACGTAAATTAACAAAATTCTATTTTTTTTTCTTCCTTAAAAGAACACCGTACAAATGTCTGCATTGTCAAGCGATACAAGTTTGAATTGGCCTGAGGAACCGGCAACTAATGATAATTACGCGAAGAACACGATCGAGAGTGGATCGAGGTGCCAGAATTGCGAGACGCGAGCTTGACAGGCGGATTGTACTACTGTATAGGAAACCAGCGGTTTTCTCAGTGGTTAGTAATGCCTTCCCCGGTGTTAACGCAGTTGGAGAGTATATTGTCTACCATTCCCGAACGATCCTGTGCCGTCGCAAGCCGCGCGGACACGCGCTCAAAGACGATCGTCTTCCGATTCTTTCCGGTGCCTATATCCGTCGAGCGGATATAGGCGTGCCTTCTTCATCGGAGGACACGTGGACCGGTCGCCGTTCCCGATCTCTCAGATCGCGAGGCGCGCCGCGATCGCGATCAGAACGACCCATCCGAGGCTGCTGAGACGCGCTCCACCGCTGACCGATTTGACCCGGTCGCGTTCCCGACGTCCGCGGTCGCCGCCGCGCTGGAAGTCCGCGCTGGGCATCGTGCGACCGACGTCCCGCGGCGATCTCTTCGACCTCTCCACCAACGTCAACCTCGTGCTCGTCTTCGGCGGCAGCTCGACGACCGACAGACGGTTCTGCTTCTCGTACGAGGGAGGAGGGGCCGAGCCGTTCGCGCGCGTCTCCCCGGGGATCAGCGGCGGCAGCTCGCCCTGGAACTTACCGAACTGCGGCGTTCTGCTGAGGATGTCCGAGGTCAGCCGGCCACCCTTGCCGCGGTGCTCGACGTCGGAGATGGACCTGGCCAGGCCGCTGAAGTCCCGCAGTTTCTTACCGTCGTAGGTGATCAGGACGCCGGAGGAGGAGGTTGACGGCAGCTGCTCCGGCCTCGTCCTTCCGATCGGCGGGAGATAATAGGTATCCAGTCTGAGATCGGCCGCCATCTCCATGTCGTCGAGATCGTCGAGGCGGGGCGGGGAGCGCGCGGGGGACGTCTTCTTCTTCCTCTTTCTGCTGCCGTCGATCGTCAATGGCAACGACGGCACGAAAACGGGCGAGAACTCGTCGATCGTACGGTAATCCCCGTTCTTTCGGAGCGTCTCGTCCTGCCACGACGACCCCGTCGAGAGCCTCTTCTGCGCGACATCGGACGCACGGTCGACGTTGTTTTTAATGATCGGCTTGAAGCCGCTCTCGATGACAATGGAATCGGGATTGAAGCCGGTGTTGCGCGCAGGTTTCAGAAACTTCCACGAGGAAGAGGAGGATGAGCCCATGTGATTGTCAGTGATGTCCGAGCGCGAACCCACCTTCGCCTCGAGTTTCGTGCGTTGCTTCGTGTCGATCTTCGCCGCGAGTTTCTCGAACGGCGGCAGCTTGTCGGTCATGGTATTCGGCGTCGTCTTGAGCATCGTCAGCGTCGTGATTGCGACGGGCGGTCGATAAACGGACTTCTTGCGCTCGATGAGGAACGGCCGCGGCGAGGTCGACGGGAACGCGAATGAAAACGGTAATGATAACGCGCCCGTTATCGTTTTGGCAGCCTGCTGTAACGTCTGCAACATCGATGGATGGCGCGTTAATGGCGCTGGCCGCCGGATGATCATCAGTTGGGTCCTCGGCGGTTCGGGCTGATGATAGTAACGAGGAGGAGGCAGAGGAAGCTGATGGTGGACGTAGTGATGGTAATTGCTCGCGTAATGATGCGGCGCTCGGGAAAACGGTAGCTGGGTGTTGCTGATGGCCGCCGTTACGTAGGGCAACCTCGTCCCGTGACTCAGTGACGGTCGCTGGTGATCTGCAACGAGGTTAGACAATTCCTGATTAGTGGCGGTATGCTGAATCTCCCGCGCGATCTCCGTGAGATGAGTTCCGGCGTGAAGAGATGATGACGGTTCGTGAACGATCGTGGTTGACCGATGTTGCTGCTTTTGCTGCGACTTCTGCTGCTGCTGCTCCTGCTGCTGTTGCGGCTGCTCCTGCCGCGGCAAGGCTTCCTCGTCAATACGATGCGCGTCCTTCGGACGTGCCCCGTACGAGTTTTCGGACGATGATGATGATGATTGCAAGCGATCGTAATTGTTATTGGCGTTCGTTAGTAGCTGCGGATGCGAGACGCTTAGCTTGCTGTTAGTCGTCGAATGATGATGAGGGTAACGGTCGTATTCGCTGTATTCGCGGTGAGAATGATGGGCATGCTGTTGATGAAGGAACTCCGCCGTTGGCGTTACCTTGCTCGGCACGGCAATGCTGGCGTCGTACTCCAGGTCCTGGCGATCCTGCTCTGGCTCCGCGTACATCTCTCGCTTCTCGCTGGCCGCCGGCGACGGCTCGCTGGTGTCGCAACTGTCGAGAACGTTGATCTTCCAGCCTAGGTAACGATGCGTGAAGCACTGGAAGAGAAAAGAACGACGTGCGAAATCTCCCGTGCGAAATCAGAGTTCCGTTCAAAGTACGCGCCTTGTCTGAATGTCAGATTACCTGATAGTACACCGTATCGGGGGTGTTCTCGTCGGGCGTCCACTCCACAATGCCCGGCTCGCCAACGTCGCACTCAAGGGTCAGGGTGCGCTGATAAGCTCCGAAGGACGCGAAATCGTCCGCCGGCGGTTGATTCTCATCAGGCACCCAGTTGCAAAGACGACCCACGCCTGTGGGGATGACCTTGCCGCGTTGCCGGCGCACGCCGGCGAATATCTTCACTTTCTGTTAGAGTCAGAGAGCGAATAACCGTTACGAAGCCATACGATTCGCGTTTCATCCAGTCATCTTTCTACGCTTTCTTGGATTCTTTCATTGAGGTATTTAGATCATGACGGTAATTAGATAGCGATGAGAAGATTCGATCAGAGTTGCCACGGCAGCGTGTGACGTCTTTCAGTCACTTGCTTTACCGCGGAAATATTGTAATAAACATAGCGAGCCTATCTTAACGTTTTGCAGATAAAAGCAGAACTGATATACTCTCTTCCGAAAATGGTTTTGCATGCAAGACGGTTTACCGCTTTCTCCTCGGCCGTTTTGTGATAGTAGCCGCCTATCGGGTCGTCCGTGATGTAGAATGGATGATAACGCGCCGGGATGTCGGGATCTAAGCCGCCTTCCGTGACGAAAGAGTATCTCCTGCCGCGCACCACATTAATCACGGGTATCAGCAAGCCATTGATGTACCAAGAGATCCCCCAGCCAACGTGACCTGGAGAAAGTGAAGCGAAGACCGGTTTGGAGTACAGATGCGATGCAGCTTTCTTACGACTAGCGCGAGGACTTTCTCGCGAGCGCTTCGCGGATTGAGTGCCGTGCGAATTTTGATTAGTTTCGCGAAAGTCTAAATGTGCCTCGAATCTCCAAAACTATATGTGACGAGGTATCGTAGAAAAAATAAAATCCGTGCACACTTTCTACGTAAAAGGTAAGACGCGAATAAATCTTAGTGTTTATGAAAGCAGCGTCGATTAAAGTTATTTTTTTAAATAGCTAGCGAAATTTGGTGCCGAGAGAGATTTTCTCCGCCGACTGGTAATTGCAATATTTATTTCAAGAATGAGTGTCCTTGTCGGTGATAATTCTGGTGATATATACATGCACCTTTTGCACATGTAAATCATGTCATGCGGAATGGAGTTTCTCGACTCAAATCGAGAGACGATACCTCAGTGTTATAACACTAATTGCTATGGTTCAGTACCGGTAATAGCCGGATAGCCGTGTTTTCCTCCGGTAGGCCCCATCTGCGCGTAGAAGACACCGTCATCCGGCTCGTAACACTGAATCGGTGGTATCTCCCAAGCGTCGTTCGTGGAAGCCGGTGCAGGAGTTGCCGGTACACGTTGCGGCCTTCTCGTGACGAGCTATTTTAATGTATTTTCCAAAAGATAGCATCAGTATCAAAATAAAACTAACATTAATATGTACGAATCGATTTCTTCCCTAACTTAAACTTCGACTCTAACAATAAAATTTTATCACAACAGCAATAGAATTTTCATCACAAGGATATAATATTATCCCGACGGATAGAGTGTCTCGAATCGCATACTTATTACTTTATACTGTTACTTAATTATGTCATTCAAAATTTTCTATTAAATAATATTTATTTTTTTCAAGCGTTTTAAAAAAATCCGACAGCGTCAATCATTCACCAAATCGTTACTGAAAAATCACGAGTGATCACGGTCGCGGTCACCGTGTTGATTACGCTTTTGATTACGCTCCGTCACTTACTTGAGTGTTGCTTGCCGTCTGCTTAAAGTTGTCGGGAGACTCTTGATCCGGCATCGGGCAATTCCACGCGGGCGGTCTGCCGAACTCGATGAACCGATCGGTCTTCAGATAGTGGCTGTGAAAACTGACCTCCTGCCGCTCGTTCAGCGGCCCGATGGCCCAAATTATAGCCTGCGATCTGTTCGTCAGTATCGGCAAGTCCAATTCGTCGCTGGCCTTCAGCGGTCTCTGGTACGTGACGATACTGTAGCCGTTCACCATCGCCGCGTTCAACAGTCGCACCGAGTCCGTGTTGTCCTGCGGGAGAACGAATCATTTCGCTACGAGAGACAGCTCATGGACACGACAGCGTATCTTAACAGCGAATTCGCGCTATTTCGCGTTGGTGCACACTAAAGACTCACGATACACGAAGTTATTTTATATTATAAATGCGAGAAAACATTTTTTTTTTTTTTTACCAAAATTGAAATACACACGGTTATAAGTTATAAAATACATTAAAAAACTGTAAAGGTTTTGTGTCTAAAAGATTTTTTATACATCTTACTGTTTTCAACAATGTTTAGAATCAAATATAAACATCAGCTTAAGGGGATTTAAAAGAATACGTGTCTTTTACCTATCTATGTTTAACAATATATATTTCACGAGAAATTAAATTAATTCTGGACAGTCGCGACACGTTATAACTCACAATGTCAAGCATGTTTGCCGTTTGTCTACCTGTATACGACTGTCTGGACAGCTGCCGCGGCGACCCGAGCACTGGGACTTCGCGTCCAAGAAGTAATCGATGGCGTATCCCTGCAGGGTCTGCTTGTCGACCCAGGCCACGGTGGGGTCCCCGCCGACCATCACGCTCCTCTCCGTGTCCGCGGACAATCCGAAGGACATGTACTGTCCGGCATCTGTCGTAACACAATTCGGCTTTATAGTCGTTGAAGATTACGTTATCATTAGACGTCTCTCCTCAGCTCCACGCGCTTCTCAAAACGTCTCATCGTCTCCGTTGTGGAAGCCCATGGCTTTTAACGCGTGTCTGTCTATATTTACCTAGCTTCGCGACGAGCTGGACGACAATGCTGTCTCCGGCCACGGCCCAACGCACCTCGAAAGCTAAGGTGTCCTCGAGGACCTCGCAGTTAAGCTTCGACTGAAATCATACACCGTCCGATCACTTTATCCGCCACTAACGTGCATTCAAGCGGAACTAAATTTACTGGCAATTTACCCGACATTGCAGACTACTTTTCGTACAGAACCGTTCTCGTAAAACGTTAAAGTAAATCAGACTTGAATGAATGTATACTTGCTTCTTCTTTATTTTGTTTATTCATTATTTTACGCTCCGTTTAACTTCAACATTCGAGAACGACTCTTGGAGCAAAGTAATTAAATGACAAGTAATTAAAGACGTAGAACAACGTTAACAGACAGTTATTATTCGTTGAGATTATGCTTGGGGATATATGCAAAGCTCAGAATTGTAAAAAATATGTTTATTTCATGTATAATACATAATATAGAAAATGAGTACAAAAATATCAAAAATATAGTACACACATGCGCGCGTGAATCGTATATGTGTGTATATGTATATATACATATATATTATACGTATTATGTTATGTATCACCCGCGTAAGTATATACATACGTAAAGAAAAAAAAAAGAATTCAAGGCTCTCCAGATAGCAGGTGAAATTATCATATAAGACATTAATTAAAGCAAAAATAGACAAGAAATTCCTCATTCTTCCACAGTTTTCAGAAATTTAGTGTACAAACTCACGAAGGATGCATACGAGAAACTGCCGTGAGAGTTTTCGTCACAATTTAAACAAAAACAACACTGTAACAATAGCTCGAAATAATAGCAAAACAAAGTGGTATTAGTAATTTTCATTTCGGTATAAAATAATATAATAAAATATCGCTATTGCTTGAGACAGCGTGATGAAGCTTCGGGACGAAAAATTCGTAGTTTCCCGAGATCAAAATGATTGTTTAACGGAGCGGCACGAGAGAGAGGAACGAGGAACATCTTTTCGCGTGGAATAAAAGTCCGGGAGATGTCTGGCCGATATGTCGCGTATTAGTAACGCACGAAGGAGTCGATTCTCCTGTCGCCTTGAAAGTGCAGGAGCCTCGCGTACGAATTTTGTTGCGGCTCGACGAGGCGCGAGCGCGCCGACGGTTGAGGACGATACGAGGACGACGTCGGCGACGCTGCCGCGTCGGCCGGGCGATAAAATTGCTCCTGATAACCGGTATAGGCGGGGGACTGCGCCTGACGAAGCTCCTCCGCCTGGCCGGATATTAGAGGCTCCACGGCTTGAATCCCGTGGACGAATTGATCGCCCCGACGGAGGAGCGGCCGATAGGTCGTCGGTCGTTGGTGTTGCTGCGAGAGCGAGCTCGCGAACGAGATAGTGAAGGGGGAGGGCGACGAGGAAGCGAAAGAAGAGATCTCGTATGCACTTGTTAGCGCCCCCAACTGTCCCTGCCCTCCGCGATGCACGTTCTGCAACACAAGGACAGAGACAGGGTTTTTATCCATGTACAGAGATTTTTGCAGGAGGGCTGGGGAAACTCGCGGCTCGCGCAGAACGAGCGAAATGAACAGAGTTGATGAGGAAGTCGCGGGGGGAGACGCTATCCTGAAATATTTGTCAAATTGCCTTACAAGCCGTACAAGTCGTACGACGTTCGTGTAACTGTCTCGAACCGAACTCTCTTCAAGCTAATTTCCGAGCACGTTTTCGCGTAAAGATTTAAGTGTATTCTAAATGATAAGATGTAGAATTAAGATTGAAGGACTATGCCGTCCGTCATTAAAAATCGGAGTAACGTCAAATGTCCTTAGCAAAGTCGACGATCACGCTGTCAGTTTGGTCAAAGTTATTCGTAGTCAGGTATAGTCGAGGGGAGGGATGAGGAAAAAGAAAGCCGAAATAGAGAAACGCTTCTGTCGGAAGGTCGATCTCGAGGTCGATTCACGATCACCGTGGGTCGTAAATAACTGCGCGAAGCAATCACAGTGCACTATAGTGAGCTATATGTTAATGCATCTCCCTGTACTACTGTCCCATTCTCCCTTCTGTAAAGTGCTAACTATAAGACATGTACGATACATACCTGCGGCGAAACTCCTAGCATTCTGAGAGACGGCGGTACGTTCAGGCTATGCGGGAGCTGCACGTGGCCGAAGTCCACGGCGAAGGCCTCGCACCACACCCCGAAGTGACCGAGCTGGTGAACGGTCAGGTCGCCCGGTAACGTCAGCACGATCGTCTTGCGATCGTAACGACGCAACGGCTGTTCCTTTCCGTTCTCATCCGGCACTCGGATACCCTGCGACGAGGGAGTCGGTCCGGTGCCTACCCAGAACTTGGCATCTACAAAACAATCCTTACATTCGTCACTCTGTCGATCTTCCGCGTTGTATTACGTAAAGCGAACGAATCCGTGACGTTCGTGAAGTTTAAAACAGGTTCGCGAGAAGCTAAAGAAATAAATTATTTGCATTATTTTGGCGAGAGAGCCCAACAAATTGTACCGAAAGAGAAATTCGCGCTTAATGATTTTTAACGATAAAATTTTACATAAAATATCAGTATCTCGGAAATGTTGTGATAATTTATTATTAATGTCAAGGTCTAAAACTGTATATTAATAACGGGGAAAGGAAAGAGACTTGCCAGGTGCTTCCCCGTCGTAACTGAAACTGGGTATCAGAAGGGTTTGAGCGTCCACGACGACAACTGGTTCCGAACTGACGCCGTGTATGCCGCTCAATGTCTTCAGCTTTTGCGGTTTCGGATAATCGAAGCCTCGCGGTATCTTGACGTCGCCGAAGTTCACCTGGACAAAAACGACTCCTTCGGATTCGCTCATCAAGCAAGATATCAATGCTCTATTGATCCAAGGGCTTGCGTAATCGTCATAATCTAACTCTAACTCGTTAAAAATGGATTCGACTATATAACAATGAGAAGGATTTGTTGAGGAAGAAGTCGAGATTCTTTTGACTGACGAAATAAAATGTGACGCGCCTAAGGGGGAGAGATTTGAAATTCCGAGCGTTTTAGTGATCCTATTAAAAATTCTGCATTCCAATCCCGGACGTGTGGAGCCCGCGGTGACTGCGTGGCGTTTCATCAAGCTATACGTATGCCGTATTCCATTCACTTGACACGCGGCCGTTAAGTCCGCCGCGCGAGTGTGAAAGTTGTAGTTCGAGAAAATGATACCGGTTTCCCGAGTGCGACGAGCAAGTACGCGCCGATATCGCGCGATCCAAGGTCACGAGCGTACATCCGTTACTTACGGAGAATTCGTCACACCAGACCGAAAACCATTTGATGTTGTTCAAGGTCTTGCCGTCCGGTAAGGTCAGCGTGATGTCCTTCTTGCGGTACCGTTTAAGGAGGTTCGTGCTGTCGGGCGAAAGGGAGAAATTAATCGTGCAAAATAATCGAGCAAGAACGATCGCTCGGAAACCGACAAAGGCTTCGCTCGACAAATACAGATTTTTATTATAATTATATATTTCACAAAATTACGTTTAATTAACAGAATTCATGGAGAGATGTTATCGGCTTTACTTACGTTCCGCGTTCGTCTCGCACCCGGAATCCGTTGTTTCCCGGACTCTTGCTGCTTCCAGCGTAAAAGAATGCAGCTAAAAGAATGATGCTTTTATTGATGTTATCGATGAAAATTTGTTTAATAAAAACGGTTAAAAAAAGATTTATGTACATGCAGCAAGTTTCAGCCGCCAATGATGACGAACGGTTCGGTTTAAGCGAGCAGATAGCGAACACGTAACACGGTTTCAGATTGTGAAGCTCTAATAAGCATCTAGATATATCCCATTAATGGAGAATGGGCATCTCGAGCAGTCAGTCAGTTTATTAACACGTCACGAACGTGCATGCCAGAGAAATTCGGGAAAGTTTTTCCGGCACAAAAGTCGATCGCGGTCAGCTTATCAGGCCGAGGGAAAGTTTTTCCGCAATTTTCTCGCATCCTTCCAGAGATGCGACACAAAGTATTTGCGCTACACTTTAATTTTGCTTTACTTATATTGGCCATAAAATTCAAGTTTACTTGTACTTAAATCTTTTGAATTTCCAATAGCAAAATAATGTCAAAATTAAAAATGCATTATTCCGAATAATAAATCTCTTGCATTGTTCCAATTATTTTGCATTACAGTCAACTAAGAATAACACGGCAGCAGAGTCGAAATAATTCGCTTCCTTATGATTGATTACGAAGAAGAGTTTGATCCGCGTTGCAATCGCGATGTACCAACCTGGCCCTTCGCCATCGTAGGTGAAATCCTTGATAAATAGAGTCCTCGCGTCAACGGCATAAACTTCGCCGCTCACGCCGTGATGCAGTTCAGACAGCTTGCCGATCAGTTTCCCGTAATACGCTCCGCTGCATATTTCTGCCAAAAGGAAATTCATAATCATCAATTATCATTAAGTAACCGGTATAAGCGGCGAGATTGGCGATGAGAGGTAATTAAGCGTTAGTCGGAATAAGAAATCACACGGAAACGGAATGCGATTCCGCACAACGCCAGCCTCTATCTCTCGCATTCAAGCTCGTTGAATGTATATTTTACCGTTCGTTTTGCGTTCTGCATCCGGACGATTGTTCAAGTACGGTAAGTGATAAACTGCGGAGAATTAGCATAATTGTGTGCGGCGAGATAAACAACGATTACGGTACAATGTTGCAACTGAATAATCGGTTGGCCACTTATCGAGTTACGTGACATTATGCGCATCCGATTATTAGAAAAGAAGAACCACTCGCGTCTAATCGCGCGTCTAGGGGAAGAAGGACGTAGAGCTTTATTTTATTTGCCGCTATTTTTGCGCATATATAAAAATTTCTCTATGCATCAGACTCGTCCGTAAGCCCAACGAATATAACGTCGGGTATTTTTAGAAAACTCGTTATACCGAGTCGCGAGGCAACGAAGAGTGACAAAGCGCGGAAGTATGCTTTAATGCGGTAAATTACTGGTCAATAGCCACGCAAACTTCATCGGCCTTGACGTAACTGTCGGTTTGCGCGTCTAATTCGCGACCGTGGAAACGTATTCTTTTCTTTCTCGCGTATACGGTAAAGGGATACGTATGCCATTTAGTCGCGTTATCATCCGGGAAAGAGAGAGAAGAAGAGAGAGAGAGAACCGGTGCCACGCGTAATAATGCGAATTTATTAGGTTCGTTAGAATGATACATCCCATTTGTGCGCCGCGGCCGGGCTGCTGATAAATCCGCTCCCAAGTACGGTAGACCGGTAGACGATGGATAACGGTAATCGCGAGTAACTTCTCGACTTCGCGAATAAATTGTCAAGAACGATTGATTGAGCCGCTCGGCGCAGATCGTTACCGCTCGTACGCAAAACTGGGTTCCGCGAAACCGCGGACTCGACTCTCGCGGAGCGAATCGGTCTTTGCTGTTGCGTACGACGAAGACGCAACCGTCGAGACAGTTCGCCCAGAACGGTCACGTTCGGCCGCCGGAGATCGGTGTTTCTCGGACTTTTTTTCCCCCGCTGAATCCTGGACCGATATCTTTCTTACTTTCGAACCCCCGGGAAGTCATCTTGGAAGCAAGTGGCACGGAACGTTATGTATATTTTCACGTTCATATTGAAATGAATTCAAATAACTCGCGCTCGTTTCATCCTCCGGTTTTCTCAGGTCTGGTATCGAGGCTGAAGTGATATGCAAACATATGAATACGTGTAGAATACATAATCATATATGATATATAATCATGGTAGAATATGAGAGAGAAAATGCGTAAGAAAAAAGTACCAAGTGGCACTTGTTTTTAATTATGACTGACATTTGTATTTTGAAGATACAGAGGTAAAATGTTAAGTATTAAAAGATGAAATTTGAATACCTTGAGTTAGATAACATTTTGTTGTTTTTTTAACTACCATGTGTGTCGAAATTTATTATTTTAACTTCATTGGTTTAGTTAAATTAACGACATATTAAGGAGCAGTGGCGACTGGCGACCTATAAGAATGGTTAAAAATAACTCGAATTGACATTACGAATTTAACAGTGCAAAGTGTCAAGTGGCACTTGCTTTTAATTATAATGTAATTGACATTTGTATTTGGAAGCTGCGAGAGTAAACATAGGAATATCAATGGGACATGGAGAAGACACGGATATATACGGAGAAGTACTAATAACGACAGAAGTACGAGTGCGGCGTGTTTGTACACGCGTATCGCACGTGTGCTAGATAAGTGATGCCACGAAGCATTTTTCCCATTGACAGATCGTAGGAACGGGTACACTGGTTCACGTTACATTGGCTACCTCGTTAAATCGAGACCCTTCGCTCGCCCGGGACACCGTTAGGATTCCGCAGTAGGAATCGACCTGTCCATCCATCCAGAAACGTCAGGACGGCGAAGATTGGCGCGGTGCGCGCATTAATCAAGGTCGCGTGGTTGCATGTGGTTTCCGCGAGGGATTCGACGAACGCAGGATTGCAGAATGTTACTAACGTAGCAACAGCGCGTTCGAGATGTTGGGATTGATAGGGGGCCCGCGGCAGAAATGTTGTATCGTTCACCTCGTCGTATATCGCGAGATGAACCCCGCTCGAAAGCTTCGATGCGTAACAGCATAGCGAGGTCCAACTCGCTCCTTCGGAAACTCGAGTCGATCTTAACACTTTGGTAGATCTACCCCGAGTATTTGAATAGCTCTATTTCATGATTCGTTACTTAACGACTAAATGGATAGATCTACGCCATTCTTCCGTGACTCTTAATTAGTTTGAAAAAACAGTAGTAAAAGAAATGACGAGAAAGAGAATTTTTAAGAGCGATAGACTGATGAAAGATTGTACGGTGCTTAGAGAGTAAATCTCGCGCGATTGGTAAAGTGTTAAGGAACTTAGATTCGAAACTAAAGAACATTAAGTTTTAGAGATAGTCTTTAAATAAGTAAAAGCGATACACAAATGCATAATAGGGATTAATCGATCAATTAAAGATTTGATTAATACGAGAGAAAGAAAGAGACCCTGGATATTTATATAATATTTAGGAGCATAATTTTGCTGCCGCCTCCGAACGCAAATCACAAGTCTACATCATCGCGAATTTCTCGATGATACGTAAATAACCTTCGGCTATTTTCATAGCCGGTGAATATGCAGAATTGAAAAAGAAATAAAATGCTACACTTTATTTATTTTTATAGCCCAGGTTTTGCGTGCATGAGGAATACATTATCATTTAAGATTTATAATTCTATTAGTACTTTAATGCTGAATTTTTAAAATCGAACCTTTAAGACTATAAATTATTGTTATTATTTATCGCGCTTTGCGATCACCTCGGCTGTTTCAGAATCCAGACGAAAGAATCAACGTTTTTAAATAGACATGACTTCTACGCTTCGCGACAATAGAAGATTAATACAAATGTAAATTTAAGAACGGATGATACACCGCTCTCAGACGACGCGACGGGGGACGACTCGAACGTAATCGCGCCTCGACGAGATTATTCGCATTGCAAACATTTTGGCGACTATTTGCAGACACTATTACGACATTGCGGACTCGGAACTTGTGTTATGCGGATGGCCAATTACGGTTATCCGGCTCCCACTTTCACCTCCTGGAAGCCTGGAAATGTCAGGAGGCCCGCCGCGAGGCCTGTGGTGTTATCGCCCTCTCGTTTTCATCCGTTGCCGTCCTCGCGTTTAGATCCTCAAGTTTCGGCATTTACGCGGACTCATTCAGTTCGTAAAAATCTCAAGCATGCACCGCACGTTATTTACACGTGGCGCGCACGAATGATACGTGTTCCTAAAATGCAGAAACTGATTGAGATTCTATAAAAATTCTGCAAGATTAATAAACTCCAACAGTGAATTCCAACGAAACAAACGCAAAACCTCAATTTCAAGTCCACATTTCTCAATTACTATTATACTATTATTATTTTATTAGAATTTTTTTTCTTAAATCTCCGCTTTCTTGAGATCGTACGTCGATAGAGAAAAGATATCCTTTCCTATGTTTGGAAATATAATTTTAAATACGTTTTTTTATAAAATCTTAACACAAAATTCGCAAGCGCACCAAATTTTTGCTCCATTATAAATTTAGAGATTTCTACGATATTACGGCCGCGTTTGTTTCGAGAGAAGCTGAATTTCTCCGCGCGACTAATCTCATTTTTTTTTCTTCATTACGGAAGACAAAGCTGGCGAACTAATATTGGTTTTTAGATCAAGCGATTGTTAATTGCAAGTTAGCACCATGTAATTTCTCCTTGCTTTCTAAAGCGTGCGCTAAAAATGATGCCCGCAAAAACGGAGCGTGAAGTCGTCCTAGGACGTGAAGCCGCGAGATTGACGGTAAGTAGAGTGGACGAGGAAGCAGTCTGCGAAATAGCGTGCGGATATCCTAATTATTCCGAATAATGCAATAGAAATAATCTTCGATGATAATTCCAAGTCAAAATTTTGTCATGAAATCAATCCGTCAAGATGTGTGGATTTCATTGAAGATCAACGTCGTGATTATCTCGGTAAACCATTCATACGTAATTTTATATTTACGTTTCGTAACGTCAGACGCGTTGCTACGAAGATTATGTCTCGACAATAACCTGATACGATAAGCTATAGGATCTCTTTAATCCCCTCACTTTGCGTCAAGGACATCGCTTAATTAACTACGGATTGAGAGTGCCCAAGATCATGCGTAATATTTCAGTTTCCTTGTAATTATTTCGAGTCGCCATCGCTCAACGAAAAATTATATTTGGATTCGTGGAAAAACCCCGGTAAACTTTGAATAAAAATTTAAACAATCCGCGACGATCGCGAGATCTTTTGAACTAAACATATCTCGAAACTTAGAGAATTTCGTATCGCGATACTTAAAACTTGAGAACGCGAATCTGTGATTTCACTACGTATCTTCATCGATCAAATCGGAGCTCGATGAACTCTCGCGACCGTGTGGCTAAGTCGGATCGTCGTTGAAATGCCGAAAGGCATACGGGACACTTTCTATATTTCACGAAATCAATCAGGCCGATCGAGATTTAGCGGTAGATCGTGTGAGGACTTACGTGCCGCCGCGATGAGGAGGAGCGCGGTGACAAGACCGACAGCCGACGGCCGTCGCGTCGGGGACGATGCGAGTGATCGTGTCGTCATGGTGTCTTGGTGGTTACTGCCGAGAAAAGTATCTGTTGTCGATCCAGGTAACTTTGTTGGTCCCACTACGCGATCACCGGCTCGCCTTGCTTCACCGTTCCCGTTCCTTTCTCTCTGTCTTTCTCTCATGGGAAAGACTTTTCAGCTTTTCGCGCCCAGGTAAAAGTCCCATTGCCGTCTCACGGTCCGCTGTCTCGGCGGCACCGAGACGAGGCTTGTGACAATTTTGCCCACCTACGAAAGAGAGACGTCATAAAGAAAAAATATAATGTACTCGTACCCGTAAGGATTACGAAAGGAAGACAATTATAATGTCGCGGGGGAGGGATAGGACGGTGAGAATCCGTGAGAGAGGAGTGCACGCGTACACAGACTCCGGATTTCCAGGCGTTGCGTCGAAATTGCGCGCCGTCATTATGCGACAAATTTGACTGCATCACATGCAATTACAATGCTGTCATCACGAAGAAGACCGTACGCGTTACCCCATCGCACGCTCGCCGCGGGGACGCTCGGCCTGAGCTCAGCGAATATTTCCCGAGTGAGCGCATCGCGTTTCAGACAGGCTTTTATCGCTCGGGCATGTTGCAACGCCTGATTACTTTTCGCCGGGATCTCCTGATAACCATGCCACTTCGTCGAAATCGCCGATCGGAATCCCGGCCCGGTGTAATGATCGGAGGCGAGCGGGTCCTGTCGGCATCGAGAGACCTTTGACGGCCGTAACGAGTTCTGAATCGCGCATAATAACGCGGTCCTCGACGATGTAACGCGGTTACCGTCAAGCCGAGATATTCGTTTTGCAATATCGCGCAATGAGGCGCAATTTCATCATTGAAAATGAAGACATTCCCGCAAAGATGATCTAACCCCCGTGTCTTTCTATTTTTTTAATGGAAAAGAACGGAATACGTGTCGCAGGAATATCGGAATGCATATCGCAGAAGGTACCAAGAAATATGACAATCATATTTCTGTACCTTAGAGATAAAGAATCATATATCTTCAGTTTTTGTCGAAACAAAGTAAATTTACTTTTTATAATATACCAGGAGCTTAAATTGTAGAATAATAAAGGGTCTTATGTCTATCATCCTAAGATATAATGTTTAGAAAAAGTTGTATTAAAAATTTTCATAAAAATAATAAACTTTAAGCTTTGTTTTTTCTAAATTTATAATAATGGAGATTCTTTACTTCTAAGATACAGATTTATAGAACCATATGCTTCTTTCATAAGCTACTCTCCGATTAGACAATATGTTGACACGGATACAATTATAGTTTTATATCATGCGGTTGGATATTTTTCTAGTTTTGTGGATTGGATCGTGTTTTTACGAGCGTGTCTTCACTATCTTTCAGATCTTTTTCAGCGAAGCGAGGCGCGAATTTGCCGCGATTTCGCGGCGAGCAGGCCGCTTTCCGTTGTTTCATGGGTGGGCTGGCATGCGGGCTGGTCGCGCTTGTGCAGAAATCAAGAAGAGGTTCCGATCCAGCCTGAAAACCATCCCACTCATCGTCTCGCTTCTCGCCTCCTCGCATCTCACCTCATTACGCCGCGACACGGTAGGAGGGACGGAGGAAGAAGAGAAAGACAGAAAGGCAGTATACGCGACGGAATAATTTTTGTTACGTATCCTATAAGACGAGGATCGTCGTGTGTGCGATCTAAAACCGGAAGCGTCAGCGATCTGCGACCGGTAGCGGAGCGTTTTAGCGCGCGAGGGTTCTTTTTCTTTCTTCTTCCTTTTTTTTTCGCCGCGCTGAAAGTCGACTCGCGCGACAAAAGTGACAGACCTCCGGCACACCGAAGCAAGCTGGATCCGCGTTATTCGCGAATACGACCTGCGTTACGAACGAGCGAAAGTCCTTTCTTCCTTCCTTCGGCATAGGCAGGCGCGCTCGCTTGGTTTCTCGTGGAATGACCGGCTCTGTCTTGGTTCCGCACGCACTTTCGCACCGTAAATACACGGCGCACGCATGTGTAATGATACACGACACGCGCTACAATGATTCATGCAACGTACACATGCGATGTCATCCTCAGAATTAACGAGAGTATTCCTGTAATTAACTCACCGACACGTCTCTTGCTAATTAAAATGCACTTAGCGCACGCGTCCATCGCAAGTGGAAATGGGTCCAAACTCGATTGGTATCCGCGAATCTCGGCCGATCCAGTATCGTCCAATATTTAGATACTAATCCGTCGAAATCGTGTGATACCTGTAAAAATAATGGATTCGTTATTGCGAAATATTTGCACAATCTGAGATCAAATACATAAAGATCGAGAGCAATATCGGAATGTAAATAAAATACACTCGAATCCTTCATGAATGGAAAAATACGTAATAATATCTAATTGGATTTGAAACTTTATAGAATAAGAAACTTTATAAGATAAGTCACGCAATTTACCATTTATCTTTTATGGTTGATGATGAAATATAGAAGAGAAAAATCGAGCAACTTAATGACATTTAACTTTCTAGCTCTGTGTCTTCTTATTTTTTCACATATACTGTTATACAGCCGCAAAGCATAGCATTTTTTTTCTTTAAACCAAACCATATGATCTTTCTCGCAGAAATAGAAAATGTATAATATAAAAGTAATAAGCAGCACGATACTATTATCTACAAAAAAATTGAAATAAAATAACCGAAAACTGAGAAAAATGCTTTCAGGAATATTTTATGTTTCAAGAGACATTTATATCAAGGAAAAAATGTTAAGTAGATAACAACCGTAAGAATATATCGTATAGTAAATGTTTTTTTACTCAAAAGACAACGTACGACACATAGAACTGTTAAAACGCGTATATGAGCTGCTGTATTATTATCTTATAAAAGACACAAACGATTCTTTTTACAAAGTTTCGATTGTATCGCAAGATTGTGTTACATCCCGCTGTATACTCGTATGCCAGGTTCGATTGCAGCGCGGAAAGTTTCAATTACATTTAAATGCTGTTATGTTTCCAAGTGCTAATAAAAAAAAATTCAAACGTGCTGTAGATGTTATCAGTCCTACCTAGAATGAATCCCATCCTTATTCATAAGAAGATGATGTCACTTTTTACTGTTATCCACATCTCGTGAAACTTGCGCACGTATTATAATAAATAATACATTTCTTATTAATAGCCTGGACTGCCTTTCTCTCAAGATGTATATGCATACATTTTTATGTATATACTGTTATTACTATTATTAGGTTCCATATGTAAAACCCGTAAAATCTTTATTCTAAAAGCTAATATTTTACAAAAACTTTTCAAAGAAGATTCATTGGTCTCTGAAGCGCGTGTCCACAATTGTCAATTTTCAAGAGCGATCAAGCGTATCTGAGAAAGACCTAGAATTTGTTTTGGATGACTACTTATTCGCCGGCATAATGAGATGAGAATAGTGAAAGTTTGTCGTATAGGTAAATCGTGGATGCCGACGCTGAATCACGATTGCTGATCCATGAATAGTAGTCTGCCTTCATGGATCAAGTTCCCATGCATTGTCTCTCGTTTGTTTTAGCCTCGTAGGGCGCGTAACGAAGCGATCCATAAGGCGATCGTTAATTCTCATGGACGTTCGGCTAATATACAAGTTTTAAAATGGAAATACGCGAATACTTACGGTTTTCCTTCGCAAACAAAGGACGTCTGCATCAACATATTCGCTTCGCGCCGACATATACATTTTTTTTTTTGAAGCAATTCCATCTCGAGTTCGCGCATTATTTGCTTTTCAAGTCCCTTTTCGTAGAAATCACAGAATCCGCGCGCGACGTACATATGTACGCGCACACTTTAGAAAGCGGCTGGATGCTGCAAAAAAAATTGATGATGACAGAAGACACATCGTCTTTTATTTGTCGAGCGTCTACGAGATATATTTAAAAAAAAATGTTATGTCGACGTGTCCGTACGACAAATAAGCGCCGCTATGGGCCAACAATTGATTAATATTAACAGCGCGCGGCTAATATAGTTATAGCGTTGCGAAACACGGCGCGGGGGGAATCGAGTGGGCGAGGAGACGCGGGTGCTAACGGAGAGAAGAGAAATTGCAATCGTGAGGCTGCAGTTATTAACACCGAAACACCGAGTGGTGGTTTAACGACTGTTTAGAAAGAGTAATTGACCACTTTACCGGAGCAACCGTCGATTCTCGGACAATGAGAAATACGAAACGTGAAACATACATGAAATTTCCCCTCGCGATCTCGATCGTTAATCGATGCCAGCCATAACGTTCTCGTAAATAAATGGAGACGCCGCCACGCCGCCCCCGCTGCAGAAGCCATCGAAATAATTGAGTTGCTTTAAAGAGCCGCGCTGAGATATATGTATATATATAAGATATATGATTCAGAGAGGAGGATCTTCGGGATATTCGTGGACCGTTAACTAAGTCGGAACGGGACACCGCCGCGGCGCGACGTTGCAAAAAGAAAAAAAAAACGTCGTGTCTTTACGCAACGAACGTCGCTTCTCTTGCCGCAATGTCGAGAAAGGACACGATGTGAGAAACACGCGGTTTCTGCGGAAAGTGCAGCGAACAACCGGATTATCCCGGGCTCATTGAATTGTAGTAGAAACGAGGCCTGTTCTTTTTTTTCAGCTGAACTTCTTGCACGGTTCATCTTTCCTCTTTTTCTTCTTCACAAAAAGATGAAGCGTGCAAGAAGTTCAGCTAATAAAGAGAACAGGTCTACGATTGATCCCTCCTCTCTCTCTTCTCAGCGCCCCTTTAAATTCTACAGCTCCGATATCGTCCCGATAACTTCGGCGGATTATAATTGCAAATTACGCAATTATAAAATGGGCAATTCAACGTAACGACGCGAGAACTGAACGCGCGGGATGCTCCGAGACATCGGTATCACCCGGCGATGAAGCGTTTCGGGAAACGGAATTTCGAGATAGGAGGAAACGGCACGGTTATCAGATGCATCGAGAGCGATAGCGTCGCATTGTACCATCGCGTAATCGCACGTTTGCCGCAATAATTCTGCGCGAACGTCCGCCCAGCTTCTTATAGAAGATTTATTCAGCGGTTGCTGATATTTCGTACTTTCACTCGAACACCTTGACCCGCGCACAATCGCATCACAATGCATAGATCTGCGTGTAGCGAGCTGCACGTATAATATACATATTTATATAATTAATATAAAAAAATATATATATATGTATCATATATCTATGTATATAATAATTAATATACATATTATATTTACATATATATAAGTTTTACTATACATTTTTTATGTATATATCAATTTTATTGTATATGTACCTACATTTTGTGCTTCGCTATGCGCTATGCTTCATTAATGTTATATCAAAAAATCTCCGCAGAGAAATAATTCCGTTTCCATTTTGTTCTGCGACTGAACGGCGCAAAACATTTCCTTGGGACGTAACAAAATGATATATAAAAAATCCACTTCCATTCCTAGAGCATTACGCAACTGTGTTTCTTTTATCTTTTGGGTTATGTCTTCCTTTCGTTTTTCTGCAGATTTTATGTCATAAATATTTACATATTATACATGTGTAATACGTAAATGAGGCAAACGTGATGACAAAAAAAGAAGTATAAAACGGGAAAAGAAAGAAGCAAAAAGGAAAAATACGACGTGCGACATTCACGAAATAAAATGAGAAGACGGAAAGAAGAGAAGGAAAATAAGGATGTAAAGAGCAATGCGGTGCGAATAATCCATACCTCGAGATTGGATCTCTAATCTGAATAAATATTAGGAATTTGTGAAATTCTTGAAGAATTTTAGTTAGCGCTGCCGACTTCTTATCTAATTATAACCTCCCCGCTCCCGATCTTGTCAGCAGTCAGTTGCATAGACATATAACGGTCAAACGGTCAGGTTTTGCTGCTAAAGATGCGCCGATAAGTTTTGTTTACGTCGATAAGGTAACACCCGTAATTACCAACTCGAAATAACATCGACCGTGTAGTCAATTGTATTTGTCGATAATGTTGCACAGTGAATTTTTAACCTAACCTTATTTAAATGTTGGCGGCGGATTATTCGCGCTATATAACCCAAAGGCAGGGTTGAAGGCGCTTTGCTCCTTCCCAAAGGAGCAGAAACCAAAAAAAAAAAAAATGGCGGCGGATTGGTGCCAGTGAAACACATGGAAGAATCTTATCAACAAAAGTCCGATTTGTTTGAAAAAAAAATTCACCGAACGCGCGAAGCTTTTCCTAAAATTATTCTTTTAATTAGATTATCGATTCGTGTATGAAATCAAATTTACATACCTGGATTATGCTGATTATGCATCGTATTTACATCTGACAACAGATGCTGACAGCTACTTGTTGTTTCCTCTTAATTAACAATTAATCTCTGGCAACATGTGCACGCCGGCTAAGATTAGAAAATTAGACGAAATTGTGGTGAACAGAATCGCGGCTGGAGAGATTATCCAAAGGCCGGCAAATGCGTTGAAGGAATTAATAGAGAATAGGTTAGTATTCGGTCTCTCTCTCTCTCTCTCTGTCTGTCGCGATGCACAGGATAATTCGGTTTTACGTTGTAGTTTGGACGCCAAAGCGACGAATATACAAATCACCACGAAGGAAGGAGGCTTAAAGCTCCTACAGGTACACAATAGGATATACAGTTTCAATTGTTAAACATAGTCTGAAATTATACCTATTCACAATGATCTTGATTTATACCTTTAGATACAGGATAATGGCACCGGTATCCGAAAAGAAGACATGGACATCGTGTGCGAGAGATTCACCACAAGCAAGCTGCAAAAGTTCGAGGATCTCAGCGCCCTTACGACATTTGGATTTCGAGGGGAAGCTCTGGCCAGCATCAGTCACATAGCCCTTCTTGCTATCACGACAAAGACGGCAGATGAAAAATGTGCCTACAAGTATGCAGATTTAACCGACGAGAAATCTGTTTTGAAAAAAGAAAAGAAATGTAATTCTTATTTTCGTACGAATCAGCTGAACCGTATTCACCTTTGTAATGTTACAGAGCGTCGTATATTAACAGCAAGCTAAAAGCACCTCCAGTGCCTTGTGCTGGAAATCAGGGCACTGTGATAACAATAGAGAATCTGTTCTACAATGTGGCGACTCGTAGAAAGGCTTTGTCAAATCCATCGGAGGAATTTACCAAGATTACGGAAGTGGTTATGAGATACGCTGTGCATAATCCGGCAGTAGGATTTACGTTAAAAAAGCATGGCGAGCCGAGTCCACAGGTAAGATAAATCCTTACATGACATATGACGCATGTGCGTCGTCTAAAAAATATATTAAACAATAGAATATTTAAGAACATTTATAGTAATGTTTCGTTACGTTTTTAGGTGCGGACGCCACATAATTCGACAAAACAGAATAACGTAAGGATATTGTACGGTAATCCGGTTGCTCGTGAACTATTAGAGGTTGAGCTTGACGACAAGGATTATAAATTTAAGATGCACGGTTTAGTGACGAATCCGAATTATACGAATAAACGAATGGTAATGCTGCTATTCATCAACAATCGATTGGTCGATTCTCCTTGTAAGTCTAACGTTGCGCAAACAGTCTTTATCCACTCTAAATCCTTTGTCAAAATTTTAATGTTTATGGACATTTATTTCTAGTAATTCGTAAGATGTTGGAAGAAGTGTACTCTGTGTATCTCCCGAAAAAGGCCCATCCGTGGTGTTACATATCTCTGGATATTAATCCACAGAATATTGACGTTAATGTACACCCGACGAAACACGAGGTTCGATTTCTTCACGAAGACGCGATAATCGAGAGAATAAAATTCGCTTTGGATGAAAGACTGACTGGTAATAGTGCGTCTAGGACGTTTTACTTGCAAGCTAGATTACCGAAAGCAGACATCACTAAGGAAGTCCTGGAAGAGGTGTTACCAGAGTATAACAAAGGAAATTCAGATAAATTGAAAAAAGTTCACGCTAGAGAGCTGATTAGGACAGACTCGTCCGATCAAAAACTCGACAAATTTAATTTTACCATACATTTTGAACAACGTAACAATGACGGTAATACCCTGGCGAAGGAATTAACACGTAATGCAGATTCTAAGTCTCTTAATTCTGAAATTCCATCGAAAGAAGGTGTATCTAACATTATTACGGAAAATCCGCTTGCTGACGATAAATGTCAAGAGGAAAACTCGAGCTTGAATTTAAATGTCGCAAAACACAATTCTACATTATTACATATCGAAGAGACTCCAGCTGATGATTCGACACGTTGGAGCGGTATATTAGACACTAAAACTTCAGCTTCGTCAGACTCGCAAAATATCTGCGATCCAGGTAGCTCTGCGCAAAAGGACAAGTCGAAAAATGTCCGTCCAGAGAGCACCACGTTTGATATCTCAGAATTTCTAAAAGACTTAGATGAGGAGGTAGATGATCCTGTAGAAGATGAGCCTGTAGACGCCATAGCCGATAGGGCTCGTAAACAAGTGTATCAGTATTTCGGAAATGGGGACATTATTGAGAGTACGAAAAAGGCTTCGGAAACAGAACAGACATTAGGTACAGATGATAATGAGAAAGAAGGAGAAAATTCAATATCTGGTGCGAGTCAATCCGGAGGGACACATTCTACTGAGAAAGATATTTCTACTGATGAATCTCCAAAGTCCGCACAGCAATTCAAGTCATATTCCGTGAATAACTTTAGACACGAAGTGAAATTAACTAGTATCCTGAAATTACGCAAAGATGTTGAAGACGAATGTCACGAGGGATTAAGAAACATTTTAGCTAATTTGACATTTGTTGGCTGCATCGATCAAACTTCGGCCCTGATACAGAGTGGAGTTAATTTGTACATATGCAACACTAGAAAACTAGCGTAAGATAAATGTTTTACATAATAAAAATGAAATTTGAAATGTTATATATAAAATTTATAATTTTAGGATGTAATATTTTTTTTAGGGAGGAGCTTTTTTATGAAATCATGCTTTACGATTTTGCAAATTTTGGCGTTATCAAATTTTCAGTACGTATTTCAGATGCGGCAAATTAAGTTTATTTTATAGCCGTCTAACATCGCGCGCTGATTTAATTTTTTTTTTTTTAGGAACGGATATCGTTGTTCGACTTAGCAATGATTGCTTTAGATTCGGGGGAAACTGGATGGACGGAGGAAGATGGGCCGAAGGAAGAATTGGCGGCAAGGGTGAAGGAATTGCTTTTAGAAAAGGCAGACATGATGAATGAATACTTTTCGGTTGTTATGGATAAAGTGGGAAATTTGAGATCGTTACCCGTGTTGTTAGGTAAATACATTGTAATATTGAATATTGTTATATTACCAGAAGAACAAATTGCTAATAGCATGTGCTAACATTTTAGATAAGTATTTTCCATATGAAGCGGAAATTCCATTATACATGATGCGACTGGCAACGGAAGTTGAATGGAGGAAGGAACAACTGTGCTTCCAAAATATTTGTCGGGAAACGGCAAAGTTTTACAGCTACATGAATCCGAAGCATCAGACACACGACTGGAAATATATAACTGAACACGTTTTATATCCCGCAATTAAAGAAAGTTTACTCCCACCGAAACACTTCGCTCACGATTCAACGATATTACAAATAGCCAGCTTACCTGACTTGTATAAAGTGTTCGAGAGATGTTGAATTATATTACTCCTAAGGTACAGGAATGTATTGTACTTCGTTTTCTATGCGCTTATGAAAATTGAATTGACAAGTCCGATAGCAAATGTATTTAATGTTTTGTAGATTTATACAGTTGTGACCTATTATATTTGTGCGATACCCGACTTTTTGTACGAAGATGTTACAGACTGAAGAGATGACTGAATATGTATCATTATTTTTGCCGGGATTTGTATTTTATCGTCTTCCTCTACAGTCTTTTCGATAGAATTAAACTACGTATATATAATAAAAAAAACAATGTATATATTAAAAAAAAATTTCTATATATATAGTAATGCTACAAATGTGTTTTTACATAAAAGTAGCGTGTATATATATATATAAATTTTTTTTTTTGCTAACCCTTGTACATTTTACGATATATTAATACATTGGCTTCTATTTTATATTTTAAATAAAAACTTAAGAGAAAAAATTATAATGTACATCAATATCTTGTATTAGACTTCGTCATTTAACAATTTATCAGTGGATGTTCTATCTATCTACCTTTACATTAGTTATCCTTTAGCAACACCTACTAACGCTGGTCTCACTATTCTTTCATGCAATTTGTATCCTACTTTCGAGACAACTACAATTGTTCCAGGTTCCTTGCCCTCAACCTCCTGAAAATAATATTCATTATAATCATTATTTATAGAGATTATCTCATGCTACATACTGTATATAAATCTTACTTGTTGAAATAATGCTTCGTGCTCATTAGGATCAAACTTTTCATTTACTGGATTCAGTGAGACTAATCCGTGCTTCTTGAAAACCTATATAATGTTAAGAAAAAAAGAGGAAGAATTTAATATTTAAAGTCACATTGTTCATGTGCATATTTCTCGTATTAAAAGCCTGAGATAAAGGCATATCCTACCTTGTGTAATTGAGCTTCCGTCATGACCAAACCCTCGTATAAACTTTTCAAATGCGGGTTCCGCTCCGTTATCTCATCCTTTGGTACACTTTCGGTAGCTTTCCCCAATATGTCGGCTACATCCAAGAGATCCTTACAGAAACCTTGAATGCCGAAAAGTTTGGCGTCGTTAATCTGCTTAGTGAGCCTAATCCTGATATTTTCTCCTTCTGCCAATGCTCTCTTATATTTATCTTCCAGCGTGTCTCTAGATTCCTTAAGCTCGGCAAGCTCTTTATTGATGAGCTCAAGTTCTGTTTTCAGTTTCTTCTCATTTTCTGTGGTAGCTTCTGATACGTGGGATACGTCGGTGGCGTCTGGCTTCTTTTCTTCCGTTATTGTACCAAAATGTTGCCTTTGCCAGGAAAATGCGTAAGATGCGCGTGGTAATCTGTAATATTACATTTACATATATGCTTTGCTTATAAATAAAAACATTGCATACATATATATCTGTTCCAAACAAAATATAGATATGTATGTGGCACAATCACACAATATTTTCACGTTTTATCCGCTTAACAATATTCCAATAGTGTGAGAAAAATGTCGAGTGTCCTCAGTATTTTAACGATTTGCTAAATTACAGAAAGTTGAAGGGAAGAGATTCCGGATTCTCACTTTTGTATGCAGCAACATGCAAACTCGATTACATTAGAAATCGCTTCGCGCCGTTGAAAGAGATTAAATAGCGAATATTTCTTGGCGTTTAATTAACGATAATAATGCTCCCGACATCCGGAGAAACAAAACGGAATAAATAAACGCGGCGGTTAACCTCGACACGCCGACACGTGACTCCGCGACGAGCGTTCGATCGCCGACTTGCGCCAGCAGAAAAAAAGTGACAATTTACCTGTTTAGGCTTTTACTGATTTGATATAAATTATCGGCCGTCACGCGACTAAATCGCAATACCGCCGGTACGACGATCGGTGCCATGATGCAATCGTAACTCCGGACGAGATCTCGAGGTCCTCGAGGAACGGATGACGAAACCAGACGAAACGTAGCGGTCGGACTCGTCGGAGAACGAGAAAACACAAACAATCACGATCACGGAATGTTGGGGGACGCAAGGTGCCGCGAGTGCCGCGGCTCACTTCACGGCCGGATCGTATCAGATCGTATCGTTCAACCAATCGGAAGCCCGTTTTCTTGAATCGCACGGTTTTTACTAATATGGAATTAATTAATCGCGTTGTTCGAGGGTTATCTATAGATTTATATATTTTTTAATATATATTTAAGATCGGATTTATAAAAGATAAAAAGTTAATCCGCATCTCTCTCGGTAGAAATGAACATAACTCGAACGTTTTTGAAAAGCGCGCCGTGGTTAGTTTCATGGCGGACGGTATCTAAAATCCTATTTGAGGAAATCGGGACAATTTTTCGACTCCTCGCCGGCGCGCCTCGGCAACGCCACCCCCGTCTACGTATCGCGCGCACTCGCGGGTATTATACGCCCGCGGTTGCGGTTGTGTTGCTGCTGCATAGTCCGCGTTAGTCCGCGCCCGTGTGTCGTTCGTTTACGTCGTCGTTCGGTAGTCGCGCATTATATCGCGTCGGAGGTATACCGTGTCGAAGCGGAAGCGCACGACGCAACGCAGCGCGCAGCGCAACGCGTGCCCGCGTTATCGGCACCGATTCCGGAGCGCGCGCAGACGACTTCCGCTTTTCCGAGTGTGTGTGGTGTGTGTCGGCAGCGTCGCTACGGGGAGGGGGGGCCCCGCGTTCGCGCGCGCGTTCCATCACTTCCATCCATCCAGCCAGCCAGCCAGCCACCGTCGCCAGACTCGCCAGTCGCCGCACCGATTGTGTAAACCGCGCCGCGGCGAGCGCGGCCTGGCGATTATGTGTTTTGGGTGCGCGCCGCGCGTCCCGACGGCAATGGTCGCGCGCGAGTCCCGCGATTCCTCGCCCTCGCCGCACGACGGTCGCGTCCCGGCGAGATAGATATCCGCCAACCCCCTCCCCCCTTCCGAGACCTCGCGAGGAAATTCTCCGTCGCGGTCCCCCCGGCGGTCCCACCGCACTCGGGAACGCGAGTCCGCGAGTGCGCCCTGCGTCGCCACGACCGTCTGCTCCGCGGAGTAGTACCGATCCCCCGCGAGCCAGCCAGCCAGCCATCCAGCGAGCGAGTGAGCGACCAGGACGCTCGGCGAGCTATGCCGATGCGACCGTATGCTCGCGCGCGCGTCTACCGGGACCACCGTCACGGGTGTCGTTCACCGCTGATGTGCGTCCCGATGCTCTGAGATACGGGCTCCGCACGCATCTCACACGTACTCACATATATATATACATAGATAGATGAGAGAGATATATATACATACATATATATGTATACAGTCACACACACATAAGTATAATATATATACACGGCCGGGCGGCGGAAGTGTTTTGCTCGATCTTTCCCGTCGCGCGCGCAGTCCGTGCGCCACACGGGGCCCCTAGATCGCCGCCGCCACCGCCGGGTACGGCCCACCGAGGAAGGCGACCCGCGCTCGCCCCGTTACGGCACGGAGTCGTTCCCCCCGATCCTTGGACGCCGACCTACGTCGAGTCCGCCCGTGTCCCGCTCTGGACACGCCGATTCGCCCGATTCGCCCGCCACACGACGGGTTATGTTTCCCACCTTCATCGGAATCCTAGGTGAGTCCCACCGCCGCGCCGGTCATCCAACCGGACGGCGCGCGTGACAAATTACCGGTTGATAACGTGTATATATATATATATATATATTCGTACATTGCTCCTTTTTTTGTGCCGTTGTAAGCGATACTAGAAATAGTATTTTGTAGTAGCAGGGATCCTCGGCCTTTATCTACGGAGATTCGATTTCTCGGCCTTATTCCGTTCCTGATCTCGAGTCTTGAACGTTTGAGCTGAAGGAGGCGTGATTGAACGACGTAACATTTGTGATTATTGTTGAATCTACAAGTAATATTCACGCCAGAGATTTGCACAAATTTATTTCACTGTTAAATTCCTTTGTTTTAAAAATATTTCTTGATATTTAAGCGTATTTAAGAGATTTTTTATCATTTTTTATGTTCGGGAGAATTTTACGTATGATCGCTCATGCGTTAAAAATTGTCCCATTTAAGTAATTAAGTAATTAAGGTGTTTTTCATGCTCATTTTCACGTATCTTTTGTAATTGAAATTGATGATGTGAATTAAGGTGAATTTGTACAGAGTGGAATGATGTATTAATTGTCATGAATAGGTGATTGAGCTTCGACGAGTCAAATCCAGTCCAGAGGTAGTTTTTTTGCAAATTTGTGTATATATTTAAGTGCAAAGAAAATAAAAATAACTATTGATTATACGTACACTAGCAATATTTAGAAATCTAGAAAAAGATATAATCCTTTTTATACTATTTAATACTACCTAATTAAGCATTTCAGTTTTTTAACTTGAATACACTTTAAATAACTTTGAATTTATTCTTTTTCGTTTTATTTATATTCAGAGAATTGATGTCAGAGTTATGTTTCGACACAAAAGAAATATTATTTTTGTTAAATGTAACGAAAAACGTGTAACATGAGAATATGAATATTTTTGGAAAATCAACCCTTCGTAATGTTTTAATTTAATTTAAATGGTAAATATTATCTACAATTAAGATTTATTGCTACGTAGTACCTACTATATTACTTCTTTCGGAAAATTTTATTTAAGATTTTCCAAGTAGCTTCGTCTAAGAAATGGGTTATACACGTACATCGATTACTTTCAAATAGCAAGATTAAGATCAAGGAACTTTTAACTGTTCCTTTATTTTTTTAGACATTCAATCGTGGTGGGAGGTGCCAAGTATAGCACACTTTTGCTCATTATTTAGAGCTGCCTTCAATCTTCTGGATTTTGATATTGAGGTATCTAATCAAATGCTAACTCTCTTATGAGTAAGCAGCGTATGTAAAGCCCGTTAGTACCGCTTCAGCATTTAGGCGGCGAAACACGCTGTCACGCTTCAGCTTTAATCTTATTATTTATTGGCTTATACATCATTTTGTTCTCTTCTTCACGTCACTATGAATGCTATATTGCGAAATGTGTCCTCGGTATTAACGTCACTAAAATTATAGGATTTGGAAGAGGCTTTGTTAACGGACGGAGGTACCGAAGGACGACTGCTTCAGGAACTGATAGTAAAGTTACTGGAGGGTTGCTTGCCAAATGATACCCGCAATGACATCTCCACCTTTAATTATCAAATGTTTCTGCGTAGACTCTTTCGGAAAAAATGTCAAGTACGTATCGATCTCAGTGTTGTGCCTTACAATGTAAAATTATCTATTACTTCTATATTGGTAAGAGACGTTAACTGAAACGCATGTACATTTGCACAGGAATACAAATGCGAAAATCCTTTCAATACAGACGTAGACTTTGAATTGTTGCCTCTTCGTCAAAAAGTAGAAATACTACGCGCGCTCTGTGACTTCAGGCTCGACGCCGAAGACGTAGTACGTATTCGATCTCGTTGCGAGTTATTACAATAATTTTACACCTGCACATTCCTTAAACGATTATTTGATAATATAATCGAATGAATGTGAAATTAATAACAGGAGCAGTCGTTAAGCAACTTGGACTCGGATAGCCTGCGAGTCGAACCTTTGGGACATGATCGTAAGAATTCTGCCTACTGGTACTTCTACGGCACTCGATTGTACCGGGAGGATTACATTGATACTTCTAACAGTGCCTCACACAAGCAGAAAAGTAAGCCAAGGGACAAAAAGCGTAAAAAACGACGGAACAGAGTGGCGAAGGAGGAACAGGAAGAGGAAGAGAAGGAGGAAACTAGTTTAATAAACAGCGGGAACAACGGACGAGAGAGCGTTTGGCAGGTTGTTTGTTTTACCCAGCAAGATTGGAGCAGACTGGTTGAAAAATTTCGTGATTCGGTAATGATTGTTTCTTTGCTGTTTCTTGCTTAGAAAAAAAAAGATATAAATTGTTGCGGAATTGGAAATAAAATTATTTATGTTTATTTATTTGCCCAGGAATACGACACCGAACGCAAGCTTTATCGCACATTGTCCGAAGACTTTATGCCGGAAATACCGAAATTGTTTGATTTAAAAGAGAAACAGCAACGACGTAAGCTGTTACAACGTAATAGCTCGCGAGTGCTTCGTAGCCAGGAACCTGCTACACAGATGGACGCAGTCATGGTCAGATCCAAGATCAAGACTAAAACGACTAAAGGGAATAAAAAAGGGACGCAAGCATCAAAATCTTATATTAAGGAAGACACCACTCCGCCGTTACCGACTTCACCGGTCCAGAAAAAAGGACGGCAAACGAACAATTCTTTAGCTTCGGCTGTCGGCCAGATTGTAATTCATACTAGAGATGAAGTAGAGGACTTGGAGAAGAAGAAGAGTACCGGTAATCATGGCGATAGTAATTACGTATCTTGTAATTACGGCTACAAATATGGCTATTCGTTCGGTATCGAAGAGGAGGAGCGTTGTGTCGGCATGCACAAAGTTCTTGAAAGTGTTAAAGATCACGTGGATGCCTGGCCATTTATTGAGCCCGTGGATGAGGACTATGCGCCAAGGTAAAACTTTATACACGTTTTAAAATCGTGATTAATTATTTATATTTCCGATATTAAGTTTTTAATGTTCTGAATAATTTTTATAGGTACTACAGTGTGGTACGCAGGCCAATGGATCTGAAAACTATGGAGGAGAAACTCGAAAATGGCTCGTATAAGAATTTAAATCAGTTTAAACGCGACTTTCGGCTTATCGTCGACAATTGCAGGCAATACAATGGCTCCGATAACGGTTCGTGATGCTTTTTTATCCAACTTTTTTAAATTTTACATAAATCTACCAGTAATTGCATTATATCGTTATCTGTATGTCGGCAAAACTTAACAACACGTTTTATATATTCCAGAATACACCGATATGGCGGTTAATCTTAAGGAAGCCTTTGACAAAGCCGTAAGTCGATATTTGGAATCGGAGACGTCCAGTGACGAAGATCCTACGTCTCCTCCGTCACTGGCCGGATCACCTACAACTTTATCATATCCCTCACGTCATTTATCTTCTTCGCACCATAACGCACGAAAACGCTCGAAAAAATCAACCAAAAAGTCTAAATCGTATAAACCTGAGAGTAAAATAAAGTCGAAGAATAATGAAAAAGTGGACGAAGATGAAAAGAGAAATAAAAGTATTAAAGTTGCGAAGAAGAAGAGGGGAAAGAAAAAAGGTAAAAAGGTGAAAGAGGAAGAATCGGACGAGGATGAGGAGGAACAGGAAGACCAGGAAAGCGAAGATGCAATATCTGAGGCTAGTATCGTAACGTCAAAGAGAAGAAAAAATATTGATGTAAATAGTTTACTTAAAACCAAAAAGCTACCTAAGGAAACGGAAGAATTAAGAACATCAAATAAAAAAGCGAACAAAGAGCGGCACCAATCGAAAAAAGACTCGGAAATTGTACGATCTGCCAAAGAAACGAAAGAAAATAAAAAGCGGAAGGAGGATTTCGAAGAAGATTATGAACCTCCAGTAATTCCGAAGAGTAAAAGTAGAAAAATAGAAAAGAAAGAACTTGAAGAAACTGCGATATTGACGGACAACACGAAGAAGAGCAAATTGAAAAAGATCGAAGTGGAAGAAAGTGACACAGTATTCGAGAAGAGCAAAAAACAATCTTCCCATGTCAAAACGAAAAAGAATCGTAAGAAAGAAAAGTCGAATTTAAAGACCGTAACCAAGTCTAATGAAAAATCCGACAAGGGTCATTTAAAGCAAAAAAATAAGAAATCAAAACAAAAGAACGAGGAATTAAAGAATGGAGAGTTGAAAAGTCAAACGGATTCCAAAGATATAGAATTAGAAAGTGCTTTAGATTCCAAACGTACTCACATCTCCAAGAAACTCTCCACATTAATTGGTAAAGATGTAGACTCGCTTGATAGTTTAAAAGATAAGATAAGCGATAGAAGACGGGAGGAAAAATTAAAAAACGAAAAAGAAAAGCAGAGAAAAGCGGCGAAAGGTGACGTTCACGGTATCTATTCAAAAAAAGTGCCTTCAAACAGTAGTACTTTCCACGACAATGACAAGGACAATGCAAAGCGATCAAAGTCGAAGAGAAATACGAAGGAAGATAAGATTACGGATGACGCGATTAAGAAACATGATCCGGAAATCAGTGAAAATAAGAAAAGCACTCATGCTAAACATACCAAAGGATTGGGAGCAGAGGAGAATGCTGCGATTCAGGCATTAAATCAAGCGACGGAGAAGACACTTCATGTAAGCTTACAAGATACTATTTTCAAGATTATTTCAAGATTTCTTATTAGAATTCATACATACAAGATATAAATCAATTATAAGTGTTTACATTTTTTAGTGTTCAATAGAATTTATTTAAAAAAACATCCATGTCCAAAGAGAAACTAATAGTTTTAAATTTTAAACTATGTGCCGACTGTCTGTAATTTATATTGATAGTTCTGTGCATATTAAATGCATATTGAGAAATTAGACTGTCAACAAGATAAGGCTTCTAAATTATCTTGCATCTTAATACAAGATTCTTATTTTCTTTTGGTTTTATTTATATTCTGTGAATCATACATACTGATTTGCTCTATTACATGCGATAGGATATTAACAAGTGGCTTGACGACGCACCCAGGCTCTCGGGATTCTCCTCTGGCAGTGACTCGCCAGTGCTTCATAGCTCTTCCATCGAGTCCAATCGACCAGGATCCAAGGTAGAGGCTGCACGAAAGAGACCGAGTTCCATCAAAATATTTGGCCCTCATGGACCGAGTCGACCGAAGAAAATACAGCGCACGATCGATCGTTTGCAACCTGGCAAAAGCAAGGGAAATTTACTTCTGAAGAAACCGCTTAACGTGCCGAGCGCCAACGCCAACGATGCTGCGAGCTCTACTAGTGATAACGATCAATCGAATAAGGATAATGACGAAGAGCCGAAGCTCAGTTTAGGTACTGTGCTGAAAAACGTGGATTCCATCCAATTGATCTGCAAGAGTTTAGTATCGTCACCTAATCCGAATTTGTCCAACGACGACGAGGAAGAGGATCACTCTCTTACCACGACTCAATCATCTAATGTCAAGGAGGAGAAAACGAGTGCTAAGGAAGCTACGAAGACGTCGAGCACAGTAGAGGATAAAGAGGCGGCACGATCGGGTACGGAAGAAGCGCAGAAACCAAAATCCGCCACACCAAATTTGAGTGCCTGGTTCAAAGCCTTTGGAGCGCCAAAATCAAAAAAGAAAGACGAGGAAGCGGAAGAGGCCACGATGATAAAGAAGGACGGAGATTCGCAGGAAGCGTTTTGCGGCAGGCAACGACGGCTGAGCACCGGTGGTAGCAGTGTCAGTGAATCGGTGTCTAGTTTCTCTCAGGAATCGCCACCGGCGCCACGCGTAGCGCATTCCCCGCAGTGTCAGCCCGTGATAACGCCAACCGAGCCGATAAGGGGCGCGGGATTTTATCAGGACGCATTGTCAACTGGGAGCAGTCCCTACAACAGTCCCTACTATGCGACCCCACCGAGATACAGCGCGCAATTGCCACCCACTCCATCGCCGCAAAACCATCCGTTATCCCCGGCCTATCCGTCGCCTTACGAACAACCACCGCCCGTCTATCCTCAAGTGCACGCGCAGCCGCCGTATCAATCGCCGTATCAGAAATCCTCGCCTCAAGACAACGCCAACGAGGCGTACCCGCAAATGTCTCCGCAACGTTTCCCGCAACAGTTACCCGCCAGCAATCAGAACCAGTCACCCGTTTATCCGCAACACTCCCCGCAAGCGATCCAGCCGGTTTATCCTCAACCTCAGACACCGCCGTCGAATTATTCGCAGCCCTCGCCACAGCAACCATCTACCCCCAGCTACTCGCAACCGTCTCCGCAACAGAATGCGGTCGCTAATTACTCTCAGCCCTCTCCCCAGGCGGTCACCAATTACCCGCAAGTTTCTCCACAACAGCAACACTCCCCTTACTCACAATCCTCTCCTCAGACGCCGCCGAATTACTCGCAACCGTCCCCGCAACAGCACTCTCCGTATGCGCAGTCCTCGCCTCAACAGCCCGCCGGATACAGTCGTCTGTCGCCACAGCCACCGCCCACGAATTACTCGCAACCCTCGCCTCAACCACCGAACGCATACGCGCAGCCGTCTCCTCAGCCGCCGAGTTTCTCTCCGCAAACATCGCCGCAAACACGTCCCACCAACTACTCGCAGTCATCGCCGCAACCCCCGAACTCGTATCCGACTCCGCAACACGATCGGAGTTACTCACAATCGTCGCACCAGCAAATTCAGACTTTCCCTCAGCACTCGCCGCAAGCACCATCTTCGTTCTCCAAATCGTCGCCGCAGAATAGCTCATATTCTCAACCGTCGCCGCAACCACTGACCAATTACCCGCAGTCTTCTCCCCAGCAGCCAGCAACGTACTCGCATCCGTTACATTCGCCGCAGACACCGCCAAATTATTCGCAGCTTTCACCGCAACAGACATCCGGGACGGCGACAGCGACGGCGCCGGCGGCAGCAGCAGCAGCAGTAGTTGCGGTGAATTATTCACAACCGTCGCCTCAACAGTCGCGCAATTATCCGCAAACCTCGCCTCAACAAAAGCCCACGTGTAATCCCGTACAACCACCGCAACAGTCGCCCGGTTACTCGCAAACCTCTCCACAACAAGCCGCCAATTATTCTCAGCTTCAATCGTCGAAGAACTCGGAGGAGTATGCTGCTCAAGCCACGGCGCCGTCTGCGAGTTATCCTCAGGACTTCAAGCAAAATCCCTCGTACATTCAGCAATCACCTACGATATCTTCGTCCGTGAGCGAAGTTGAACACCGAGCGGAATATCTGAAGTCTAACGCTACCGAAAAACCTTCTCCAACGGGCGATCAACAGAGGAACTTTCCCGTTCAATCGGAATCGTTGAACCTGAACGCGAATCATCAGCTCTATCAGTCGCCGAGTCAGTATCCGCCAACGTATCCGAACAGTTTTCCCAACGTCGAGCTTCAGAGGTCTGCTTCGAGACACGGCGGTCAGCAACAGGCGCAACAGCAGCAACAGCAGCAGTCGGCACCGCAAGATTCGCGGGCCGGTTTCACCGAAATCCAGTCGCGTGGCTTTCTCGGCAAGGCATCGTCCGGCAGCGGTGATCAGTTACCCGCGCCTGCACCGGATCAGACGCAATTGTTGGCATTCCAGCAGAACTTGACGACGGCCCGCGAGTCGCTCTATCCAAGCGGCTTCCAGCCACCCGCTTACTCGCTAGCGCCACCAAACTCGAGGCCGGTGTATCCTAGTCCGCATTATTTCGACGCCGGCTCGAAGTCCGCCGGCGGTGGGGGCGGCGGTGGAGCCGCGTCCGCCAGTCCCTCCGGCAATCCTCCTCCGATGAAGAAACGCGCGTACGAGCCGCCCGCCAGCGAGTCCAGCACGCGCGGTCTACCGCAGGAGAGCGCGGTAACGCGTCCGGGTCAGGAACAATTTTCGAGTTTCGAGCCAATGATGACTCTCCCGCAACCGGAGGCTGTGTCAGTCAGTCAGTTCGATGGCACGCCGTTCGTTACCGGCCTGGCCGACTCTATGGCGACCAATTCGGCGTACGCGCGACTGAGCCTCGGTCTGGTGGGTCGGGCACCGAGTAAGGAGCAGCAGCAACTATTGACGATCCCGCGACCACCACCCGGGACGAAGACGGAGCATCTTGTCGCTTACGGTCGCGGCGCCGCACCCGGCCCCGCCGAGCTCGAGCAGCTCAATCTGCTGCAGAGCTTGCAGAGCGCGGCGGCCAAGAATAGCCAGGGTATCCTCACGATATCGCGACGACCCGGCGAGAGCGACGTGAGAGGGACACCCGTCGCCACGATGACGCCCACCGCGACGCCGTCCAAGACGAAGAGGAGCCGGAAGAGCAAGCATCCGCAACAGCAGGAACAACCGAGCGCAGCTGTCACGGTGACGGCCGTAACGACGGCCGCCGATCAGCAACAAACGGCAACGGGAATGCCCGCTTTCCCACAGTACGCGGCCGCGTCCGCGGCGACCGCGGCCGAGTCCATCGGCGCCTTGAAGACAGCCACGGTGGCGGTACCGCCGCCCGCGGGTAGTGCCTTCAACTTCGCCGCCTCTGCCAGTGGTGCGTCCACCGCGTTTGCGTCTTTCCTCACGGACGAGTTTCGTAATCAGGGCATTTACTATAATATGGCCCTGCGACAGCAACAGCAGCAACAGCAACAGCAACAGCAGCAGCAGCAAGCGCAGCCGCCGATGGTGAGCAACGCCTCGGGTCAGCCGACCGCCTGCAACAAACTCGGCAATCAACCGCCACCGAGGAACTATCCGCTGCCCCATTCGTTCCTGCACTCGGCCGCCGCTGCCGCCGCCGCCCAGAGATCGGCGTACGGTCCACCGGTCTCCGCCTATGTGACGCCGCACGGGCCCAACATGACGATGGACCAGCAGGCCGCCTATCAGCAGTACATCCATTCGCTCTACGCTATCCAGCCGTCGCATCCCTCACCCTGGATGTAGCCACTAAGATCGCTGCAAGATCGGTCCGTGATTCGATGATGGCAGATCAATCTTCTGATGAATCTCGATACGTACCGCGACGGAGGAAGCGCGATCGTTCGAGGTCCAAAGGGATACCAAATATTAATCGAAAGTCTCTTGGCGAGCGCGCGAGAGAGCGGTATGCCCTTCTTACCTTATTTTTGTCTATTTTTTTTTTACAAGGGACATCCTTCTCGCGACTTGTCTTTTCTATTGTTTTTTACGTAATTGACCGTTGTTCGTGAGGCTCTCTACGGAATTAGGTAAACGACCGTTTGTAGATTTCTTTGACCGCAGCTTCCTTTTTACAAGCGACCGTCGCAACTCTACTTAGTAACTTTGACACTTTTACACCGTTCGTTGGGAGCGCGAAAGTCTGAGCTTCTACAATGTACATAAAGGACAAGGTCTACTTTCGATATAGAAATTTTTGATAGTTTTCTAAAAAGAAACGAGATTAACCGGCAGGTTCAATAGCTCTTAAGTCGAGATCGCTAGCGCCGAGAGTAAATCGATCCGCAATGTCTATCGAAAGTTCCTCCGTGCGCGAACGTCGGGCAAAATATCTCCGCGGATAAATAATGTATAACTAATGTAATACATTACATGTTTGCATACATATAGATATATATATTTATGCAAGATGCATCATTGTTGGATACATTGTTACTCGCGCGAACGCGTTTTGCCTGGCGCTTACCTCCGTGCTGACAGATACACGCGCGAAAACGAGTCTCCGCACGTGCTCCTCGTCAGCGTGTAAACGCGTGCATGCGTTGTGCGTGCGTGCGAATGCGTCGGGACACGGAATCATGCAATATTGAATTTTTTGCGTTGTTAATTTAGCCGACGACGGGCGTCCTCCCTCTCTAGTAATGCTCCGCCGTGTGTCGGGTCCACAACTCGCCGAGTGTGTCGTCTATAGCCCGTGTAGGATCTCTCCCGTTGATCCTTCCCGTTTTCGGTCCGCGGTTAGCGAAATCGATTGTCGAACTCGTAGAAGAGGACTCCTGCCTGGGGAAACCGAGGAGGATTTTCTGTGTATAATAATTATCGAGCGCGCTCTGTTGCTGGTGTACGTTATGTAGATTACCTAGCATCGTAAGGGAATTAGCACGTAAGGAAAAGTTAGGCTTTCTTTGTATATAATATATATGAAACACATATCTCGCGTAGAGAGGACGATGTGCTCGAATGTTGAAAAAGGGATCTCGACGTTACGAGGGGGATCTGTGCAAAGACCCGGGAAGAAAAACAAGTTGAATTCTCGTGACGTGTGAAAAACGGACGTGTCTTTTCAGTTTCTTTTTTTTTTCTCTCTCTTGTCGAGAGAGGCGCATATAATAGTGTAATGAGAGATCAGCAGAAATATATGTGTATAAGCATGTGCGGAAAAAAAAACAAAAGACGAAATATACCGTGTAATACCGCCGCTCTATCGTCGTACATACATCCATTTTAAAACTCATCTTTATCGTCGAGGCCAGAGTATTCGTCACGGGAGGAGAGAAGCGGTATTGAAACTTATAAATATATACATATATATTGTAAATGTATATTGTAAATGTATCTATGACAAATTAAAGCGCAGTTTGTTACAAAATCCGCCAGTTTATCCCGTGATAATGGCTATCTCCCGATACGCGTTCCTCCTCCTATATACAAGGTGGTCCATTTAGTCTCGGCATTTAAATATTTGAACAGAAAATGAATGACTGCTCTGTACTACGTTTTATTATTGTTATTGCTAAAGCAAGGCTAAATGAACGCTCGGTTTGGATTTGACGAAGGAAAACTGTATCGAACGCGATTAAAGAGAACCAGATTTCTCTTCTTTGTTGTACTTTCCACGCGTTCTTTTTTTTTTTCATATCTCGTTTCATTAAGTTCGCTTATGCTTGTCGCACTTTCTACATCAGCTCGCCAGATTGAATGCACGCGCCTATCTCGTTTTAAATGTAATGAGCTGCAACCGAAACAAATCTTATCGTGTACTATCGTGAGTCTACCATAAAATCCACTCGGAAAGATTAAAAATTTACCGTGTCCTTTTATTACAGTCGTTCCTGCATTCGCATCTTTGGCTCTCCTCGTCGACGCATTAATTGTCGTATACGAACGTTGAATTTTCCGAGGAGAAATTTGCGGAGAATCGAACGCAGTTTCTTTTACAATTTACCCCTTCCTTCGAGACATCACGGACTGTTAATATATATTTCAACGCTTTTCAACCTGAAATGACATTTTACAATGAAAAGAATAATAAATTTACAATTACAATGAAAAAATAAATAACGTAGGCGTACGTTTTCTCTCGAAATGCGTGTAAGAAATTGTATGTGTCATTCGTGACACTCGTATTACACGTGGACGACCGGCCTGGACCGGCCCGGTAAACAACAGCTGACGACGGTGCAATTCGAAACCGTCGCGCTGTTGCGCGGCGGAACGGCGGAGGGGCGGAGGGGAAAACTAACGAAAAAAAATACGAGGAACGTGACGCGACTGGCGACATGTGCGCGTGTCCGCCGCGTGTTCGAACGTGCCGTAAATTGAGCGAAACGCGACGCGACGTTTCGTCGGTCTCGTGGTCTCGCAGCTCGTAGCCGCGTCAGGAAACCAGGCCAACAAGGTTGCGAGTCGACGGGCTCGCCGCGAGGAATCCTCCGTTGCATAACGGACTGACGGAGCGGGAAGAGAAAGAGAGAGAGGGAGACGAAGAGAAAAAGAGATTACGCTCGGCGAAGCGCTGAGCGGCCGACTATCTGTGATTCACGCGATATCGTCAAGTGCTCCCCAGGCGAGACACAAGAGGATCGGCTCGGGACGACTCGTTAGCCTAACCTGCGAGCGAAGTGCAAAGGCTCCCCGGTGCCCCGCGTGTGCGATCTTGGTTATAAGCGTCGCGCGGGATGGTGCGCGATCCCGGAGCGCTGATCTAGCCCGCGGGATTCGCGTCCAAGGTCCAAGGTACGAGTCCCGTTCTCAGTTCTCACGCAGGCAAGGATCGTTCGCGGGTGACAACGGGCGCGAATCAGTCACCAAGAGTTTTCTTCGCCTTCGTTGCGGCTCCTCTCGCGTGCCGCGGTTCGTCAGAGTGACTTTGATCGAACTCCGATTAGCTTTTGATCAACGATGTAGTTCGACCGTCGTTGAGCTAGAAATTTTCCAGTGAGCAATTCTCGACGATACGTCGTCCTTGATCTATAATCTTCCTTTCCACGTGTCGAACGACGGGGGATTAATTAGTCTATCTGTGTTAATGAGGTAGTACAAGTATTGCTTGGTAAGCTTAATGACTGATTAAGTTGATCGGAGTTTGCTCACCCTCGAGCCCTATGGGTGAGAAAAGTGACGTCGTCGATCGCGAAAATAAAGGAAATGTTATTGCAAAGATCAAGAATAATTCTGCATAAAGATATCTGCTCTCTAATATCGTTTAAAGATGTGTCGTGTGATGTATAATGTTATAACTTGTTCTTTTGTTGTAGATATTAAAGCTGCACAAGTTAGAGATACCAAAACTGGTCGATTGACCGCACATTTGAATCATGTTGCAAAGCGTGAATAAGGAACTGGCCCCCATAAAGTCACATTATTTCCTTTACAATGCTGGTAAGTCCAATCAAGACTCTGCCTCTTCGACAGAGCTGTTGCAAAAAGCTGAATCCTCACGCGTTCATTGCGCTTATTCTGTTCGCAGCGACGGGACCAATGGTGCAGTTTTTGCCCACGATCGGAAAGCAATTGGGCTTCTCTGCGACGATAGTCGGCACAATATACACAGTACTACCGATTTCCGGTCTGATTGCGAAGCCGCTGTTCGGCAGTCTGGCTGACAAATTCAAATTGCATAAAACCTTCTTCTTGATATTCGAAGCTATATTGACAATAGCGTTCTTCTCCATTTATTTTATTCCCGACATGGACAGGAGCGCAAGTGTCGCTCTTATCTGCGATAATGATGTGGCGTACTTAGAGATTTGTCCAAAAATAGAGTTCTCAAAGAAAGCGTTGAGCAACGTAATATTAGAAGTTCACTCTAACGCAGCCTGCCAGGTGCGTATAAATGCGTTATTTTCTCGATCGCACGTATTATTCCTTCCGTTAATAATAACTAATGTAAACGTAATATTCATGTTCATAGTTAACTTGCAAAGGAGCACCACACGGTTTCTTAGAACTGTCTGGCAAAAACGTTTCTGTGAACAGCACGTTCGAGTTTGGTGCAGGATTCGATGTGTATCAAGATTTACTTGTAAGAAACTTACATAATCTTTTTTTTATCCGCCTTACTCGTGAGAATAACATCGATTCTATTGTGAGAAATAATTTGCAGACGAAAGACTGCGTAGACGTAAGGCTGCGCACGTTTCTCGATGGCACCGCGCATGTTCCGGTATGCGGGGGCCAGCTAAGGACTTCGTGCACGGCAACTTGCCGGAACAACAGTGCGTTTAATCATCTTCTGCAGGAGGCTAAGGATTCGCAAAGCGATATCAGCCATTCTACGTATCAGTTCCACATATTTTTATGGGCGGCCATTATTAGTTGGATTGGAATGGCTGTTGTAGTTAGCATAGCCGATGCTATCTGCTTCGATCTCCTTGGTTCGTATTAAGCACTGTTGCACAGATGACGTTGTTATTAAACTACAGCTACTTCGAGACGTTTTACATATTTCAGGTCATGAAAGAAGGAACGATTACGGGAAACAGAAGATGTGGGGCAGCATCGGTTTCGGTATTTTTGGCATAAGCGCAGGCTACCTGATAGACCTTTCCAGCAAGGGACAATACGACAAAGATTATACTTGTATATTTTATATTATGCTAGTGGCCATGGTCGCCGACATTGTGGTATCTGCAACATTAAAAAAGGTACAAAAGAAGCTCTCAAGTGTTGTATAACTGAGACTAAGATAGTACAGAAGTTTGATGCTTCTTGTTTATCGAGAGAATCCAAAAATTGGCAGGTAATGGGGCAGTATCGTTACAGAAAAATCCAGAATGCTCTGTGGACGAGCCGTCGCTATTTCGAGAGCTATTAAGCGTTTTCAAAGAAGGAAGAGTATTGGTATTTGCCTGGTGGTGCATAGGCGCCGGGATGTGTACAGGAGTCATTTGGAACTTTCTGTTCTGGTACAGCGAGGACCTGGCAGCCAGCTCTCATGTCACGTGGAGTAAAACCCTGCAGGGTCTGATGACCGGTGTTCAATGTTTCCTTGGAGAATTACCCTTCAACTTCGTATCGGGCAGCGTGCTGAAAAAACTCGGCCATGTTAACGTCATGAGTCTCGTACTGCTGATCTATGCAATTAGGTGAGCAATTAGGTTTTTACATTCTATTTTTCTACTCTCATTGTGTGTGAATGCATAGTTTTATTTGTACGTTGCTAAAAATAATGATTTAATCCCGCAGATTTATGGCATACAGCATTATATCGAATGCCTGGCTGTTTTTAATTCTTGAATTGCTTCACGGACCTTCGTTCGGTCTGTGTTGGCCTACGATGGTATCCTATGGTGATAAAGTGACACCATCCGGTACGAAAGCCACTATGCAAGGATTCATCGGTGCTGTTTTCGAGGGAATTGGTTAGTTATTAGAGTTTGATATTGTACAGGATCGTTCATATCTTTTAATTCGTCCCATAAATTTTTTATTTATTATCCATTTCAGGAGTGGCAAGTGGTAGCTTTATATGTGGTTGGTTAATGGATTCTTATGGAGGTGTTACAGCAATGAGAACTTTTTCAGTGGGTGCTCTTTTATGGTTAAGCGTCTTCTGGTTGGTGGAACTGTTACTAAGGAAGTTGAAAGCCTACCCGTTATACCGAGGCCATAATCGTGAGTAACGATTATGTGGATATATAAGTAATAAGGCAAAAGGCACTATTTTTGTTTAAATCGTAATTAAAATATCACGCTCAGAAATCATTTCATCATATACTCGAATCTATCGAAGTTTATTGTTGTCGCTTAGTAAAGTTTACGTTAAAATTAAGATTGCATGTTTTGGAATATCCTGTTGCACGAATTTGCTTTTTAATTTGCACTTTAAGCTCTGTTTCTTGCATATTTAATGAAATAATTAATAATCTATATTCCTACTGGTTCTTTTTCAGATCTAGCGAATTATGCCAATCCAGATGACGCTATTCTTATGACGATAAGTCAAGAATTACAAACTTACTAGTAGAACAATTTTATAATATAATTCTAAAATTTATCAATGCATTCCTCATTGATAAATCAATGCAAGTTTTATCGCACGATTGAAATTGAACAAAGTTAATTTTTCACCGCCTTTAGAAAGGTGGAAAGGAAATGGTTATTTCTCATCGTGATATTTTGGGAGTTTCCCGGCAAGTGACACAAGTTGACACAAGTGTCGTTCCGTCTTTATTACTCATTACCAAAAAAGTAACGACATTTGTGTCGACTTGTGTCGCTTGCCGGAAAGCTCCCTTTATCTTTTTATAATATTTGAACGAAATTCAGTATTATGTCATATGTATATGTGTATAAAAATGTAAATTATATCGCATCATTGTCATCGTAATACATAATATATACTTTTTTAGAACTACTTTCTTGTTTATACTTACCTTCGAGTTTTCATGCACGGATAATAATCACAGAAATGTCATTTTATAGGAATATATTACTAGGCGTGTATATATGCACAAAATATTTAGATGAAAAACAGCGAATTATGAAATTTAATGCGTCACGTGAAAAATCAGATATCTTGAACTTCGAAATTACTGACGCTTAAAAACACTTAATAATTTCAACATTCTTAAATTATTACCTTCGTCAAGAGGTTTAATAATCTTGAAATCTTAAAATATTATTATGTGAAACAAGAAATAAAATATTAAGAGATATTAACCGAGATAATACGTGTCGAGCCCAGGATTAAAATTATCAAGTTGGTCAGCAAAATATCTCAACCATTTATTCACTGTGAATCCATTTTTCCAAGATATACCAACACTAACAAACATAGCATGCCTGTTCGATCGCAATCAGTCGATTAGCACAACTTCCTTACGAATCTCGTCTACTCTATCGATAAAAAGCTACAAATAACTTTCTTTCCATTCATACCGCGACACTAAGTAATGATCGCGGCGCATTCGCATCGTATAATCTTCGATAATAATTCCGTATATCGTCTGTCGGCGACATACGGGAGACTCGCGGCGCAATAAACATTTCCGTGGCGTTAATCTTGTTTCGGCGTCGATGATCGTTGAGTGACGGAGCGTGACGGTGAGGTGGTTTGACTGCTACTCGGTATAGGTTCTATCATAGCTTGCAGATTGGGGATCTCGCCCGTCGCGGTGTCGCAACAATCATTCATTATGATACCGGCGCCCGGATGGATAAATGCGAGGCTACCCTCGCTGGACGAAGCTAAGCTGGTCGAGAGAGGCGGAGATCGTTCCTTAGGCGATGCCGAGGAAGCGGGATTACCCATGGGCGAGGTATTGGAGTACGTCGCGGTCTCCAGTTTACCGTGAAGCTCGAGTATACGACCTTCTAAAAGAAGATTGATCTCCACTTGCGCCCGATACTTGGATTCGACGGCCTCCAATTCGGACGCGTGTTGCTCCTTCGTCTCTTGCAGGAGCCGTTGCAGATTCACTAGTTGCGTCTCCTTGCGCGCATCCTTATTTTCTAACTCGCCCAATCGTGCCTTCACGGCTTCCAAATGTGACGATCGTGATTCCAACTGTCGCCGAATATCTGCAAAAGGATTTCAATAATATTCGTAATTTGCATTTAACGCAAAGAACATCCATTCTCAAGTTTGTTTGTCTTTTGGATGCTTACTGTTTAACTCTTCTGTACATGATTTCTGAATTTGCGCCGTTTCTTGCTTGGTTGTCGGTGAGAAAGTACTTGTGTTTTCTTCTAATTTTAATTGCGCCTGCAGGAGAAAGATACATACGCAATTATTTCCAGATAATTTCTCCAGTATAAATTTTCGTTATCTAAGCTTGTTAACGTGATTTCTTAATTTGAAATATATTACCTCTCCTAAAAGCACAAATTTCTTTTGCATAGTATCCACAATGCATTCCAGTTCTTTGCCACGGTCCGCAGCTTTTAATGCCGTTTTAAGCTGATGTCCCGCATTGAAAAGTTCTGCCTCGACAGAACGAAGTTGTTGCTGCGCTTCAGCCGTCTTTTTTTGTTCGTTTTTCAATTCCAATTCTAGTATCTCTAAACGATCTTTGAACGCGTGACTTTGTCGTTGCTCTTCGACGCACTATACATGTAATGAACGATTATTAGTCTTCCAATATATATTTTTTTCTGTATATTTTCAAAAATGAAGTAAATACTTTAGTTTGCCAATGATGCATAGCTTCTTTGTATTGTTCCTCAGCTTGATTCGCTTCCTTTTTATTATGCTCCAATTGCGCTCTCAATTCTTCCACCTCTCTTTCGATCATTTTTAAACGTTCAGTCTGTAAGACAAACATCGAACAAAAATGTCAAGTCTCTATCTCAAGTCATATAAAAATTTAATAAATATTGTTTATAAGAATGTGAACGGACCAAAGCGAGATTATGCTCTTGTGAAGCCCGCGAATCTCGCAGTTTACCGAGCAGACGCCGATTACGCTCAGCATGGACTTCCCGTCGCTGTCGCTCGAATTGTAGTTGCATTTGCATAAGTTGAAGTGATTGATTATTAGCGCAAGTGGGATCCACACCATCGTCTTCCCCCCCGTCTTCTTCCGCATCCTCCTCCCCTTTCTTCTTTTGTTTCTGCCTGGTACCATTTGGTCCTGTAAAAAGATAGTATTTCACTCTTCACTTGCCAGATACCTGCTATTACAATTATTATATACAGATTACTTCATATTTACTCGTTTTACTAGAGAAACTATTCGTTTTTGTGCAAGCCTCGATATACTGATCGAGCATGCTGATTGGCGACATTCTTGAATCAGAACTTTCTTGACTACAGTTTTGGCTGTTCTGATCTAACATTCCTAACAACAGATGCTCATATGGATATAGATCGCAAGTTTGACTGCCCGTATCCTCGTGTCTCTTCGCTCCCATTAACGCTTGATCTGTCACGTCCTCGCTATAACATTTCTTCTGTATTTTCATGTCCGGACACGATCTGGAGTGTCGAATCTGTATCAAGCATATAAACGTTGATTTCTTTTTTTGTTCCTGCTGGTAGTGCAAAATATTATAAGTTCTTCGATACTTCACTTTGTGCGTTTCGTTTGAATTTGAATCTTCTATTGGGAAATGACATTGAGAATACAGTCGAAGCTGATAAATTTTTGTTGATAAATCGGACAGAGTGCCGTACGTGCTCCTCTCATTTCGTCCCTCAGATTGCGCTTCGACATACTTTGACATTTCGACCGCTCCATTTCCGTGCGAACTGACAATCTCCAACACCTATAATAATTTTACAAAATATTATTACACACACAATATTAAGTCTGTATTTATTCAACACACAGGATCTATTACTAAATTACTCAAACCTCTTGATCCTCCTGCCAAGAATCGTTCTTCCCGTTTTGACTTACAGCCATTTCTAAGAGCCTCCCATTCTCCTCGCTATTACTCAATGATTTTTGCGACTGAAGAACATTTTGCCTGTCTGTCATAATTTTATTTAGTCTATTCGAGAGAAATCCATGTGTGTTCGCTGCAACGTCTGCGCTTTTTACTCCGGAAACAGAAGAGGGATTTACAGGAGTTGGCGTTGAGGGCCGAGAAGATGTACCGTTGCCCAAAGCGTTTAAAGCACGCACCGCGCTAGATCCCAGAGGCGTTTGTCTCGTTGATAATTTTCGCAAATCCTACGAGAAATATATACTTTCGAACGTGGAAAGAATAATTTTAGAATAATTTTACTTTTATGTCGTTACGTGTTATACCTTAACGGGAGTTGTTTCGGGGGTAGCTTCTATAGCAGCTTCAGGCGGGGAAGTACCGCTTCTATTGTTATTAGGCGTTGGCGGGGCAGAGCGTGGCTCGAGAGAGGCAGTTTGCGCCGGACTATGCGGTGGTACTGTCATGCTCGGTGACCAGAACGTATCATCTTCCCCATTACTGATCTCCGTGGTCGTTACTCCCCCGCAAATGTTTATCGGCGCACACGTGATGGAAGATTGATCTGTGTCATAAATTAAGCATCATTTTCTACCACATTCTTCGGCAAGAGCAGATGTAGGTATGAAGATGGTAATAATGCTGACCTAGAGGCGGAGTGCACCGAGAGTTAACTACTCCTAAAATTTCTTCCCGACATTTGTCTAACGTAAAACGGCCACATTCTATCACAATATCGTGATGTTCCATCTTTTTCCACCTACGGCGCAACAAAGAGAGGCAACAGTAATTTAAACAACGCTGCACGTAACGTAAAATAAATTATTTTGTATATAGCATATACGTGTATACGTGCGTATTATATACCTAGTGGCTGAAATTTCTGCATCCTTAGATGCTGTGACAAGAGAAGGATGCATACGCACAGAATCCAGCATGGGTCTAATAGTATGAGTAAACGTAGCCAATTGATCACGCTGAACGTACTGTTGCTTCAGGTATGATATAAAATTGCAAGGATACATCGCGTACAGTCTTTGAAATAAGCCGTATAATCCTACCTATAACGGTGGCATGGTAAGTGGTTTATGTTAACGTTACGACACACTATTCGTAAAATGATCGTAAAACCGTTTCACCTGCAAATGTATGAGGTACAAATGGTCCTTGTCGATGACATTTGGTGCTGTGGTCGAAGTAAAAGAAGGAGAAAGTAAGGACGATTGATGATGATGATAATAAGAGGCCAAGCGGCCGAATACCTCAAATATTTCTGGTAGATATGGCCCTAGAGCAGCAGGTAACATTGGTAACAACATTACTAACAGAAGAAGGGCACTCATAAGTGGTAATATATCTGCCTCCACCTTGAAAAATACAGTCTTGTAAAACTGTATATATACACTCAATCCTTTCCGACATTTATAAAACGTGATTTTTTAAATCAAATGTTATACGTTCTCTAAATGTGAAGCTCTTAATTAACATCAATGATCATTGGCACATGAAAATTATGTATATACAGCATAAATTATATACATTTAAAATAGATCGTGGTCATATTAATACATGCTAAAAGATGCAGAATTGACCAATTAATGAGGAGTTTATGCGTATATATACATAAATAAACATATGGATCGGCGAAGAAGAGGAAACACAGAGAAATATATTACCTTAAGTAATTTGAGTAGATCTCTGAATAAAGCATGACTGGCTAGCTTGTACAACCAAGTAGGCTGACGTCTAGCTATATGCCCGAGCAACGTGAGCGCCTGTATTCTCTGCCTACTATTGCCAGGTTTTGAAAGAATGTCCGACAAACGATCTAACAGATGTTTATCGTGCGGATCTCGTACTCCCGCTAATACTTCCGCTGTCCTCAAGGAGTTCGTAGAGAGATAATAATCGAACAATCCATTCACCAGCCAATTGTCCTTTGCTGCAATTGATCCAAACGCAATTTAAAAACAATCCTACCGCGCCCCACGCAGCGAAAAGTACGTATATGCGTTACTCACTGCATAAGAAATGATCGTGGAATACTTTCTTGATCTCCTCGACCTCCCCGAGCTTATTCGACTCCAGCAAGTAGAACAGATCGGCGACGCCTGCCGGACCGACGCTCATCTTGACAGCGAGTGGTGGCACGGCTCAAAAGATCCTACTCTCTCATGGTCCTTCGATCAGGCGGTGGAAGCAGAAATCGGTTCGGCAACGTCGCTCTGAGCCATCCGTCGTCTGTCACGCAAGACAGGCATTGTCTGGAGCGACGGGGATGCCAAGGTACCTGCGGGAGGGAGAAAATACACCGTGAGAGGCGAATCGCGGAGAATCGAAGGAGAACAACCGAGTAGCTATCTACGGTAGGAGCAACGTCTACCAGGGGAATAGCCGATCGCGGGATTCGATTTGAGCGACACGTCGCCGTCGGCTCGACCGTTCCGCGCGAGAACGGCACGCCGCGACAGGGTCGCGCGACCATCCGCGCGAACTGTCAGCGCGCGTACTCCTTTTTTTCCCCCGCTGCACGATCAGCACGATACCCGACGACAGAGGAGAGCCCGTCGGCCCCGCTCCGCGTAACCGCAAAAACTGTCAGTCGCCTCGGCGGTCGACCGGTCGCGCGGTAGAGCCGCGCACGCGGGCCACGACGTCGGGCGAACCTCGACGGCGAGACCCCGCCGCGTATCAGGGCGAATCAACCGAAGCAACTCACCCGAATCTCATCGAGCACCTCCACGGCCGAATTCCTGCGAGTTCTATGGCGACAGTGGCGACTGGCGAGCTCGGGTGGTGGGAAAACCTCCATATATCTTCCTCGGCAGGTCTCCTGGGTGCTGCCATCTCGCCGCTGCAATTAACCTCCGTCATTGACTTTCGCGCAGCTAGACGGGATCGTCGCGCGGATCGAACTGCTAATTATCTCAACAAACGAACGCGATAATTATTCGTTCGATCGATAATTCGACTTACAGGATTTATGATTTTTTTTTTTAATTTTTTTTCTCTTGCATCGTTTAAGTTACTTGAATGTTAATAATTAAAGGGTTTGTCCTGCTGTCCCGCAGCATCCGATATCCAATAGAATAGATTTTTCTTTTGGAGACAAGATCGTAGATAGCTGGAATCCCTAGAAGATACGTTCTCCTATTGGACGTCGCGATTAAAAATTCATGCGAAGATTAGACTTTGATTGAACTCCGATTAACTTAACCAGCGATTAATTCAACTGGTAGATTTACTTGAAAAGCAAAATTTCCAGCTATACAAATTTATTTTCTCTAATTTAATTTTTCTCCATATATATATTGCAAATAAAAAATTAATAATTCTACTTATATTAATAAAACAGATGTTGGATGATAAACTAATCGCCGATCAAGTTAATTGGAATTTGATCAAAGCTATTCTTTCAAATCGCAGGGAAAAGTTGAAAAGACTGATCCGAAATAAAAGGAACAATTACAAGGATAATTACAAAGATAATCTCGTTTTAGATCCTCATTATATTTTCGCATTATTTGCTGTATTTAGTATTACGTTACGTTACTTTGTGAATTTAGATAAATTTTTAAAATACATATATAATTTTAGATCTCGAAGAAATGCACTTGTTCAACGTTTTTTGACGTAACGACGTAAAAAGTCAAAATAATTCGACATTCTAGTAAGAACGAATCATTAAAATTAATATTTTCAATGTTAGAGAATCTGTTATTTCGATAAAACAGTTCAATATTTTATTGTAACTTTCGTATACGCGATCTAACGATTAATTTAACATTTTCTAGACAAAACTTGCTCAAATGCGACTAATTTATACGTCAAAAATAATAGCGCTGCCTTCGAAAGTTTCATGGTATAAAAACATAAAATGTCGAACGAGCATATTTCACTTCTCGTCGGTAGATATCAGACACATATTCTAAACATTTATCGAAATTCGATATATTAATCTCTAAATTAATTAATTTACAAAATTAATTAATTTACAAATAACGTGGCAGATTTGCGTGTGATGATACGAGCACGCGATACATATTGTGCTTGATATATGTACAGTGCACGCTTACGATCGGCATCATTTTATGGAATCAGGATTTGTCATCATCTGACTGTAATCTTTTATGAAGGAAGACGTCAATTTGCGATTTAACGTCTTGAATGCCCGCTCGTGGATGTTGCTGACTCTCTTCGCGTCTCCGTGCTTCATCTCGTAGTTCATGTAGTCTATCCAGATGGACGTGTTGTCAGTTCCGAACTGCTGTGTCGCTATTTCATAAGGTCGTCGCACGTGTTCCGGCAGAGTGTCCGGCTGAATGAGCTCCAGCGCGATCATCTTTTCGTGGAATTCCAACGACGCGGGTAGTTGAAGGCAGAGACTGTTGTACGCCTTGCGAGCCGCACGGATGCCTAAGGAGAGACAAAGATAGGGAATAGGTACAGATATCATGGAAAAAGATTCGTCGTATTAATAAAAACATATGCTGCTAAAATTTTAATAATGAACGCAAAATAGGAAAAAAATCAGCTATTAACCTGATTACCTTTCGTTAGAACGAGCCATTCAAGCCACATAGGCTTGATATCTTTGGCGATCAGCGGATGTGACCGCAGAGCCGCTTGAAAACTCTCCTCGGCTTCTTCAGAGCTTTTTATTTGAGCATGCAAGATCCGCATCTTCCACAAAGGTAACGCTTTCTCGCTCAATATCTTTGTCACCTAATTGTCAAAATATCTCAATATTGGTACCATCTAATATATCGGTAGTTTGCAACTTTTATCACCTTTGGAAACATAGCGTACGCTTCCTTCTCCAGGCCACATTGCAGCAAATGATTGAGCCGAGCGTGCCAAATAGCGACGCTGTTCGGTACCGCATCGGTCGCTCCGCGCAGAACTTCGTCCAGCTTTTCCCGCACGTCATCCTTCTTGTCGACACTCAACATATTAATCTACGGAACGCAATAGCCACTTTTATATACTTGCAAGAAAAATAAATGGTTTATTTCTCTTCATTATTGTTTCTAAACATTGTTTTAAAAAAGATTTCGAATTGATAGATATTTTAATTGAAAAGTTCCAAGTGCCTCTCTAACAGTGGAGACATTGCTAAAATAAATACTATTTAAAAAAAAAGGAACATTAATTTAGATGTAAATTATATTCAAATTTAAGCAAGTTTTTGTCTACAATTGTTAAATTTAATTGTTCAAGTATCGATGTTACAGAGAAATGTTGAACACAAACCCACCCAATGCAAATAATGTTCCTCTTTTGTTAATTTTTTCGCCTGATGCGCCTGCATCAGGGCAGTTTTCAGGAGCTTCCTTTTGAAATTCGGCAACGACCGCAGATCACGATTTATCTCTAATAAGCACTCTATGTACAACGACCAGATCTCTTCAGTTTTGATTTTCTTCACGGCAGTCTGGTAGACTTTGTTGCAGTCCGTGATGCGATCTCTCAAAGTGATATTCTCAGCATTCTCCACTTCCATCGGCGTGCCACTGAGGTTTGGCTGCACTAGACCTTGCAACTCGCGACGCGCCATCGTATCCCACATTAAGGGCTCATGAGCGTACTCCCGAATCATGTCACTATGATTAAATTGTATATTTAATTTTAATCACCGCTAGAAATCATTTTTGACAGATTTATAATATTAACATGCACATATATGTATATACCTAACGATTCTTTTCTGCAATTGCTCGATGTTATCATACTCCTTTGTGATATTGAGCAACTCGATTATAAATTTAATATCCTTAATGCGCTCGAAAGCCTGTTGATATATAAAGAACGCCGTTTTCGGAAATGGTATTTCGCTATCGTCTGTCGATACTGAATTGTCTTCCTGGTTCTCGGTATTTTCAGCATTAGGAGCTGTAGCTAAGCGATTGTCCAGTTCGAGTCTATAAGAGAAAATACAAGCGTGCTTTGACCATGTGATTGACAGATTACAGAAAAAAAAAATTATTGATACACTTGTACTCACTTGAAAGCGTCAATGTATAATAACTGAGAGTCAGGATGAATCTGTAAGCCTCTAAGAAGATACTGTCGTGCATTGTGCTTATTCTTGTTCTCCTCCAATTCCCAGCATACCGCTATGTGCCAGCATTTTGGTTTATCTCTGTGCACTTGCAACATTCTGCCTAACATGCGGTCGACATTGCTGTGGAAATGCTGTAGAAACAAATAACAGCCGATCAAGTGCAACTAATTGTAAAACAGCTTCTACAGACAGATGTCTATTTTTTTTTCGCTACTTACCACATGCTTACAGAACTTCATATAAGCAATCCAAAATCGAATATCGTCTTGAAATTTATATATCGCGTCCTTGTACAAGCTATTCATCTTATTAGTTATAGCATAATCAATGGCCAACTTTTTTTGAGTGATACCAAATTTCTAAAAAAAAATAAATATATAATCAAATGGTTTCTCTTATTTAAAAAATATATACCAAGGTAAATACGATTATTTCTACATGTTATATGTAAAATTATGTAAATAATATTTATATTTTACATGTAATAACGTGGCAAAGTTTGGATATGGACGCAGCTACTTACATCCCTCCGTTGCTTGATCAATTTCAGCAGATCCATTTCGTACTGTATGTACCGAAGGTAGTCCTCCTTGCACTTTGTGTGTCGTTGAATGTTATACTCGTATTCTTTGAGCTTTTTGGAGATGTTCCTGAAAATATAATAATAAATGTGCAACATGCACTCGCAAGCGTGCCTCTGCGTACATAACCTAAGTCGGCTCACCGAATCTCGTTTTCTTCAAAGAGCTTGATCCCTTTCATCTCCTCCAGGGCGGGGATCATGTCCTGGCACCGCTTCTCCACGAACTCCGCCATTTCTCGCGAACTTTAGGAGACACTCGGGGCAGATTGATTCAAGAAAAACGCGTGGAAAATAATCTGCGAGGGAACACGAGACGCAGTGACGCAGTTCTGTTTTGACGACGAGCGACAACGTGTTTCACAAACGTCAACAATTACGTTCGAAAACTCGATCCTTTGCGGCCGGGAGACTTGGCGATCGTTGCGTTTTCCAAACCCGGACAATATCAGACCATTTTCGGAACACACCCGAAATTGAGTTGGTTCTCTAACCTCAAAATTTGACTTTCCACAGTTTCCACGTGAAAACATACACGAAGTGTGCGATACGCTGCGAACGCTCCGATAAGAAAATCGGTAAGAAACCCTTTGTTTATTCTGGAAATAAATGTGGATTTCTTTAAACGCAAACTGAACGTGCTTACATTTATGAATTATACCTATTGCAAGAAGGAATCCTCTTTTACAAGACGCATGATATACTTTCATTAATTTGATGCATGTTTCAAACATTTGGAAATTTAATGCAAGAATTTGAGTATCAAAGTATATATTTTAATTGAATTAGAGAATTCAAACTAAGAATTGTGAGGGTCAATATATATAATCTTAAAACTCAGAAGATTCTTCAATAAATCAAAACAAATAAAGAATCTGAAATAAATATGCGTTTCTTTTAGTGCGAGAAAGGATGACTAGGTTTGCAAGAGCGAAAGGATCCAAAGCTTCAAACGAAAGATTACCGAACGAGGCTACGCCATGGCATGTAATGAAACAGCAATTGGAGGAGAGCAAAAGCAAGGTACCTTCGGAGAAGAAGAAATCAGCGAAGGAATTATTGAAAGATCAAGAAGGTACCTTCAACAGTAGCACTAATGAAAACACTCAGGAATGGGCAGAATTTGAAGATAATAGATCCAAGACTAACGTAAAAAAACATAAGAATTTGAAGTTAAACAGAGATCTCGCAAAAAATTCTGAAAATAAAGCAGCATCCAAAGGTAGTAACAATGTAGAGAAAGCTCAAGCAACGGGAGATATAAAAACAACAGATAAGAAGAAAAGGACTAATATTTCTAACAAAGCGAAACAAGCCGTCAATAATCCAAATTCAATATCCAATGAAAAAGAATCGAACACTCCACAAGATGTGCATTCGAGTCATGGTGTGTTGAGCAAACGGCAGAAGCGGAATCAGAAAAGGAAGTTGGAAATGTCTAACGATGGATCTAAGAGGTTCAAAAATGATGCCTCAGGCAAAAGTGACAATAAACTCACAAGGGAGGAGAAAATGAAGAGAAAGGGAGAATATAAAAGGAGGAAGCCAGATGCCGGTGTCACAAAAGTAATAATCAACGGTGTGGAAATCGAAATTGCTATGTATGATGGATTTCCCGTCAAAAAGGAAGATGCGGAGAGATTGGCAGAACTTAAACAGAAAATGATAATGAAAGGTAAGTACACATTAAACATTTATATATATATAACAGCAGAATTTTTATTTTGAATTCTACGAGAATCTTCATGGAACTTAAAAGAACTACTTCGATATTTCTTTATATCTATTTCTCCTCGAACTTTTTAAGCATAAAAGCTGAGAAAAATCTAATTTAAGAATCTTAAATGCAATCTCAGAATATTTATAGATTTAATTAATATACTTTTTACTAATAATAAAGAAATAATTATGCCTTTTTAATTCTAAAGTAATAATATTAACAATATTGCATCCTATCTCAGGTATTCCAAAATCCGAAGTGGATATGGCGATGAAGCTGGAAAGACGCAGGGCTGAGAAAGCTTTGGCGCGCGTCAGGAAACTCGTCTGCTTCAATTGTCGCAAGTCTGGACACAATCTGTCGGATTGTCCTGAGCTCGATCGCAACGAGGACTGCACGGGCATCTGTTTCAAGTGTGGTTCAACGGAACACACCCATTTCGAGTGCAAAGTCAACAAGGATTCTACCTACAGATATGCCAAGTGTTTTATCTGCCGTGAGCAGGGTCACATTGCCATGCAATGCCCTGACAATCCCAAAGGAGTTTATCCTCACGGTGGTTGCTGCAAGGTTTGTGGGGCTGTAACACACTTAAAGAAAGATTGCCCGGACTTGGTGAATGCCAAAGAAGACAGCGCCGTTACAGTGGAAAAATTGGATGATTCTGCTGTGGAATCTCTGCAGGAAGATACGAAAGAGAAGTGCGAAAGTAATAAACCATGTAAAAATAAGATCATCAAATTTTAGTGATATATTTACAATATTTATAAACTTCTCATGTGTATTATATCTTATTATTTTTTCCTTAATGGTAAAAAAATTACGCTTGTCAGAAAAATGTATTGAGTTTTCAATTTTGTTTTTGCAAACGAGCTTTCTTGTTAACTTTTTTTTTATTCCATGCAATAAAATCTGAAATTTCTTATTTTTTTATTAAACACAGCATATTGACTATACATAAAAAATTATTTTGTAATTATTTACAAATTTATAAGATTGTAAAACAGTTGTAAATATGGATTGTAAATGTACGTAATATAAATATACATTATGCGAGTATAGTATTGATTAATACTATATTTTTTAATAACAAGACTTCTTTTTACGATACATCTTATTATATACGCACACATGCGTATATAGAAAAAATATTACATACAATTAAATATCTCTTATTCCCTAATATGATATTTCGAGGATTAACACCTTGTAATCCGCCAACAGATTCATTATATATTGCAGTAACTTAAAGTTACTGCAGATCGCAATTTGTTAAAATATTTTTACGTTATTGAACATCAAAAGAGAAGTAGGGAAAGAAAAAGGAAACGATTGAAGAGAATAATAAACAAATCGTTTCTCAAGTTAAGAGCAGAATTTAAATAGAAATATTCTTTGTGGATGCAGACAAAACAAGAGAGACTATTTTGATGTACTGTACATTTTAATTGCAATGCATATAATATAATGTGAATGCATATAAATATCTATATAAACTGCAGCTGCACTTTCTCGATCGTAGAATTTTAATTTGAGAAATACACATGTGTGTATGTATGTTTATATATAATACAGGGTGCTTCAAATATCGCATATTTTCTCTTATAGCCTAAACGATGTCGTTTGTTTCGATCAACATCGAGCCGTCGATAAACCTAAGTTACAAGCCGTTAAAAACTAAGGATGTACTAAGTTAAGAGTATTAACGAATAACAGAATTCATTTATCAAGTACCTTTTACTGAAAGTAGAGCTTTATTTGATACCTATAATGCTATTAAAACACCTAATATTCACAATTAAATAATATATACGGTGTAAATAATATATAAAGACTCTACGGAAGAAGGAAAATCTTATAAAAGCTGAAGTAGCAGTTGTTATATCTCATATTAATAACGTTAATTAACGTATTAACATTACTAATTATATGTTTCATTTATATGTTTCAGAACATACAAGTAAAATTTATATATTTGTACTATTATTAGTTGAGATGTACGTAACAACTGTGACTTAGACCATTATAGACATTTCTCTTCTCTGCAATTAAATAAACTAAAGAAAGGTGCTTAATGAAATTTCTGCTATAATTATTCTAATTTTAGCATCTAATATATATTTCGCAAGTATAACGACTTATCTCTAAAAATATAGAAATGCAACCGATAAATTGACGAGATAAACTCACGAAATATTTTATCATCTTCTCTGAACACTATAAATTTGTTAAATGGTAATGATTACGCAATTGAACTGTAAGATGAGCTATCGCTTCTTATTTACCAGTATGTGATTTGCTACATTTGAAAAATGTATGAAATAAAAAAATTCTCGTTTATCAGCAAATTGACACCACTTCTTTTGCCTCATTCGAAATTGAAAAGTCAGAAATATTCATTTTTAGAATACTAATAAAAGCATCTTACATTGATGTTTGAATTATAGATCATCATTTTTGTTTAGTCAAAAACTGAAGGAAACAATTTGCTCTTTTATAGCTTATATCATTCCCATATATTACTCGGAAGTAAACTCACGCGCGGAGTTATTCGTCGCAAACTCGCTCTGAAAGGCGCTTAAGAATAACTCTGTGAGTTCGAAAAGTTCTGAAGCCTTTTCGCATCTCGTGTGATATAACGTCTTTGGTACCAACACACATTATACTATCTTTATTTATATTCCATTCTCAGAATCAATAATGACAGATGAAAATTACAATGCGAATATCGCAAGTGCACCTGCTAAGTAGCTTCAGCTTTGTGCGCCGACTCGATGATCTCTTTTAAGCATCGACCAAACTCCTCAATGATAAGACGCTGGGATGCCTCATCGTCAAGCATATTACGTTCCGCTTCGTCGGCTTGCGCCATTAAGCATTGGCATGTTATCTCTACTACCTTCTCCGTCAGAAAATTGAATGGTTGTCTATAATAAATAAAAAATAAATATAACTTAAATATATATATAATAAATGAGAAAATATGTAAAATTAAAATGTATTACACTACAGCTGCAGTGCAGTGCAAGATTTCTTAAAAAATTATAACATTTATATAAAGAAATCTTACTCTATACATTTTTCTCTCTCTCTCTCTCTCTCTCCTCTCATACAAACCTTGTACCAGTGTTGGATGATGCAGTAGGTCTAAATGCCATTTCAGACAATTGTAACTGCGCTTTATTTAAACTAAGCTGAGTTGTTTTGACTTCAGTTGCTTCTGCAAGATCTTTTAAAGATTTTTTTTGCAAAATTGGATCCACAATATTGCGACAGCCTATACACTTACAATTTCCAGAGCATGGAATTTTGGCCTGAAAAAAAAACATTTTAAATTTCTCATATCAACAAAATAGACATATTCAAAACCATCAAATATTTATATTAAAATTTTCATGTGTAAATTGCATTTTGAACATTTTCTTAAATAAGTAATTACTGAGTAGTTACATATTATCAGGAGGAAATATATATGAGATGCAATAAAGGGATAAAAAATTAATCACATATTTTGTCGCATTTTCAATAACAAATCAGGAAAAATATATCTCTACAAGCTCAATTGTTTATCGAATGATATTGTATAGTTCAAAATACCTCGTAACATTCGCAATAATTTTTAAGGCAACCACTACGTTTGCAATTGCAGCCTTTGTTATGTCTCCTTATATCTTCGCCTGTCTCGCGGCCTTTTCCGATTTTAGGTCGGAAGGCGTTAGGATTGCGTTCCAAGCAGGATTTGATCGCACGTTGTCGCTCTTCCTCGTTACCAAGATTGTTTGAGCAATTATTGCAATTGCACATGTGACAGAATTCACCGTTCGCAAAGCAGTCGCAATAACTATGAAAGATATGAAGATTTCTATTTAGATTTCATTCAAATATAAATAATATTTAAATTAAGACATAAGCAAATTGTAATTAATTCTGAAATCTGAGAAGATAATTTTAGCTTTTCTATAATTCTATGATGATGTTTACTTTGATTAAACTCGCTTAAAATTCAACAATCTTTTCACAAGAAATGTTACGTATATCAATGAATGCTTTTAGGTAAAAAGACGTTTGTCAGTTATGAAAATAACAAATGAAAGTGAAAATCCAAAGCCTACTATATGAAAGATATTTGTGAATTAATAGTTGAATTTTTTCATTAAAAAATGTTTTTTTTTTTTAATTAAAGTAAATCACTTAAAAAATAATAACATTTTTAAACAGCAAATCATTTTTTAACAAAATGCTTACAGCTTAAGATACTGTGATTTAGTGCAGTTACACGGTTTTTTTGGCCTGATGCCATTCGGTTCCACATTGCTGTAAGTGGTTCTTGGGGTATTCTTTCCATCAATCAAATTCAACAATCTTTTCACAAGAAATGTTACGTATATCAATGAATGCTTTTAGGTAAAAAGACGTTTGTCAGTTATGAAAATAACAAATGAAAGTGAGAATCCAAAGCCTACTATATGAAAGATATTTGTGAATTAATAGTTGAGTTTTTTCATTGAAAAATGTTTTTTTTCCACTAAAGTAAATCACTTAAAAAATAATAAAATTTTTAGACAGCAAATAATTTTTTAACAAAATGCTTACAGCTTAAGACACTGTGATTTGGTGCAGTTACACGGTTTTCTTGGCCTGATGCCATTCGGTTCCACATTGCTGTAAATAGTTCTTGGGGTATTCTTTCCATCAATCACGCACAGAGTCGCTGCAGAACTTTGTGAATTTCCTAAGAGACCCGGCGATGTTTGGGACTTCAATTTTGCCTCATCTGTTGTCGACTGTCCAGTCGGGATAGCAATATTTTAATACGTGAATTTAATACATGAATAAATTTTTCAAAATTGTATAGCTTAAAGGGATACACAAGGTGATACAGAACAAATGTTTGTGCTGCCATTAGCTAATCGTTACAGGCGCCCCACATAAGTGCCTGTGTTCGACGTTGAGTCACGCCACCCTTGCCTATCTCTGGTATTCGGTCCGTGATAAGCGAAATATTTCTTTTTGTAATTCAAGAACTAGGCTTTCGAGAGAATTTTGGAAAAGAAAAAGTGGTCTTAGGATTAAGTCAGGAATATGACATTTCAAGAACAAATGTGTTGAATCACCCTATGTATCCTGTAATAAAATTACACATTTCTCAGAACCTCGTATTGTTTAAATCTCTTGGATTTTTAATTTTATTTAATACTAACGCGCAAAAGCAATTCATGGAAACTGAATAATCAAGGACATAAATGAATATTATTAAACCTGTTGTTGAATATATTGAGCAGGTAGAACAACGATGTTCCCAACATTCGGATTCGTTGACAGAACCGCCTGTCCTGACGCTAACTGGCTCAACGCTGATGCAGGGATTGCCACCGCATTCTTTGATTGACCGCCGACAGTTGCTGCGGCAGCAGTCGCTGCAGGTATGATTAATTTTTGACTGCCACTTGTCAGCGTTGCCTTCGGCGCAACAGTTCTCAGAGACTGACTTCCGGTATTCAGCGGCACAACCTAGGTAAAGACCATAGAAAAGAATCGTCACTTGCAATATACAATATTTTAAATTTTATGTAGCACATGAAATATCGCGAACTATCAAAATTAAAAATAAAGAATAAAAAATATGTATGTACAATGAACATAATTTTTTTCTCTTTGATTAGCTAAAAGATTAATGTTATCGAATAATACTACAATTTCGTATACCTTTACAATCTGTTGTTGATTTCCTATTTTCTGACCAATATTTACAGTCTGAAGTGTTGTGCTGGCCTTTGATTTGCCCACAGTAACGACATTGGTAGATCCTGTTGAGGGGGTACTAACCAATCTCACATATTGCACCTGAAAGAAATGGCACAATATAATAAACGTACATATCCACATTTACGATCAATCAATTATTGATAAACTATACGACGACATACTTGTCGTCCAGACATCTGAATTTGATGGAGTTGATTTGATCCAGTCACAATGTTCTGATTAGCAGGAATTCTAATGACTTGTCCACCTCCAAGTACGTTGCCAGGCTTCAAAGAACCCTAAAGGAAGAATTTTTACCGTATGATTTATCGATAGATAAATATAATTTTTATCTTCAAAATGTGCAAAAATTGTTTGATTATAACTCATAATCTTCTAACCTGTCTGATGATCACTTTCTGTGGATTTTGCTGCATGGATGATTTAGTCGTAACGAATGTGGGCTGCTGATTCGTCGTCGTCAAGCACTTGGCCTGAAGGCTCATAGTTGGCGCAGGAAGGATTTTCGTTGGTGATTTTGCGGTATTCGCTGGTACTATGGTTACTTTCGGTGATTGAGATGTTGAAGATTGTAACAACTTGTTCAGTATCATACCCTACAAAAAGATAAAAGGATGTGTAGTAACTGTTTTCGCGCGAAACACGTGCAATTTTTAACGAGTTACATCACGTAACTTGAGACAAACCTGCTTTGGCGAAGACGACGGCAAAATATGTTGCTTGTTGGTGGAGAGTATACCCATCTGTGCCAACGTTATATTTTTCGACGGGCTGCCGTAATTAGAAGAGGTACTATTGAGGAATTTGATCCCCTGAGCCGGCTGATTCTCGCTTTGTGAGCTCGTGATGAGAACTTGCTGAGTACCAGACTGCGGCTGACTTCCTGTCAATATCATTTTCGTGTATACCTGTGAAAGATATCATTGGAATTAAAAATCTAATATATAATTTTACATAAGTAAGCTCTATGTAAGAACAATTGGCGAGTCTCATTCCAATCTTCACTTGTATGCCTCGGTTTTACACAAGATTAATTAAAAAATTAAAGATTGAGTGAAGAAGAAAATAAATATATAGTAATTCGTTTCGGAAAACCATGTTTTAATTGAAAATTTCAATTTTATTATATAATTTTACGAAAATCACTTTTGATGAAGATAAAAATCACAAATCCACATAATATCTTACGTTACGTCCTTGCGAGACGTTCTGCGTTGACCGTTTTAGCGATGGCTGTGAAAACTTAACATTCTGCATGTTACTGATCGTGATGTTCCCGGAGGCATTAGTCGTCGCGATAGACTTGGCGGGCTGAGTGGTCCTTAACTGAACGACACTTCCATCCATGGATTTGCCGGTAATCAGGGTCTGGGCTAGAGACTGCAATTGCTCGGCCGAGGCTGTCGGCGGGTGCGATATCTTCAGAATTTGACTGGTACCCTGTCCGCTCGCAGGCGACACTATCATAATCGACTGGCTCTGCGTGGCCGGGCAGATGTTTGGCTTCATCTGAAGAGAGGAAGTCGTCGTAAACGGAGCGTTGCGTTTGAACAGCGCGTCAGGAATCGAGCGTGGACACGTTACCTGGACCGCCGAGACCGCCGAGATCGGTACTCTCTGTAAGGTCGGCTTCGTTTGAAACACAATATTCTGGCTGTTTTGATTCGCCATCGTGTAAATGTGCTCGGTCCGCACTTGCTCGGGAATTTCAGTCATCTCCACATCAGGTACTATGTCAGTCTCAACGTTCCGCTCGATTATTATCCGTTCGTCGTCCGTCGTAACTCCCTCCGAGTTCATACACTCAAGTTCCGCTTGAATATTCGCAAATTCCTCAAAGTCGTTCGACGTGTACTGCTCACTGCCCTGGGATAAGCTCAGTGCGCTTAAATCGCTGTCGCCTAGCGTGCGCGAATCCAATCCCAGAGGCTCCACCAGGGCCCTCGCGTTTTGCCCCTTATTAGCGGACATGACGATAGTACCTGAAAACATCAGTATCAAAACATCAGTATCAGTCGAATGATAGTCCAAGTTTACAGCTGATTGAACGCTTAATTGTCTAATGACAATTAAATGCAAGAAATACAACAGCTTTCACTTATGTAACATCAATGGCCACGTTCAGTAGAACGTTTATTTTGCAACTGTTAGAAGTTTTCTGAGCTCAGATTATATTATTCCTCTAGATCTAAAAGAATAATCTAATCTGAGCTCAGAAAACTTCCAACAGTTGCAAAATAAACATTCTGCTGAACGCAGCCAATTCCATTTGTATTATAAATAAGATCGCGGAAATTCCTGAATATATTCGTATGTACCATGCAAACACAAGTCGCAGCGTATACACAAGATATATATTCAGCAACCGAGACCATCTCTATTTAACAATGATATTACAGTAGCCTTGATCGCGTAAAAAGAAACCGTTTTTAAAATGTAAGGTGTCACAAATGCAGAATTGTCACAATTAGGATAAATAAACACTTATTTCTCGTGCATCTCAATTCTTCGATCCTTCTATTATTTAAATGATTTAAAAACTTTGATCTACGACAAAAGATCAACTCTGAAATAACAACCTGTTAAATGCTGAACATAAGAATGCCGAATACCACTCAGACAAATGTAGCCGATCAAGTTGTATCAAGCAGTAATCATAACGCACGTGTACACATGCCTGACAAAAAAAAATCCAAACATTTACTCTACTCTACCGTGATTTTGTTCACTTATGCGAACGTACGATCTGTCGCCGCGATTCCACCGCTCCGTCGCCACTGTGGTCCGAAATTTTGAAAAGCGATCGTCAGATAATTGGATTTAAATCCGTCGTGGTCGCCCTTTTGAAAAGTAGCGGGATGCCCGCGTTCGGCCGTTCAACCCAAGCGAAGTTCGACGCGATCAGCGTGCGTTCGAAACACGTCGAACGTGAACACGGATTCGAACGCGCCGTGAAGAAGGAAGAGAGAGAGAGAGAGGGAAAAAAGGGAAATAAACCGAGCGAGATAGCGCGAATGCGAAAGTGCGAAGTCGCCGTGGAACATCAGCGCCATTTCTCGGCGGAACGCGCCATTTTCGCGATGTGGATTTTCGAGCGCGCCCGCGAGCAACGAGCAACTCGCACGCGTGCAAGCTCGAGGGGGGCACTGGGCCCCGACGCACGACGACGGACGACGGGCGGGACGTCGCGTGAGCGCGCGCGCGCGCTACGGCGCGAAGCCGAGAGACGGCGCGGGACCTAACCTCAAACGGAGTTTTCGCGATCGTAACAGCAGCGGCAGAGAGGCGGGAAGGCGGTGACGCGGGGGGAGCGGAAAGGGGGCCAGCCGAGAGCGGGGTCGAACGGCGAAATTGGGGCTCGCGGCCGGAGCGCGGCGCGATCCCGCCCGTCGCTCGGCGATCTCGGACGGAGCCCGATGTCACCGAGTCCCAGGGGGGCGACGGGAACGGGCACGGCGTCGAGCGCGTACCCCGTCGTCCGGCAACACCACACGTACCTGCGCGTTCCTTCGATAGCTCGAATTGTTCAAAATCACGCGCCCACCATTGCTGGCCCACAGTGCACCGCTGTTGCGTGTGAAAATTGCGGCCTGGGGAAAAGCGGAGCGGTTCCGCGCGATAACGCGGCCGGCCGGGCGGAACGTGCGACGCGTGGGACAAACGTTATCGCGCGCTGCGGACGCGGACGGGACGCGGACACGGTTTCGCGCACTTTGCCAGTCGCCGCGACATTTCACGCGCTTACGCGGGCGAAGATTGAACGAGTCGACGAATGACGAGCTGCGAGAACGAGACGGGAAACTCCTGGCGCGTCGCTGGACGCGCCGCCGCGGCGCCCGCGCCATCTGGCGCAACAAGGAAGTCGCGCTAGCGATGCGCGGTTTTTACGAACTTGTGTCGACGTAATTTTCGATATAACAAAAAGTAACCCTCTGATAATAAAAATTAATAAATTATAAAATGACGTATAATAACTCCAGCAATTCCCTTCTCTATAAAATGAAATCAATGTATCATATATCATTTATATTTATCTAGAACTTCTTTATTTTATAGCCAATCAGTACGATCTGCTGCTGCTTTTATTAACTAGTATTTATAGTTTGCTGCGTTTCGCATTTCCGGTTACGCATATTCGCGCTTTTGATTGGTTACGCGATACGCGTAATTATGCCCGTATCACACTAGCGATTGGCGATTGCGTTTACGTTTGCGTCTACGTCTTTTGACCAATCAGAACGGAAATCGCCAATCGCACGCGCCAGCAGCTACTTTTTGATTGGTCTAGAGACGTAAATGCAAACGTAGACGCAATCGCTAGTGTGATACGGGCATTACGTGGAAAATATCGGTTCATGTGACCGCACCCTAAAGTCCGTATCAGACTATGGATTGGGATTGAGATTGGATTGAAATTTA